AGGTATGTGCCAAATACTCTCATGCTGTACAACACATCTCTAGCGATATATGTTGCCTGTGCCAACGAAATGGAGTGTTTCACGGGGTCTATATTTTATTCGCAACTATTTTCTTTGAAAAAACGTGATAGATCGACTGTTTAGTCCAAGATGAAGAATATCGAGAATCCTCTCAAAACTGATACTTTCGTGTTATCGCAAAATTTCGCTGGCTCATCTCTGGAAACAATACGTTGTTGGTGCCAACGAAACGCAGCTTACTGCGCTCAGTTGACTATCCAGCAGCTTTCCAAAGACTGTATACTAGTACTTACTAGTACTACAGTAGCAGGGTAATACTACACTGCTACTATAGTACGGCTAACGCAGCTTGGGTCGCAATGGCGTCGAGGTCGTCGTCTCGTTGGAGACGGAGCCAGCTGCGGACTGTTGTCATCACGTAACGAAGGAGACGTCGACCATCGCGCGCGTGTCGGAGACTGCGCGTTGCCGATGCTTCTTGTGGTTGCGGCGGGACCACCCGAGGTGTACCATGACGCCAACGAGCATGACCCAGAGGCGAAAGAGAGCTTGTTTGTACGTCGTACCGCGGTAACGTTAGTTGACTTTGAACTGGTCGATATTCATCGCGTCGGACCACGCAAGACGCCTCTGGTAGTGCAAGCAGACTACACCGTCGAGACGGAAAACCCTCCAGGCTCATCGAACAAAGTCAACGTTGCTCTCTCCCACGCGCCGCGATTGCTCCGCGCACACTTCTACGAGCTCTCGGTCGGCGACGTGAACATTTTGCACAGCCTCGGTCTTTTTCCCGAGCTCCCGCAGTGGACCGTTGTCACGTCTCTTTTGTCGACGTGACAACGATCCACCGCGGTAGCTCGGGAAAGAGACCGAGACCATGCAAAATGTCCAAGCTACCGGAGGCGTCGTGATGCACCTTTAACAGCGCCACGAGCGACGTTAGAGGCATGGCAGAGAGGTACGCGCTTTCGTCGGCCATGATCGAGACAATGCGATGCTCGGCTCGCGGCATGCGCCAGACAAAGCCGAGCTCCTCGAGGTCGTCAAAGCGATCTGCCTCGTAAGTGCACGGGAGATTGCGGAGGTTGATCTGGACGACGGCTAGGCGCTTGCCATACATGGTCGTCGGCCACGGCTCCTTGTGTGGAACGACAAACGCGGGATCGGCGCCGAGGTCACCGACGAGGGAGCGGAAGATGGCCAAGCCTCCACCTTGTCGGCCCACTTGGTCGCTTCCGGCATCGCTGCCGCAAAGTAGATCGGCAAATGACCCAAAGATTAAACGTACCCGATTTTTGGCCAATCAGGGCGTCGAATAAAGCACGGACGCTGATCATTGGCTCTTGCTAGAGATTGACAGGAGAAACCGATGCTGCATCCGGGAGCTTGCATGTTCCGCAACATCGTCGACGTCGTGAGGAGGTACGAAAGCACCTGTCGCGGCTTGACCTTGAAAACGTCCTGGGCCAGCACGCGCTCGTGAAAAATGTCACGCAATGCGTTTGAGCAGGACGAACGAAAATGGTTATTCCCTTGACAGATACCATATTATATATGGACAGATACGCTGCTTTTCCAGTGGTCTCACCGCTTCTTTCCATGGCTTTCTTTCCTCTTTTTCTCTTATTTCCTTTCGCCCGTGAACCAAATGTTGTAACGCTGCAACGTTTCTGACTCATTAGACCGCCGATCGGTTCCGCGACGCCGTCCACCAACGCAAAATGGCCGCCACCGTTTGGCCAATTTGCGTTGGTGGACGGCGCGGTGGCGACGTCAGAGGGTTCAAGACTTACGTCGATCAAGTACTGCGCTACGACGTTGAACGCGGAGCCTTCGCTGGCGTCGCGGTGCGGAGATCTCGAAAGTCGTACTACCTAGCACGTCGCATCAGCATTTCGAGCATAGTATCTGTAAGAAGGTGCGAAATCTCAAGAGAGGCGGTGAGCGCGAGCGTGATGCGACTACCATCGTACAAATCGCGCTTCTCGCCGTCACCTGCAGGGCGTGAACCAACGTCGTCAACAGGTGGGGCATGGACCGTACGGAGGTACATGCCGTCGACAAAGACGCTCATTTCTTGCTGCGTCTCGACCGTCACGGTGTCGCCGCTTGGGTCGAAATTGACCCAGCGATCGGCGCACTTCGAGATATCGAGGCGCGCTTGCTCGGTCGCCGTCTCGAAGACCTCGCCAAAGTAGCAGCCGCCGATCGCCAGTTTGGATGACCTAACGTTATATGTTGACACTGTGAGTCTGAGGACGGACCTGACACGACGCTTGGCGCGAATTTCAGCCAATGAGCGTATTGCGTCCAGCGCTACCAGACACTGCTTCATTGTGTGCCTCCTCAGAAGAAACGCTGCGCAATCAGGCGCTTGATGGTACACGGCCTTTGACTAATATCGCTCGCTCGTATAGCTGTCTTGCAATACGCTTGTATGATCACACGAGCCTAGCGTCTCTGCCTTGCATCGTCCTGGTGGTCTAACACAGTTTCTAACATATTATAATTCAAAGTCTTGTTACGATATTCCACCGATATTCAATACAAAACAAGTATTTGTATTTTGCTTTTCGTGCGCTTGGCCAAGCGATAAAAAATGACTGGCACCAGTCATTTTTCAGTTGGTCATCAATCGCCATGGCCCCGCCCGCCGCCGCAACAAGACTGCCACGAAGGACCAGTTCGCTGCCCTCTCGACCGAAGAGCGCAAGGCTGCCGGCGCCGAGGCCAAGAACCGTGGTAACGCTGCCTACACGGCCGCGGACTTCGCCACGGCTATCAAGGAGTTCACGACTGCTATCGCGTACGAGCCCCACAACCACGCGTACTACTCGAACCGCTCGGCCGCCTACTTGAGCAACGGCAACGCGGCGCCCGCGATGGCCGATGCCAACAAGTGCATTGAGATCGACGCCAAGTGGGGCAAGGGCTACGCTCGTCTCGGCGCTGCGTACTACTTTATCAAGTCGTACGAGAAGGCCATCCAGGCCTACTCGAAGGGCTTGACGGTCGACAAGGGCAACAAGCAGCTCCTTGCCGGCTTGACGCAGGCCCAGGCTGCTCTCCAGGTCCTCCAGGAAGAGGCCTCGGGTGTCGAGATGGACGACGCCACGCGCAAGATGAAGCGCATGGAGATCGAGGACAAGATCAACAAGGCCCGCGCCGAGCGCGAAGAGCGTGCTGCCCGCGCCGAGCGTGGTTTCTCGGAGGTCATCGGTATCGATCTCGGTACGACGTACTCGTGCGTCGGTGTCTGGAAGGACGGCCAGGTCGAGATCATTGCCAACAGCGAAGGTAACCGCACGACGCCGTCGTGGGTCGCCTTCAACGAAGCCGAACGCTTGATTGGTGACGCCGCCAAGCTCCAGGCTGCCTCGAACGCCACCAACACGGTCTTCGATGCCAAGCGTATCATTGGTCGCGCTTTCTCGGACCCGATCGTCAAGAAGGACGCTGCTCACTTCCCGTTCAAGATTGTCGAAGGCGAAGGCGACAAGCCGCTCATCCAGGTCACGTTCAAGGGCGAGGAGAAGAACTTTTCGCCGGAAGAGATCTCGTCGATGGTCCTTACGCGCATGAAGGAGACGGCGGAGAACTACCTCGGCCAGGAGATCAAGCAGGCTGTCGTCACGGTCCCTGCTTACTTCAACGACCAGCAGCGTCAGTCGACGAAGGATGCCGGTGCCATTGCCGGCCTCGACGTCAAGCGCATCATCAACGAGCCCACGGCCGCCGCCCTCGCGTACGGCTTGGACACGAACGCCGGTGCCGATGGCTCTAAGACCAACATCCTCATCTTCGATCTCGGTGGTGGTACCTTCGATGTGTCGATCCTCTCTATCGAGAACGGCATCTTCGAAGTCAAGTCGACGGGCGGCGACACGCATCTCGGTGGTGAAGATTTCGACTCGAACATGGTCGACTACCTCATCACGGAGTTCAAGCGCAAGAACAAGGGCCTTGACCCCACGTCGTCGGCTCGCTCGATGCGCCGTCTCCGCACGGCCTGCGAGTCGGCCAAGCGCATGCTCTCGACGACGACGTCGGCCTCGATCGAGGTTGACTCGCTCTTCGAGGGCGTTGACTTCTCGTCGACGATGACGCGCGCCAAGTTCGAGTCGCTCAACGAAGAGTGCTTCAAGCGCACGGAAGAGACCGTCCTCAAGGTGCTTGCCGACGCCAACATGCAGCCGGGTGACATCACGGAGCTCGTCCTTGTCGGCGGTTCCACGCGTATCCCCAAGGTGCAGAACATGCTCTCGGCTGTCTTCGGCGGCAAGGAGCTCTCGAAGTCGATCAACCCGGATGAGGCCGTCGCGTACGGTGCCGCCGTCCAGGGTGCCATCCTCTCGGGCATCCGCAACGACGCCACGAACTCGCTCCTCCTCGTCGATGTGACGCCGCTCTCGCTCGGTATTGAGCTTGTCGGCAAGGTCATGTCGGTGCTCATCAAGCGCAACACGGCGATTCCTGTCAAGAAGACGCGCATCTACACGACCGAAGAGGACTGGCAGACGACGGAGAAGGTCGTCATCTTCGAAGGCGAGCGTGCTTGTGTCGTCGACAACAACAAGCTCGGCGAGTTCGAGATCTCGGGCATTGAGCGCGCCAAGCGCGGCGAGCCGCAGATCGAAGTGACGTTCGAGATCGATGCCAACGGCATCCTCCACGTCTCGGCCCGCGACAAGAAGACGGGCGCCAAGAACGCGACGACGATCTCCAACAACCGCGGTCGCCTCACCCAGCAGGACATTGACCGCATGGTCGAAGAGGCCGAGAAGTTCAAGAAGGACGACGCGCAGATGCTCAAGCGCATCGACGCCCGCAACGACCTCGAGGGCTACCTCTACCGCGCTCTCGAAGCCGCGTCCAAGAAGAACGACGCCGCCGCCCAGACCGCGCTTCGCGAAGCTCGCGACTGGATGGACGACAACGAAGAACTCACGGTGCGCGAACTCGAAGACAAGCGCCGCGTCCTCGAGCGCACGTACAAGTATTAGATCATCACCGCTGCTCGCCATCCACGCGAACTCTAATAATATGCCGGTGGCCGCCGTCACAACAGTGTCTTTTACTATGGTAGTACTACGGAATGGTCCCGTAGTTGAAGGACGGCCGGGTTCTGCTGTTGGCCGTGGACGTCGCGTCGCCTCGCAGCAGGTGCGCGTGGATGAAGCTCAGGAACCGGAGCGCGTACTCGGGCGGTGGCAGCGCTGTGATCTTCCTTCGGTCTTGCACGAACGAGAGCACGAGGTGCTGGAGCTTCCACGCGATCGTGTAGTGCTGCAGAATGTCGATGAAACCAACGTAGTACACGTGGCGCTGGTCGGCCGACACGATCGCATTCTTGGCCAGCGACTCCTACACCCCGCTTCGCAACTATCGCATCGTCGTGCGTCGTACCTCCGAGTCCTTGGAGGCGTCAAAGTGGCGGATGCCCAAGATGCAGCTGTAGTCCATGATGCCCATCTCCTGGAGGAAGCCGCAGTCGCTCGTCATCTGCGTGAGGAGCTCGAGGCGCACGTCCGACGTCACGTGCAGGTACGTGCCGCGGTCGACAAACTCGTCGTCGTGGAGCAAGTGCGTCGGCTTGGGCTGCGGCGGGCTCAGCAACCGAGCCTCCGGTTCGCGAATGTAGACGCGCAGCGGCGGCAAGAGGGCGGGCGCAAACGTGCCCTTGAGGTCATACCGCTCGTCGATGCGGTCCGTGCAGAGCACGTTTTCCATGACGACAAAGAACATTTTGTTCCAGCCCACGGGCAGCTGCATCCTAAATACGATCGGATAGCTTGCGACAGAGGACGGCGACGACGTACGAGTGGCAGCCGACGTAGCGCACAAGGAGGCTCTGGGGCTGGCTGCGCACGTACGCGTGGTACGCCGGCAGGATGCGCATCAGGAATGCGTGCTCGTCCTTGGTCATCGTCTTGACAATGTACTTGCGGTCACTCGTAAAGTAAAAGAGCATGCCCGACTTGCCCTCGGACGCGGTCTCGGAGAGCGTGCCCGTGAAGCTCGTCTCGTACGCGCCGGCTTCGATGCCCGCGAGCGACCGAAGGTTCTCAAAGATGCGCGGCGCGTAGTCGGTGAAGCCGAGCTTTTCGTAGTAGACCTTGAGCTTGTTCGAGTTGAGGCGGACGGTGGTCGCGAGCCGCTTCTTCTCGACGTACAAGCCCGGCGCGTCGAGCTCTGTCTCGTCCATGGACCGCAGCGACCCGAACGAGTGCGACCGGCTCGGCACGACCACGTCGGACGTCGAGTACGTTGCAAACACGGACCGGGCGCGCTCGAGGCGGTGCGGCGACGCCTCGCGCAGCTCGTGCAAGCTGCGGATGATACCCACCGAGGTGTACCTACCCACGCATTAGACACCCGTGTTTCGTGACCAGAAAAGCTTCTACCGCAAGAGGTCTTTTCGAAGCGACGTGCTGAAATGGTCGGTCATGCCGTCGCTGTCGTTGGCGACCGGCGTCTCGGTCCCGCCGAGGTGCTCGACGAGGTCCGTGTTGATGCTCCAGACGGCGAGCACGAAGAGCGGGTACAAGCCAAAGACGACTGCGAGCGTGAGCTGGATGTGGTGCGCGATAACGCCCGAGAAGGACTGGAGGTAGTCGCTGTAGTAGAGGCCGCCGCAGACGACCCAAAAGAGCCCGTACATGACGAGGTACCGGAAGTACTGGAGCAGCGACCGCCGCTTGGCGCGATACGTCGAGTCGAGCTGCCGCCGCGCAAAGCGAAAGGTCGCAAAGAGGAGCACGCCGAACGAGACGAGCCAGACGACGACGAGCGGGCCAAAGAGGAGGACCCAGTACGTCTCGTTCGTCTCGCGCACGCTCGCCGTGCGGTGGACCCAGCAAAGGTTGAGGCTCGAGAGACCGTAGAGACGGAACGAGTACATGGCCGCGGCCGAGATCGCGCTCAGAGACCACGTGCTACACGTATCATGAGCCTGCCAGATCGAGGACTATTGGCGCGGACATGGTGTGGTACGTCCACGCCTTGACAGCGTAGCCCATCCACGGATTCATGAGCGCAATGAAGAGGTCGAACGACAGCATGAGGTACCAGAGGCCGCTGCCAAGGAGGAAGAACTAGCATCCAGCATCGCATGAGCCACTATACTGGCGCCGTCAGCCTCTGCGCACCTGGTTGTACATGGACAAGAGGACGCAGTCATCGTCTGTCACGTCGCCGTCGCCCTACAAGCAAGCGCGTTGTAGCCATGCTGCGCAGTGCAGAAGGAGGCACATGTACCTGCAGAAAGTACTGCGCCACAAAGCCGAGCGTGAGCATAAAGTTGCAGTAGACGTGCCAGACCATGAGGTTGGCCGCGGGATGCTGCCGCTTGAGCTGCGGGAAGACCATGTACGAGAGCAGCGTGCAGAGGTGCAGCGCGCAGCCCACGAGGCCCATGTAGAAGTACACGCGGCTGCTGGCCGCCACGTCCAGCGCGTCGTAGGCCGCCATAGCAAATCTTGCGTTATTTTATTGCATCACAATCGCCAGGTAATTAAATACGAGCGACGCGTCCGGATACGGGGCAGCCGGCATCGTGCTGGCAGCAACTTCAACTGCCGCTACCCGCCGAGGCTCGCGGGCGCAGGACGACGCGGCAAGCCTTGCTGCCGACGCCACTGGCCCTACGACGCATGGCCGTTGGTCCAGAGCCAATGCCAGCGACGACGACTGCCGAGCGGACGCGGTACAGCAGCGAGATGGCGGCAACGCACCAAGGTCAGAGGGCTGCCAAACGACCCAAGCGCATGAGTGTGACGCTGCATACACCAGCGCATGGGGTCGGGCGCAGCGGCGACGAGTCGACATCAGGAATGTTGCCGATGCATCCGGATACGGTGGCACGGCGGAAGATTTTGGGCAGAAACGACCGAAGACAAGAAGCGACGATGGCCAGCTGGATGCGCTCGGGGGTACGTCCGCATGGCCAGCGACTGCGTCTCATGCACTGGGCGCGCGTAGCTACAGAACGTCGTCGACGGATCCCGACGGTGCGTGGGCTAGGCCATCGCCTGCTTCTGACGGCTAAAGTCGCTAGGCTCAAGGAAGAGATCCTCCAAAACGCAGGCGTCTACGGCGCCGGGTATTCGGACCCAGTTCTCGAAGCACGCACGCAGCGGTAGCACACTCCCAAGACGATGTCGTTGACACGGTTATGCAGGTATGCGCAGCACAGCGTCGCGATCGACCGGCTTCACGCCGCGACGACGACGTACATCAAGCAGCTCGACGCGCTATCGGCCGCGTCCACGAGCCTCGCGCACGAGTTCAAGAGCTACTTCAACATGCAGCTTTCTCAATGTACGTCCACGTCGCATTGGAAGCACGCCTGCATGGCGTCCATGTAGCCACGGGCCAAGACGACGCGTCGGATGGGCTTGTGGGGTGCGTGAGGTGCTCTGTCAAGAAAATACACTCAGTGCCCATACGCTAGGCAACTCGCCCGCGCATCCGATTGTCTCGAGACGTTGCACTGGACGCTCAAGCAGCACGTCGTTGACGCGTCGGCGTCGATGCTCTCGGAGAAGGTGCTCAAACCACTTGGCAAGCTCAAGCAGGACGCTGCTGCGACGCAAAAGACCATCCAGCTGCGCAAACAAAAGGTTCGTCTCCCTATCTTGCGATGTATGTCTCACGCTACATGTAGATATTGGACTTTGATGCACTTCGGCGGTCCACGGGCACGAGCCGTCCGTCGGCGGAAGCACAGACGCGGCTGCGCACATCCGAGGAAGCGGTCGTTGCGGTCACGACGCAGCTCAACACGGCGCTGGACGCGCTCGAAGCCCAGCGTGGTTACCTGCTCCGCACAGAACTTCTCGCGCTCTCAGCGTCCCATGTAATCGAACTCGATCCTCTGGACGCTGATGGTCCAATATCTGTGTCTAGGTCTTTGTATCGAGCAAGAGCGCCGAGGCCTTCCAGCAGCTCATTCCGCTCATGCCCGGCATGGCCTTTCGGCTCACGGAGCTCAGCGCCAAGTCGGCGGGCTTGGTGGACCCGACGGCGGGACCTGTGCTGGGTATCTTGGACTATGCGGGGCCGGACGCCGTGCTCTCGTCGCCGGTCAATGCGATGAACCTCCTCGACCTCCCGACGACCGACGTCCCGCGCTTGAACGACCAAGACCCGTTCGAGGTACCGTGTGCCAGCACGCATCTTTCCTCACGAGCGCGACGTAGCGCATGCACTGCGCGCAGCAGCTGGCGCAAGAGACGTACCAAGCGGCGCCCGAAGCGACCCGCGATGCGACGCCAACGACGAGCAGCAACCCCGTCGATGCGTTCGACGTGGGGCTGCAGTGGATGAGCTAAAGCGGTAGCAGATGCATTGCATTTTGCATGCGTGAGAGGAACGAATAGCAATAACAGCGCTGTTTGCTTCCGGCTCATGCACGTTCCGCTCCGTACTACTACCCTGCTGGCGGTGAATTCTGGTGATAAACTAGCTCAGCGGACGTACAGCACGCGCCGTGATAGCTTTGCCTATTGGAATGTGTCGACTGACTCAATTGAAGTGTCATACTGTCGTCGATACACGACTCCTCGATCTATCCCAATGGATCTATCCTATGTGGATATGGATAGATGGATAGATAGATCTGGAATTCCCCGCGCGCGCGGAACTTCAAACTGGATTTGGCGGGGCAGAGGTCGCGACCGGATAATGTCTTGTAGTATCCGGCGGTGTTTCCATGCACCATACAAATGGCCGAGTGAATTGTTTTAAATTTCAAATCTGTATCCGGAATTTACCCAGTCAGACGCTACTGTGGACGGCGACGGTACGCGCCCATCGGCCTCGACCCGATGCTCATCATGGCGCGACAATGCTAGGTAGACAGCAGCATGATCCGGTCCCCGATGCTTCGCTTCGGCGAGAACGAGACCGACATCTTCCTCCTCGACGTCAGCGTCTGTGACGTCCCGGGCGACACAGCCCTTGGCACCGCGCTCATGGTCGAGCGCAACAAGCTCGCCGAGGAGGCAAGGAAAGACCCGCTCAACATTGAAGTCATGAGTCGCCTCCTCAAGAACTGCTCACGCCTCTACAGCCAGCACCCGCGACCCGTCGAGCTGCTCTTCCGGCGTGCCATGACGACATTCCAGCGCCAACCGCTCGACTCGGCAGGCGCCGACCTCTGGATCGAGATGCTACTTGGACTCGGCGCGATTCTAGCAGCCGATACGATGAAGAAGCGCGATATTCTGAGCCAAGCGTCCTTTAGCGCCCACGTCAAGGGCAAGACTGTCTTTTACGAGTACTTTGCCAACTTTGAGATGCAGCAGAGTACGTACACGTCAATGCTATCGTACCATTGCCTCATGACCAACCTGTAGATCGATCTCAGGCCGCACAGGACCTTCTCAACAAGGCCGTCGAGAAGGACATGCTCACACCGGAGGCGCGGCAACAGATTTGGGACAAGGTGCAGCGTACACAGCCAGATGCGTCCCAAGCGCCGCGTGAGTTCGTCTCGCGACCACCCGACACACCCGTGCAGGCATCGAGGAGCTCGCATGTCTATTCGACGCCACGCAACTCGACGACGCCTGTGGTGGCACGGGCGACGAGCACGACGCTGCGCACTGCCAGCCTCGCCGAATCGTGGACAACTCCTCTCCAAACCGAGTCTCGGACCACCGCTGCTGCCCCGTCGTCGGTCTTGCGCACGACGAGCCTCTCATCGGCGCTTACGACGCCGCTACCGTCAAAGCTCGGCAACCGGGACGCACGCTCGACTCAGCGAAAACCCCAAATCCGACCCAGCTTTCAACTTGGTACGCGCCATCTTGCTTGCATGCGCCGCTCACGCGACCATAGGCTCGATCGGTCTTCCGATGCGCGTGCGGCAGTCGGCCGCGTCGCCTATGTCCCCGGACGAGGAAGATGACAAAGTACATAGCCCACCGCCGCCATTGAATCGCCCGCTTGTGACCGGCGTCAAGCGCGAGCCCAAGTACAGCGAAGACGACGACAAGGAGAATAGCCCAGCCGCGCCATCGAGTCGCCCGCTCGTCGACGGTATCAAGCGCGAGGCCAAGTACCCCAAGGTACCGAATTGCGCTCGAGTTTAGTCGTGAGAACGTCGTTACGATAGAAGGCGCCGTTCCAGGAGAAGGACATTAGCTACATCAAGGACTGGAACCCGGCTCGCACACCGTCGGTGATCGAGTCGACCAAAGCAAAGCGGGCTTTGGGCTACTTGGACCCCAACTCTCTCGAGGTACACAACGTGCCCGCGAGCCCCGCCGTATCGGACGCCAGCGACATGGAAATTGAACTCTCTCGCCAGAGCGTTCGCGAAGACGACGAAGACACGGCGCTGCTGCTGGCCAAGAAGACGCCGCCGAGCGGTCGGAAGCGCGCCTTGTCACCGTCGGTCGACCACGCCCGGTCGCACGCGCCGTCGGCCAGCTCGACGCCTTCGAGCGCTAGTCCACCAGAGCCAGCGACGCCGTTTCGCAACACGGATGCGTCCTCGGACGTCATCGCGCGTCTCATCGACTCGAAAAATCACATTGTCGTACGTCCTCTCCTCGGTGTCGACGAGATCTGATGTTGTGCTTAATAGGTGAATGGCGTGACGTTCTTAAGCCTCAAGCAGATTGGCAGTGGCGGCAGCAGCAAAGTCTTTCGCGTCTTGGGGCCCGATATGCAGACGTATGCGCTCAAGAAGATCAAGATGAAGCGCATGGACGACGCGTCTGTCATCAGTTACGAGAACGAGATCATGATGCTCAAGCGCCTCCAAGGCTCGCCCTACATCATCAAGCTCCTCGCCAACGAGATGGACTACGAGGGCAAAGTGCTTTATGTGGTACGAAGCTTGTCGCTTCTCTCGACCGCAAGCACACTCTTCGGTCGTAGGTCATGGAGCAAGGCGAAATCGATCTCAAGGACAAACTCAAGGAGCTCAAAAACAACCAAATCGTGCTCGAAGAGAATTTCCTGCGAATCACGTGGCAGCAAATGCTACAGGCAGTCAATTACATCCACAACCAGCGCGTGATCCACGGTAGATCGATCCCATCTCGATCGATGAATCTCATGAACAATGCGTGTCGTAGGGGACTTGAAGCCGGCCAACTTTTTGTTCGTCAACGGCGCGCTCAAGCTCATCGACTTTGGCATCGCCAAGGCAATTTCGAACGACACGACCAATATCGTGCGCGAAAACCACGAGGGCACAGCCAACTTTATGCCGCCCGAGGTCGCGTCCGGCATCATCGCGACGGACCATGCCGCGATGCCCAAGAAGGTCGGCCGCGCCGGCGACATTTGGTCGCTCGGGTGCATTCTGTACCAGATCGTGTACGGCGACACGCCGTTCGGGACGTTCAACAACATTTTCGAAAAGTTTGTGCGCATCTCCGACCCAAACTACGCGATCACGTTCAAGAAGCTCCACAACAAGCCGCTCGAAGACGTGATCCGGTCGTGCCTGCAGCGAGATCCGAAGCTCCGACCAACCATCGAAGGTCCCCATGGCTTGCTCGAGCATCCGTTTTTGAACCCGAACAAGGGCGGGCTGACACCGTCGACGCTCGAGACGACCTTGGCGAAAGCCACGCAGTTCATTTACGAGCACGGGTGCTCGCCCGCCGTCGTCGACATTGCCGACCAACTCCAAGCTGCTGTGAGCCACCACCATCTCACCAACGTCGTGCCCAACTCACAGACAGCCCTGTAATACTTTTCGTGATACAATTAATTATTTGCCCGCCATCGCGCTTGCGTGTCAAGTCGGCTAAGTGCGATGTCTCGCACTTGAAGGACCATTTGCAGACATGAAGCTCTTCGTCGGCCTCGACCTGTCGACGCAGAGCATGACAGGCGTCGTGGTCGCTGCGACGCCGATGCCCAAGCCATTTGCAGTCGTGGCGTCCAGGACCTTCCAGCTCGATGACCGGCTTCCGCACTATGGTAGCCGCCCACCCGCAGGTTACTCGCACCAACTCATCGATCGGTAGGCACGACCAAGGGCGTTCTGTTGCACGGCGCGCACGTCGAAGTGCCCAGCTTGATGCTTGTCGAGGCCGTCGATGAGATCCTGTGCGAGCTCTCGGCGGCGGTGGAAATGGCGGGGTACACGATGGCCAACGTCGTCGCTGTGAGCGGCAGTGCGCAACAGCACACGAGCGTCTTCTGGAGCGACGCAGAGCTCTGCCTGCCTGACGACGCGTCGACAACGCTGCGCGATCACTTGCAGGACGCATTTGCGCCCGCGAACGGCCGCAGCTGGATGGACGCGACAACGACGGCCGAGTGCAGGGCGCTTGAGGCCGCTGTTGGAGGCGCCCAGCGGCTGGCCGACGTGACGGGCTCGCGCGGCTACGAGCGCTTTACGCTGATCCAGCTGCTGTCCCTGGACCGCGATCTCCTCGAGCGTGCAGGGCGCGTTAGCATTGCGTCGTCCTTGCTCACGTCGCTCTTCCTCGGGGCGTTCGCGCCCATCGACCACAGCGATGGCAGCGGCATGAACCTCATGGACATCGCGACGCGGCAGTGGTCCAGAGACGTTCTTAACGCCGTGGAAGATCGCTGGGTGCCATCGTCGACGCTCGAGCGGCTGCTCGGGCCGGCGCCAACCGCGTCGCACATGTCGCTCGGTCCCATTGCACCGTACTTTGTCGAGCGCTTTGGCTTTACCAAGACGTGCCGCGTGATTCCGTTCTCGGGCGACAACCCGTGCACGCTCGCAGGTACAGACTCGCGTCCATTCGAGCAAATTCTTAAGCATCTATGCGTAGGTATGGGCCTGGCGTCTGTCGGTGATGTGGGCATTTCCCTCGGGACGTCCGGCTGCATGTTTGTCGTTGCCGCGCCAGAAGCGATTCGCCCGTCCGGCGAGGAAGGTCACGTGTTGACCAACCCCGTCGACCCCAAGACGCTGATGGTGTTGGCCTTGTCACTGCTGTTGGAAAGAAACTCACGCGGAGCGTAGGGCATGCTTTGCTTCAAGAACGGGTCCTTGGCACGCGAGGTACCACCGGCTGTATGGACCATGGCCTCTGCATTTGCGCTCTAGAACGTTCGCGATCGACGCGCCGACGGGTCGTGGGCCGAGTTTTCAAGACTCATGGACGCGACGCCGCCCGGCAACAACGGTGTCATGGGCTTCTTTTACCTCACGCCCGAGATTACGCCCGTCGTGCCCACCGAGTCGGCAGCACCGACCCTCAGCGGCATCCACGGGTATACGGCAGACGGCAGCGCCTTAGATCTACTGCAATCCCCACCCGCTGTTGAAATCCGCGCCATGGTCGAGTGGCAGTGCCTTGCCATGGCGTGCCACCTGCAAAAGCTGTACCACGGCCCGATCGCGCGCCTCATCCTGGCAGGCGGTGCGTCCGTGAACCGATCGCTCGTCGAGACGCTCGCCAATGTCTTCAATGCGCCCGTGTACATTGAAGACAACAAAGTCAACACCGCGGCTCTTGGTGGCGCACTGCGTGCGCAGCACGGTGCTGCGTGCGACGACGCCGGCATGTACCGTCCGTTTGACCCGAAAGTCGGCCTCGAGCTGCGAGCGACGCCAGCGCCAGAGACACGCCACGTGTACGAGCACATGATTCGTCGGTTTCCGAGCTTGGAAGCGACGGCGATTGCGGCCCAGCGACAGCGCTTTGGCCCTTGAGAGAAAATATGTTTTTTGTTTGGATTGGCATGCGATGCAGCACGGAAAATTGATTTGGTTGCACGACCTCACGGAAGTGCGGACCTTGGGCCAGACAGATCATGGGGATCATGCTGGTCGTTGCAAATGATCACGCGCACGGCAGCAACAACGTCGACCCCACGTAGCCAAAATACCTCGAAAAATGAGGAAATTCATCGAAACTCTACTGTAGGAGCGCTGTCTACCCGTCAAATGGCGGACTCTCAACGACAAACACCTAATTGGGGCTAACTGGCACGTAATGGTGATAACGGCTCTCCATATGAGATTGCGCGCGGCGGCCTCGGTCGGCGACGGCGCAAACTGACGATTTAGCACCATTGAAACGCCGGCGCAGGTCGCGAGGGCGTCGAGAAGCACCATTTTTCCTACCTTTCAAAACGATTGACGCTCAAGTCGAGTCGGACACCGTGCCGCGAGCCACGTAGAGCAGCTGCAAGTGACGTAGTGCTCGTCAGACTGCAGCACGAGAGGATGATTTCGCGCACATCGCGCGGTCGGTGCAGTTGCGGAGGCTCGAATTGGCGATTGCTCCATTTGCACCCGATCAGCCACACTGTCTCGAGGGCGGGAGCAACTGCCATGAGCACATCAAACATGGCTTTAGAGAAGCCACGATGTGGAGCGATCTTGACATATTGCAGAGCTGGAGGTCGCATCGGCATCACTGGAGCCCCGTTGGGATATCGAACGTCGAAGCTGGTCAACCCGAGCCCTTTTAGAGCCGTGAGACGTGGGAGCACATCCAGCACGCTTCTGACGTTGATTTCGCACACGATGTCAAGCGACGTCGAGCGAGTGCTGTGCAAGAGCCGCTCAAGGAAGCGCTGATCCATAAAGCGCCGCTCGAAGCCATAGCTGCTGATACGTAGCTCCGAGAGGTTCTCCAACCACGGTCCATCGATGTCGTCCAACAGGAGAGTGCCGGCCGGCTCAAGATGGAAAGAAAGACTGGACAGCGAGTGCGCTGCAGCGAGAAGAGGAACGATGCTGGCGTTGACTCGATCGTTGTCGTTGCTGTACCAAAAGTCCAGATGTTCGGCATGTCCCGACGCCAGCCATGGTTGGAGCGCAGTCGGTCCCTGGCTGCAACGAAACGACGAGCAATCGGTGCACGTGGTGGGCTGGCGTCGTAAATACCGCAACGATCCGGGACGATCGCTTCTTATCTGCGGATAGGAAAACCTCCTTGAGGCTCGCGCACAGCCGGACGCAGTGCAAAGCGCGGGCAAGTCCAAGGTCAAGTCGATGGGCAGGTTGGTCGCGATCCGGTATTGGGATTGGAATTCGCTACGTCTGATTGGTTCAATTCAAGCCAATCAACGACAGCAAAACGCAATTTGGTTTCACAACGGCCATGGACGCCGACAACAACAATGCGACCGACCGCAGGGCCGAGCTCGAGCGGCTGCGCGCGCTCATCGAGGAGGCCGCCGACCAGCGCGACGAGCTCCAGCAGACCAACGCCATGTACGCGGTATGCAGCCAGGGCGCGGCGAGATCGCTTTTCATAGGCTCCAGCGCAAGATTGCGCCGCTGGTCCAGAAGAAGCAAGACTCGGAGAAGAAGGAGGACCGATTGAGCGTCGTCGAGAACGAAAAGCGGTACTACGACTGCCTCAACAGCGTGCACGAGGCGCGGGTGCAGCTCGCGACCGCCCAGACGCAGTACGACCGCATCGCGATGGAGCTCCAGGTACCGCGTTCGTCCTCGCTTGCCTCATACAGCAACCAACGACAGGCGCGGCTTGATGAAAAAGAGTGCAAAGCCAACGAGATCCACGAGTCGTTCATGGAGTTCAAGCGCGAGGTGGCCCGCAGCGCCGAGAACACGCGGACCGGCAAGCCGATTCCAAAGCGCATCATTGCGCAGTTCGAAGTCGCCGAGGTCAAGAAGGACCAGGAGGTCGAGAAGGTCCGACTCAAGAACATCAACCTGCGCACGCACTTGCGCAAGCTCGAGGCGCAGCTGCATGCGAAGGAGCAGCTCGCCGAAGGTCTGCACCTCATCGACTTTGAGCAGCTCAAGATTGAAAACCAAACGCTCAACGAAAAGATCGAAGAGCGCAACGAGGAGCTGCACAAGCTCCGGAAGAAGACGACGACGACGGTCCAAGTGCTCACACACATCAAGGAGAAGCTGCAGTTTGTGCTCGTCGAGAACCAAGCGCTCAAGCACGACCTCTCGGAGCTCGACGAAGAGCTCACCCAGTCGCGCGATGTTCTCACCAAGCACAAAAGGACCGCGACGCGCTTCGCCACACGCAGGCAAAGATGAAGCACCAGCAAGGCTTTGCCAACTCGCACTTGCTCATGGCCGACTTCGAGAAGCGCAAGGTCGACATTGAGGACTACCAAGGCCGCCTCGAGCAGCTCAAGCAGCGTCTTGCGTATCTCAACAAGAAAAAAGCTGTGTAAACAGTTAGGAAAATCGCGGAAAGGGCAGGCTGCAAAAGTGAGGTTCGGTGCTGGCCTCGCGCGAGAAGCCGCGGTTGCGCGCCGACACGTTCTCCTTGTCGTCCTTGTGCCTACATAACGCGACATGACATCGGCGCGTCATGCGAAACGTTTGGTACCCGTCGCGCGGCGTAAAGCTCAGCAGCGTCGACGCGGCCATGAGCGACGTGTGGGTTGGCGACGTCGCGCCGCGCGCGTCCAGCTCGGTCTGGAACGGCAGCGGGCGGAGCGTTGGCGGGCGGCGGAGGTGCGCGGACTTGAGAAGCTGCTCCTCGAGGCGAGCGACCCGCGCCGTGAGCTCGGATTCGCGCGCTCTCGCCTCGGCCAGCTCCTTTCCCAGCTGCTCGTTGCGCAAAATGAGGTACAAGGGCGAGGCCTCGAGCATCGGCAGTGGGCGATGGTGGTGCGTCGGCGGAAAGACTAGCGGCGGCGAGAACGGTGGGCTCCTGTCGGCCGTCGTCGTCGCGTCCGAGTCGGTCGGCTCGAGAAGCCGGATGCGCGGGTAGACGTCCGGGCGATGGCGCTTGGCCGGCGGGCTCGCGTCGATGGCTGCTGGAAGGTGGGTCGGGCACGGACCGCACCAGATGAACGTGATGTGCTTTCGCCGCGTCTCGGGCTTGATGACGAGGATCTTCTTGATGAGGTTGAGCGAGCACAGCACGTTGGCAATGTCGTAAATGCGACGTGTCGGCGCTACACGAGCCATGAGCACCCGGCACGGCGTCGCGAGACATGGCAGCCTACACACGGGGTGCTCGTCGCCGCATGCGGCAATGTCGGCCGTCACGACGTGCATGATGTCTTCGAGCACGACGGGCTCCGGTCGTTCCTACGTGCGCAAGCGATGTCGTGATGCGATCAATGACGATGATCGAGTAGTACCTGGTGCAGGAAGACTTGAAGGAAGCGCTCGCTGAGCGCCGTTGCGACGGCTTTCCTCGCGACGGGCGCTTCGTCCGGCGAAGGGTGCTGTGGCGCATGAGGTTTACGATGCGGTGTGGCTGCATGTACCTTGAGGCGCTGGAGCGTTGCGAGCATGGCCTCGTCGCCGATCCAGCGGCAGAGGCCAATGCCAACCTTGGCGATGAGGCCGACGCTTTGGATGATGTTCAAGATCTCGTGCAGCCGGCGCTTCTGTGTACCTACGCACTCGCGTCGTCGCAAGGCCTAAAGGCGCGGGTGGCCACCTAGTGATTTGGCCGCATGCACAATGTTGACGGCGTCCGGCGCGTTGCGGAGCATGGCACAAAACCTGCAGCGCCATGAGTCCATGGCCTCGACGAGCCGCTAGAGGTACTTGATGCTGAGGACTGTAATGGACTTGTCCATACGCTGGAGGTTGGTGTTGCGCGCCGAGCGCTCCTTTGCCGGCGCCAGCAGCATCCTCCTCGCCGCTTCGTGGGCCTGTCTCGGAAGATCGCAAAAACCCCACTAGTTTTTTGTCCAACGTCTTGACGTTTGTATGCACGATTGAAATGTACAAAAATGGAACCCGCCTTGCAGAGAGGGATCGCCCGCTCATTCTGGTCGACGTAGACTGGCAGGATTCTGGTCGACTCAGACTCTAGTAGGATTCTGGTCGACCCGAGATTGCATTTCGTGCAGCACCAGCATGTCGCCACGTCATGGTGTTGGCTCGCCTCCGGTTACGACCCAGGTCGTTACGCGTTGATACTTGTCGCTCTGCATTGCGGCGAGGTCGTAACGATGGACCTCATGATGCGGCTCAAGGGCCACGCCTTCAAGGCCATCTCGGACGAGTTCAAGGTGCGGGAGGCGACGCTTGGTGGCGACGGTCTTCCGCTGCAGGACTTTGTCGAGATCATGCTCCGCGCGCTGCCCAAGCCCAAGCACGCGACGGAGAAAGCCGAGACGATCGCGGGCCTCGTCGACCTCTTCAACGACATTGACGTCAACGGCGATGGCACGCTCGAGTTCAACGAGTTTACTTCCTACTGCGTCGACGCCGGCATGGTCGCAACGCGCGTCAAGGTCGCGCCGCTCAAGTACCAATACATCAAGAACCGGTCGTTCGTGGATCGAACGACGCAGGGCGCGTCGATCGAGAAGCTCAAATGGTGCTCGGATCTCAAGCGCGCGCTGGCTGTCGAGGCGAGCTCGAGTTGCGTCAAGGTTTACTCCGCCGACTTTCTCAAGGTCACTGAGGTGTACCCGAGCAGCCCGTCACTGGCCGTGCTGCCGTCCATGGTGGTGCCAGGCACGGGCCCGGGCTGTACTACGTCGCATGCTGGGAGCGACATGAACCCGAGCAGCAGCCTCGGGGGTCTCCTTGGCGCCAAGAAGACGAGCCACGCGAATGGGTGCGCGAGCCACGCGGCCGCACTCGTGCTGGACGCCGAGTTTTTGGCGCAGCTGCGGCTTCTGGCGGTCTCGTCGTCCAACTTTGTGCTCTCGTTCTACGACACGGATCACTACGAGTACGTCATGGAGAACCAGACGACGGTCGCGCAGACGCTCCTGCGCTGGTGCGAGCCCGCGCGGCTTCTCTTCTCGACGGGCAACAACAAGGTGCTCAACGCGTGGAGCGTGGCGCGCGGGCGCATCTCGCTTGTCAAGCAGCTCTACCACCACCTTGACGTCGTCTCCGACGTCCTCGCGGTGCCACAGTACGACCTCATCGTGTCGTGCGACCTCAAGCGGTACATTTACCTCTGGGACATTCAAGACTGCCGGCCGCGCGGCAGCCTCGTGGGCCACACGCACGGCGTGCGCCAAATGGTCTTCTCGCCCATGAACGACCTCTTGGTGACCGCCGGCTTTGAGTTTGACGCGTACGGCTGGGACATTTCTTCCAAGCAGCGCATCATGACGCTGTCGGGGCACCGCGCGTCGCTCGTCGGCGTCCAGCTGGCGCGGTTTCACACGGAGCGCGCCGTGACCGCCGACATTACCGGACTCTTCAAGATCTGGAACATCCACCGGCTCAATGGCGCCCAAGCACAGCTCCTCGAAAGCATTGCGCCGGCGTCGACGATCGCGCACTTCAACCCGCGTTCGTTCATCACGCTCTCGCCCAAGCGCGACATTGTCGCCGCCAGCTGCGTCTTGCACATCTTTGAAAGCGTCAAGATCCAAAAGCACGACGAGATTCCACTACGCGCGTTCTTCCAGCACAGTAGCAACCAGTTTTTGGGCCTCACCGAGACAAGCGTCAACCTCTGGGACGGCAACACGGGTCTCCTCCTCGAAGAATTCACAGGTCCGCGCCATTTTGCATGCGGTTGGTTTCATGTTCAAGGGTTAGGGTTGACGCAGAGCAGCTTTGTGCTGTGCTGCCAAGACGCACTCCATCGCAAACTCGTGGTCGCCACCGACGACGGCGCCGTGGAAGTGTACAACTGCACCAACCTCGCGCGCGTCCGCCGGTCCAACTGCACGATTGGTGCGCCTCTACAGGTGGTGACGACTAAACTTTTCGTCGTAGGTCGCATTGGGTCGTTGCATTACGACTCGAAGAACAAATTGATCATTGCGACCACGGGCGCGGCGTCGCCCAATGACGCGGGCGGTATCTTCATCTTGGACGACGGCACGGTCGGCGAGTGTGTTCTCTTGCGGTCCCTCGCCAACGTCGAGGTGACGGCCAGTGCATTTAGTGTGAACGCGTCTCTTGTGGCTACTGCCGCTGGCGACCACTGCATCCGTTGCTGGGACTTTGAGACGCTGCAGCTGCAGATCGTGTGCCGAACCGAGACCGGCGACATCCACGTCGTGGCGTTCTTGGATCCATATCCCGTGCTCGTGGCCGCAGACGGTGTCGGCAACGTCTTCTTCTTCGCCACGTCGCCGCAGTATACGTGCAACACGGGCGGCTGCCTCCACGCGTTTCTCAATACGGGGCCGAGTCCCGACGGCACCGGTATGACCTTTTTTCTACGACGCTTTCCACTCTTCCGTAGACCACCCGGTAGTGGTGACGACACTCACGTGTCTGTACCACGAAGACGAAGCCAAGCACGTGCTTGTGACGGGCGACGACGAAGGCCGCATTGCCGTGTGGGATCTCTCGGTCATGCTCCGGCGGCTGCGATTGCAGGTCCGTGTTATCTCCGCCATGCAGCTCCTGCGAACGACGCTGTAGGTCATTCCGGAAGACAAGCTCAAGAGCAAGCGCCGCGGGTACAACGCCCACTGTACGTTTTCGCGGACGTTTGACGCCGACCGGGTCGCCGAGAATGCGCGGCGCCACACGACGCGTCTGCCCGACGACGTCCTGCGGCGGGTCGCGCCCAAGCGCGATGGTACCACTGACGGCAACCTTCGCGCGCGGGAGCACCACCACGGCGGCACGATTCGCACGGGCGTGTACGTCGTTGCGCACGGCCCCTATTGGTACACCCCCCTTCGTTTCGATAGGACCGACCCCGTATTATGTGTAGGGATGTCAAGGACGTGACGCGGCTCGCGTCGTGGGTCGCGCACGCCGACAGTATCACGGGCATCGAGTAATCTCTTGATCCGATGAAGCGTGAAACAAATGGTGGTAGAGTCAACGACCGACCAAATGTGCTCGTCAGCTGCGCGTTCGACGCCCGCATGTACGTGTGGGACTGGCGCGGCAACTGCCTCGGGTGCCTCACCACGAACGAAGACGACATGCGGTCGATGCCGTGGCACTTTGCGCGCGAAGACGCCAAGCGCGCGCGCGAACGACAAGAAATTGTCGCCGAGATCGTCGCCAAGCTCGACATGACGCCGGACGAGCGCGAGCGCGCGGCGTCGGAGCGCCGACAGATTGCATTTCCATCCGAGAAGGTCAATCCGCTGCTCCAGACGATGCTCTTTGCACCGCAGCACAAGAAGAAGAAGAAGAAGAAAGACGACGACCAAGGTGCCATGTTCTGTCAAAAGGCCCAGCGCAAGCGGGTACAGACCCCGGAACAAATCAAAGCCATCGCTCGGTAGACAGACGCCCGATCCGTTTGACTAAGCGACTGGTTAGGCACACGAGCTTGCTGCAGGTGCGGCCGCTGATTCACCACGCACGACCACCGGCACCGACGTCCGCGGAGGAGAACGACGAGCATGACGACTCGCCTCATCGATGGAGCCTCGCGGCGCCCGAGCCAGAGACGCAGGGACCAGCGGCACCGACGCTGACGGAGCGCCTCCTTCGACTCGAGCAACAAGAGCGCCTCGTCTCCAAGACCGACGCGGTGTACGTCAACCTTGTACAAATGCAGCACGACAAGACGCACAAAACGTCGGCGGTCAAACGCAACCTCATGCGCAACGTCGACATCGAGCTCTCTCCGTTCTTGGAGGCAAAGCTTGGCCCTGATAAGCCGGCGCTGCAGCGACGACCCAACACGGCGCCGCTGCCCCGCGTAGTGAAGCCGCTCAAGCGCACGCCGGCCTCGCTTACAGTGCTACCCGCGTCGCACAACGACCGGCTTCGGCGGCTCACGGCGATGCGTGCGTCGTCGTCGGCGGCCGTCCTGGCGCTGCTCGCACAAGAAGAGTCCAAGGACGCGGCTGCCACCCTCGGGAAGCTCACGCGCATCAACGACATCATTTCGACCGCGACGTCGTACACATCGCCCGATGCGTCCATGAAAGCACCATTGTCGCAGTCACCCAAGGCCTTTTCAACCGACGAGCAAGCCGTGCTGCGTGCGCATGCGGTGGCCACCCAAGAACGGTACATGCGATGTCAGAGACGGTAGATGTTGACTTGTTGTAGGTACGAGGCGACGATGCGCGTCGACGGCATCGACTTGGCGACGCAGCTCAAGCTGGCGCGCTTGCAGCAGACCAAACTCGAGAAGGAGAAGCGCATGCAGCGCTACATGGCGCAGAAGCAGCGCGACGCGCACTCCAAGATCGGCGAAGCACTGCGGCACACGTCGGTACTATTTGCAAGCGCGCCGACGACCGACGTCCTCGCGGACGCCGCCAAGCAGCGACGCTTTGGCATGTACTCGACGAAAGAAGTCATGGTCATCATCCGCCTCTTTTGGGCGCTCGACACGGACAACTCGGGCAACGTCACCGAGACGGAGCTCAATGGCTGTCGCGGCTTTTTCGAAAGCATGGGCTACTCGGACATGGCGACGATCTTCCAGACCATCGACGCCGACGCGTCCGGTCACGTGACGCTCGCCGAGCTCTTCAAGATCTGCTTCGCCTACGCGACGTCGGCCGAGATCCACGAGATGGTCATGCTCGAGCGCCTCGGCCGCGCGCCGACCGTCTTTGCCGAGGACAAGCCGCTCACGCCCGACCAGATCGCCGAGCTGCGCGAGATCTTTACTGTCTTTGACCGCGATCGCAGCGGCACCGTGTCGTTTGCCGAGGTCCTCGACGCACTTCAGTACCGACACGACGACGATGACGCGGGTAGCACGCTCGCCGACCTCGCCAAGCTCTACGAGGCCGCCGACAACGACGGCAACAAGGAGCTGAGCTTTGACGAGTTTGTGCAGCTGCTGCAAGAGCTCTACCGCGACAAGCCAAGATAGCATATAATATCGTCATATTGTCGTCAAGGGGGTCTACGAAAGGGGCACGACGTCGATCGGGTGCACCATGAGGCCGTGCGACGGCGCGCATGTAAAGTACGTCTGGCCTTTTAGCGTTCCGTTGTTCTTGCCCAGTGGCTCGTCGAGGACGACGCCGACGAGGTCGCCCTTGGCATAATGCACGGGCCCGACGTACGCAACGTGGCCTTGGAGCTTGCCAAACACAAGGACGCGTTCGTTCAAAGTCAGAACCGGGTACGACGACGGCTTGCATGGCTCGGGCGCCGGTGGTGGCATGCTGGGCGCCGCCGCCGGAGCGGTTGGCACTTTGGAGGTTGCCCGGGCAACGCGCACGGCTCCCTTGCGTCGTGCTATGATGTCATGAGGAATCACAAACGATGCCAGTTGTGTATGTACGTGGCATGCCGACACGTAGCCCGCGCTTCTTGCTGCCCCGTGCACTACATTGCCGATAAGATCTGAGCTTGGTGGCAGGAACGATGTGACTCACCGTGGCATCTTCATGTCCATAAAGGCCATGGACTGCATGAAGCTCGCAAGGTCACCGACTAGTCAAACCATGATGAGATCTCATAATATTTCCCTGCTTCGCTACGGTCATCAAAGTCGTCGCCCATGCCGTCAAACATGCCCCCGTCCATGCCCATCGAGGCCATGAATTCGAGTTCTTCGTCATCCCTAGCAGCAACCATCGTCAATACCAGCGCAAGAGCCATGGGCGCTATCGCACAGCTCGTTAGGGTCAATGCCGCCAAAGAACATGTCTTCAAAGTTGAACTCGGGCTGGCGTCGCCGGCGGCCGCCCTTCTTTCCTCGGCCCATGCTGCCAAACATCATGTCGAACATGTGGAACATCTCCTCGACGTTGATGTCCATGCCAAAGCCGCCATCGCCGTGAAGCTCGTCTTGGTTGGACTTCGGATCCGAAATGCGCTTGTATGCGGCGCTAATGGCCTGGAACTTGGCCGTCGTGTCTTCGCCCTGGTTCTTGTCCGGTGGAACTTGAGCGCTAGCTTCTTGTAAGCCTGGCGCACGTCGTCCGGCGAGGCCGACGTCTCAAGGCCTAGCGTCCTACGCAGCGTGACCGTGAGCGGCGCGGGCGCAAGCGCGGCCCTTACCGGTAAGCCTCGACGAGCTTCATGGCGGAAATCTGGAAATGGAACCTTGGAATCTTCCATCCCGGGTTGCGATTGGTCAAAAGGTGGCGACGTTCTTGTTCCGTTGATTGGGTAGAATATTGCAGACCATGGCCCTGGATTGGCTGTAATGCTACTAATTTTCTTCTAAAAGGTACATCCCATTCGCCACTTTCCTTGCATTTTGGCCAATGAATAGCAAGAACAATGCGCAACTGGCGCACAGCAGGATTCCAGGACGATTGGAGCGTCGAATTGTGTTGAAAAATGAAATCGCCCTATCTTGGCACAGGGGTAGCTGGCACTTCGGAAATCATAATCCACCAAGCCGTGTTGCCGTGCGGACAGTACTGCAAGAGCAGCATGTGAAACAATTAAATGTGGCTTAAGCCATACTTGGCCACGTTTTGCCACATATAGTTACGCTCAACCATTTCCAGGCGTTCGGATCGCCCATCATCGTTGAAAAATAAAATCGCCCTACTTTGGTAGAGTGATATCTGACACTTTGAAGGACATAATGCGTTATTCCACGTTGTCGTGCGAGTCGTACTGCGTGAGGAACAGGACAAACTGTTAAAAATGGTACGTGCCATATCTAGCCACTGCTTGCCACATTCAGCCACATATCACATACTATTTGCGTGAAGCCATTGGCACACTATATGTCATTTTACTAACAGTATTATAAATCCTTCAGGAAAGTTTCTTTTTGTGTGAGGCAAGCGGCCAAGCCCATGACCCTTGCGCCGCCCGAGTCTGTCGTGCCGGAAGATCTCCCGGTGCAGTTCCAGGCCGCCGTCAAGGTACTTCAGCCTCTTCAGGCACACGATCTCAGCGCGCCGGTCTATGTAGAAATACGTGCAAGGCAAAGGCAAGACCAAGAAGACGCGCCCGAAGAAGCAGCCTCGCCTGACGCCCGAGCATGTAGCCGCCACGACGTCGGCCGCGCCAGGTACGCAAGCTCAGCCAAGCAGCTCATCAAATACTGCTCCCTAGACATGGAAGCCATTCTCCGGTGCACGTGGGCGCTGCAAGAGCCCCTCAACTTGGAGGCACTGCCGAGCACGACGCTCGTCAACGTCATGAGCGCCACCATGACCTGCTTGTTCGAGACGCACCAGGCGATTCCGCTCGCAAGCCTCGTCGGCGCAAAGGACGGCGACGTGGCAATACCACCGCGCACGACGATCCAGGCGGCCAACGGGCACCCGATCTACCGCGTCCTGCTTGGGATCGCGCGTCGCTGCGTCTCGATGGTCTGGTGCCGGCCCGACGCCGAGACTACGTTCAGCGACCTCATGACCATGCTCATGACGTGGATCGAAGCCGACGCGACGACGTGGGCGTGGCTCTTGGCCTTTATCGGGACCCATGCGACGCGACCGTTGCTTGAGCACACGCTTCGAACCATCTCAACGCGTAAGCCAATCGCCATGTGTCTCTACTTTGAGCTGATTATTTGAGTAGAGGGTGCCCAGACGTCGCCAAGCCTTCTCGCCAACCTCACAAACTTCCTCGTCCCGACGTACCCGCTGTACGTCGCACCGGCTGTCTTTGCCGTCGTCGCGGCTGCCTCGGACGAGCATCTCTGCCTCCTCTGCAGTGTGCTCCGCGAGTGCCCACAGCTCGTCCTTGCTTGCGACGGACATCTGTCGACCGTCCCGCTCGACACGCTGCGGCGCCGCCTCGCGTCCGCCGACGTTCGCCGCCAGCTCCTCGAAGTGTGCACGGCGCGCGCCGCCGAACTGGTTCAAACGCCGATCCACACCATTTTCGCACTCGAAAGCCTCGGCGCCGAGTGTCCCTTCCACGCCGAGTACCTCGCGTATCTCCCGACGAACGTGTCCTTTTTCCAGCGCACGATCGAGTCCCTGGCGCACCTGGTGACGACGCTGCCAGCCAGTGACGCGCCGTCGTCGTTCCATGTGTACTTTTGGCCACTCGTGGCTCGCCACGGCAGCGCTGCCCAGATCCGAGAGGTAGGATACTAGAACACTATTATATGTCGGCGTCGAACATCGCTGTAGGTTTGCAGCGCCCTGTTGCATCTACCCAACGGCCTCGCGCGTTGCGAGCTGCTGCTGCCACACTTGCCACCGGTGTCAATTGCGAGTCTGTTGGATCTGCTCGCGTCCCAGCTCTCGGCTGCGCATCCGCACCAGACGCAGCGCGCCCTGCGAGGGTTGATTGCACTTGTACCACCGAGCGCCGACGTCGAAGTGCCCACCGCGCACTCGATCGCCGGCCAGCTCGACGCGCTGGCGGCGTGGAAAGCGAGCTCTGGCGTGGCCCACTGGCACGCCGTGCTAGCGCAAGCACGCAGCGCCGACCGTGCGACGTCCGATTTGGCGCTCTCGGTGCTCGAGTCGCTGCCGTACCCGACGCTTGAGGACCCGATCTGGCAATACACGTGCGTCTACAGCCTTCTGCAGCTTTTCTTTCGCCGCCTGGGTGAGCAGCAACCGCTCGCAAGCCTCACACGCGTGCTCTCGCGCATCATCGCCGGCGGCGGCGGCGTCGCAGCGTACCCAGCGTCCGTCGCGACCACGTTTACGTGCCTCTTTGTGGACGCAGTTCTTAGCGCGCACGCGCCGACAACCATTTCGCACCATGTGCCGCAAGAGCTCAACTTTTTCCAGCCGGACGACCGACCCGTCTCGGACGCTGGCCACGTCTTTCGCAAGCTCTCGGCAGCCAACACGCTGCGTCCGTACGACCCGTTTCCAACACCTTGCGGGAGCAAGGACGCGAGTAGCGAGGTGTCGACCTCTGTGCTTGCGCAACTGCAGCTTGGCCGCGCCAAGTGGGTCGATGCTGCGCTTCCAGCGCCGTCGACGTACGACGCGATGCTCCAGGGACTGTACAAGGAGAAAATGGCAGCCGCTGTCGCGTGCTGCGCCGAGGCAAAGGCGCTTTTGCTGGCGACGCAGCCCGACTGGAGCGGCCTCGTCGATTTGCTTGTCGAGCGCATGCTGCCGGTCGCAGTGTTTATGCCGGCCGATGAGCAGTACCGCGTACGTTTTATATGGATGCCACTACGAGGAGCTGATCATGTGGTAGGACGTGCTGCCCGAGCGCACCAACTTCGACGTTGATTTGCGCATGGAGCAGTGGTTACTGCACTACCCGTTTGTTGTCTCGCTCCTCGAGTGCATCGTCGCGTACGGCCCGCCGCATGCGGTGCTGCGCTGTCTCCCGCTGCTCAAGAGCCTCCTCGTGGTGCTCATCAACTATTGGCACGCGCGTCGGCACCAGCGCCTCGACGACGTCCAAGACGATGGCACACCGCCGCACTTGCACATGTCGCACATGCTCGCGGTGACGTTGGAGGTCATGGCGGTCATTGCGCAGACGCAGTGGATCCCGGAGCCGCTCCAAGGCTGCGGAACACTCTTCCCACTTCTGACACCGCTGGACATTCGGTCGATCTTGCACGCGCTGTGGCTCTACCTGAGCGACCACCCGCCGACGCGCCACGCACGTGAGAACGGCAACATGGAGTACTACCTTATGCCGCTCCAGCATGCCGTGCACCGCAACATGGCCGCCATCGGACCTCTCTACGCCCAGTTCGCCTTGCATTAATATCACATTATGTGCTGCATCATCATCTAGCAGCTCCATCGCAGCTACCTGCGACGAGTCGCCCGGAAGAGTCGCTACCTGAAGACGAAAAGGGTGCAGGTAGGAGAAAGCAATAGGGTGGCAGGGCAGACACTCGCGGGCGCCGTGATGGCCAGAATGCTTGTCGACGTTCCTGATGCGCCAACCGTTATAAAGCTGTGTCCAGACCCATGTCCGAGACGACCCTCTGCAAGATCCCAAGAAATGAGCCCATAAGAACTTACGAGTACGATGAAGTGGACTCTGGATAGGATCATGGATCACCAGTCTTCCGACTTGAAGGCAACTTGGCCCGTTGCAGTCGGAACGTCCTTGGCGAGGAGGTTCTCGTCAGCTGTTAGAACTCGCTACCAGAACTAGAGATCGATGCCAAGGACAGTCGTGATGGGAGAGAAAGGCGGTATCTTCAGAGCGACAGGACCGTCGTCGCTGATTGGCTCGCGGTTGATGGGGTTGGATGTGATTGGCGGGCACGAACGGTGGTCATGAGAGCCAATCGATTTTATAAAAATACTCCCCGAATGTATGGAACAGACACGGGTCGGTCAATAAAATAAGCCACGCCGGGTACCTCACTTTGAATTACTTTGAAGAGGAACCATGTCCCGCAAAGGTGTCAAGATGGGCTTGAGCGACTTCCTGTCGACGCTGAGACTGCCAGGCAGCCGCGCCCCCATGCCCGTCGACGCGCTCCCCAAGGGTCCCCGCGCTCGCACGGATGACGACGATGGCGGCTACCGTGGTGGCCGTGGCGGCGGCGACCGCCGCGACCGCGAACCCATGCGCAGCGACGGCTCGGACCGCTGGCGTGGCGACCGCTCCAGCGCCGGTGGCTCCAGCTTCCGTGGCGGTGACGAAGGCTTCCGTGGTGGTGGCTCCAGCTTCCGTGGTGGCCGCGAAGAGCGCTACGAAGAGCGCCCCGCCCACATGCGCTTGAACCTCTCGCGCCGTGGCGACGACGGCCCGTCGGGCGGCTCGTCCTTCCGCGACTCGCGCGGCGCCGACGACGACAAGTTCTCGCGTGCCTTCTCGCGTGGCGGTGACAGCGGTCGCTTTGGTGACCGTGACGGTGGTCGCTTCGGCGGTGACCGTGACAGCGGCCGCTTCGGTGGTGACCGCTACGGCGACCGCGACGGTGGTCGCTTCGGTGGCGACCGCTACGGCGACCGTGACGGTGGCCGCTTCGCCGGTGACCGCTTCAATAGCCGTGACAGCGGCCGCTTTGGCGGTGACGTCGAGCGCGTCACGTCGGCGTACGAACGCCAGACGATCAACGAGCCCAAGGAGGACCCTGCCGAGATTGCTCGCAAGAAGAAGGAAGAGGAGAAGGCCGCGCGTATCGCCGAGAAGAAGGAAAAGAAGCGCCTTGAAGACGAAGCCATTGCCAAGGCCAAGGAAGAGAAGAAGGCCGCTGCCGAGGCCGAAGCCGCCGCTGCTGCCAAGGCTGCCGACATTATGACGTCGATCCTTGCCACGGAGAAGAAGGGCGAAGCGCTCGTCGCGGCCGCCAAGCCCCTTCTTAAGGGCACGAAGCTCGTGCCGGCTGTCGTCATGGCCGCGCTCCTCAAGCACAACCAGTTTACGGCCACGTCGAGCGTCAAGTGGATGACGCCGGACGAGTATGGTGCCTTTATGGCGTACGTCATGGCGCCGACGTCGCCCAAGGAGCAGCTCAAGGCGCTGTACGCGCTCCAGCTCTTCATGCACGAGAACCGCGGCTTGGACGGGAAGAAGACCAAGGGCATGATGGAGACGTGCTTCAAGGCGCTCTACGCCTTCGACGTGATCGCGGACGAGGCCTTCATCGAGTACAAGTACGACACGGAGGACAACACGCCCGGCAAGATGCAGGCGTTCATCGAGACGACCGAGTGGCTGAGCTGGCTCGAGACGGCCGATGACGACGACGAGGACGAGGACGAGGACGAAGACGAGTATTAAGCTACGTAGAATAGAATATCTCATTTTGTGCTGTGTAAACGCATCAGGCGTCCATGGCGTCGAGCGCCGACCACATGGCGTCGGGCAGCAGAGCTTTGCAGCGCGCCTCCATAAAGGCTACGGTCGCCACGTGCGTTGCTTCAAACTGCGTGAGGTCGGTCGTCGTCGTCAAGATGGGCGCCGCGGACCGCGCCGCGACCGAGCCATCGGCGTCAACCTGCACCTCGTCCTCCTTGAGCATCTACCCTCAGCATGAACATCGCCATGCAAATATCTTCGTCGTCCTACCTCCCACTCCTGGAAGGTCACGAGTGCCTAGATAGAAGATATGAGATCTGATTTCGACCGAGGAGAGGGTCGTGCCTCGTAGTAGCCCGGTGGCGGCGTCTCGAGACCCGGCGGAAACTTGAACGTGATGGGCGCCTGCGACGCGTAGAAGATCAGGTTCGCGGGCTCGTGGAGGTCGTTGGCGGCCATCTCGCGGAAGACGCGCACGTGGCGGAAGACCGACTTGAACGTCGCGCGGATCGCGTGGACAATGTCCATGTTGGGCTCGTTGTAGTACCCGACAAAGTTCATGACGACGACGCCTGGCATAGATGAGGACGGAAGATGAAGCAGGTCGTACCATGGCGGGTGAGCCACTGCGTGTCAATGCGCGTGAGCGTCTCCTGCGTGTAGAACGGAAGGACGTTGAAGCCCGTGTAGACGTCAATGATGACGAGGTCGTACGTCGACGTCGGCTCGTCCGCGAGGAACTGAAGGCCGTCCATGACGTACGTCTGGCCGCGCGGACACGGCGCGACGCGGCAGTCGTCGTACTCAAAGTACGACGCGGCCATCTCAACGGTCGCGGCGCTGAGTTCGACCGCGTCGGTCGGTACGCCGTTCGTGCGCAGAAAGGTCGGGACGGTCCCGACGCCGAGGCCGATCTGGAGCGCGCGGTCGAGCTGGCGCTCGAGGAAGATGGACGACTGCATGACGGCGAAGCCGGGGTACACGGCCTGCTCGCGGATCCCGTCTTCCATGAACATGGCGCCCATGATCGAGTGGTCCGAGAGGAGGAACTGCATCTCGACCGTCGACGACGCAAAGTCCATGTCGGCGCGGATGGTGCTCACGCGGGTCTCGCCTTCGAGCCGCGTCTCGAGGATGTCGAACGTGGAGGCCGACGGATTGGCGGCGAGGGCGGCGCCGGCCAGCAGCGCGAGGCGAAGCATGGTTGCAAAGTGCGGCCGGTCATGGAGGCGCTAGAATCACCCAACCACCCGCGAGTAATCTCGTTCGAAGCTCCAGCCGGCGTCGTCCATTATCAAGGGTCGTCCGTCATGCACCATTATATTAGGTGTTAGTCGAAGCGTAGTATATGCAATCTAGTCGGTCTACTGCTGGAAGCGGACCTCGGGGTACCACTTGAAGAGCGTCTCTTCGAGCTCCGCGAACGCGTCGTCAAGGTCGTTATTGACGAGGACCTTGTCAAAGTGGCCTTCGCCGGCAAAGTCGACCTCGCCCTTGGCGTTCGCAAGCCGGATCTTGATCTTGTCCTCGGTCTCCGTGCCACTAAGCAACGATGGTAGAACAAAGTGTACAGTCATACATAGGTCGTCGTCGTACCGGCCACGCAGGCGCTTCTCGAGGTCGGCCATCGACGGCGGCGCGACGAAGAGGTAGTTGACCTTCTTGAGCTGGGCGCCCTGGACCTGGCGCACGCCCTGAACGTCAATGTCCAGGATGCAAATCTTCTCCTGAGCTTGCACCTACACCACGGTTCGGCCAATAAGCTTGGAAGGTCCAGGACGTACGTGCTCGACAGCAAATTTGCTCGTGCCATATCGGTTGCCGTGGACGTTGGCGTGCTCGAGGAAGGCGTTCTTGGCGACTTGGCCGTCAAACTCGTCGATCGTGACGAAGTGATAGGCGACACCGTTGATCTCGCCTGCAAACACATCAGTCGCTTATCATCTCAAGATGCAGGACCTTCACGCGGGCCACGCGTCGTGTGGCTCACCGAGAAGCCAAAGAGCTCCGGGTACTTGGCCATGAGGCGGTTGATGAGCGTGCCCTTGCCCACGCCCGACGGACCGGCGATGACGAGCGGCGCCGGCTACGCGATGCATGCATGAGCCAATGCGATGGCGAGTAGGGACGTACCGCGATCTTCATGGGCGCGAGCGCGTCAAAGTGGGCCTTGGCGAACGCGACGACGTCGGCTGGCTTTTCCATAAGGACAGCGCACATGAAGGAGCTCATGAGCGTCTTGAGCTCCGGGTGGGCATCGAGGTACTCGAGGTGGTCGCGCTTGATCTCTTCCTTGCGCTCGTTCAAGATCGAGAGCTCCTCGAACGTCAACGTCACTTGGTCCATCGCGCGACTTGGCAAATATTGGCGTCGTATTGGTTTTTTAGCGTTTTATTCGCCATACAAACATCCAGTCACTCGCCTTCACAGGCCCACGTGCCGCCAATTCCCGGAGAAATCCCGGACACCGTCGACCCTCTTCTGACTTCGGTCAGGTTGGTCTTCATCGTCCTTGTGAGCAGAGGTACACTGCTGAACAGGACGGTAGTAGCGTACTACTACTACTACCATAACATGACGAAAGTATCAACTTGATGCATGCACGTGTCTCGAGTCGGTTTGCCCATGTGATCCCGCGTGATAACGCGAGCACGGAGGTTTAGGGTTACTCGGAACCATCGCAAGGGTTGTTAACTAGGGGACTTCGACGTAATCGTCAAAGTTGGGTTCGTCTTTGGGCTCGGGTTTCTTGTCCTTCGGGCAGCAGTCACTGATCATATGGCTCACGTGCTTGAGGACGCCGGGAATGCGGTACTTGGTCGTCTGCAAAATTGAATGGTTTCGAGGTGACCGGCTAAGACATTTCGTACCGTGCTGAGGAATTGCATGAGGCGCGCGCGCGAGATGACGCCGACGAGCTGGCCGCAGTGCGTCACATACCTACGCACGTGCAGAGGATGGGCAAATCTAAAAAACAATCGTACGCGTTGTTGAGTTTGAGCATGCGGAAGATCGTATCGACTCGCTGCATGTTGGTCATGCCCACGACGGTAAACGGACTCGGGTTCACAAGCACCTAGCATCCGCATAAGATCTTACAGCGACTGGCACCGTCTACCGTGAGCTTGGTGCGCTCGAGAATCGTGTTGGTGCCGAGCCCGAGCACGTGCCCACCCCGTCGGAACGCAAACTGGATACGCCAGTCGAGTAGCTGCTTGGTGTGGTCGTCCTATATGCTCGTAGAATCGCATCGGTACCTTGTGTAGGAAGTAAGTACCTTGGCCGTTGCCGGCATGAGCCGCGTCTTGAGGTAGCAGTACTCGATCGCTTGCTGGAGGCGGGTCCGGGTCACCGCGCCAATCAAGTGCATGGACCGCGACGAGTCCTAGTGCATATAGAACGAGCGATAAGAGCATGTAGAGCATGGCTCGGACGTCGTACGACGATGGGGAAGACGGGGTCGGCCGAGAGCGCGAGAAGTTCCTCCGCCCGCCGGTACGTAGCGTCGGCGCTCAGCACCACCATCGCATCTACCGTCTACACCGCGCTTACTATCAGACTCTACTCGGCAAACGGAGATGACCTTCATGACTTCCCAGCTCGGAATGTCGTAGGCCGCTTTCGGCAGCTTTTGCAGCCGCGGCAAGCGCGACGTTGTGATGAGGACGTCGTAGCTACGAGCCATTGCCATCAACCGACGCAGCAGATTGAGGATGCTGTCGACGTACACGTTCTCAATGAAGCGACCGCCCGTAAAGTACGCGGCCAAAATGGAGATGGACACGGGGATCGTGAGGTACCTACGCACACAAGATACATGTCGTCACCAAGAAAATGAAAAAATCATACCCGTTGTGGCTCACTTCCATGATGATGACAGCCGTTGAGATAGCCCGCGTGACGCCAGTCGAGAAGGCGGCGGCGCCGAGAATCGCAAACTCAAACGGTTCAAACTCGGTTGAGACGACGCCCGTGACTTGAATGGCTTCGCCAATCATGCGCCCAAAGATTCCACCAATGACGAACGTCGGCGTAAAGACCCCGGCGGGCAACGGCACGACGACGCAGACTACACCGATAACGTTTATGCCCCTAGATCCTCACGCGAGGTACTACATACTCATGGTCAAAATGTACTTGAGCGGGAAGAACGTGACGAGGGACCGCGCGAGCTCCGCGCCCTCTTCCTTCGAGTCGGCCTTGGTGAAGAGCGTGTTGATGATGGTTTGTGGTGAGCCTGCAAAAGGCGTCAGAATCGCAATAAGAAGCAAATAAGCTGTACCGTGGTCCAGGAACCATGCGGGGTCGCCGAAGAAATCGAATATGTTGGCGATCAACGTCACGAGGACGACAATGCCAAGGCGCTTGTACAGGAGACGCGGACCGCTACCCGCGAGGTAGAAGACAAAAGGATATGTATATGCAAGAGCGTACCGAGAGCTGAGGAACCACCGATCCCGCACGCGCACGAGCATCGAAATCACAAAGATAAAGACCGCGCCGAGGACGCCGCAGACGACACCGATGAAGATGAAGATGCACATGTCGACTGATGTGAATTCGCTACAGCAGCATACAAGGTGTCCAATATAGAAACAAAACAAGTTGTCTAGTGTTGAACGTACCGTGTAAAGTCCGTGTCGGTGATGCCGAGGCCCGCGGACCGGTCAAAGAGCCCGTACTTGCCGTTCGTGACCAAAAACGAAATGGTGATCGAGCCCGCAAGCGCGGCAAAGAACGATCGCGGAAGCGTCCGCACCATGTAAAAGGACGACGTGACTTCGACGGCGAAGAGGACGCCGCCAAACGGTGTTCCGAACGTCGCTGCGACGCCCGAAGCGCACGCGCACGCGAGCATTTCGAGGCTACGTCCAATTTACTTGAGACAACTTGTCGTTGTAGTGGATGGATGAATGCACCGCTTGGCCGAGTCGTCGTGGATGCGGCGGAAAATGTCCATCTGCATCAAACACTCGGCAAAGCAGCACGAGATCATGATGAACGGGCCTTCCTTGCCGATACTGAGCGCCGCCGCATACGCCATGACAAGACCCGCCATCTTGACGACGAGGCAGCGCGCGCTGAGGTACTCGTGCATGTCGACGCCTACCATACTCTCCATCGCACAAAAGAGCTCGCGCAGGGCTTCGAACCTGAGAGCGCGACTTTCATTTGCGGCAGGCCCGAGCCCGCGGCTTGAGGCGATACAAAGTGCACGAGAAGCTGCATACAATTCTCGTCTTGGGTCTTTCTTCAAGCAAATAGGAATCTCGTACCGTCCCAAGGATGCCGGCGGTAAGGGAGAAGAGGAAGAAGACGCCAAAGCTACACCAAGTGACGTGAGCGAGCGACGGTAATACCTAGCGTGCGAACCCGCTGCTCGCGAGCGCTTGGTGGTAGGCAGTCACACGCAAGATAATGGCGTCGAGCCACAGCCTAGTGCGCAGAGGAACGTGGAGCGAAGTGGAACGTACATAAGATTACCCGAGAAATGCAGAGAAGAGCCCGATCAAGACGAGGAGCACAGGACTCTGCAGCAAGACGACGATGCCGCGCCAGCCTAGACCAGGTTACAGACGGCAAGTATTCGTGCTGAAACGCACCTTTGGGGTGCGGCGAAATGTACATCGAGTGGTACGCGCCGTCAAACACGGTCGCGTCGTTCTCTGGGATGGTCGTCCTACCGCATCATGATCCGATTCAGAAGCTACAAGAGACATCGCTCGGGTACGTCGATGGCGTCTGGTTGCCGCCGTCACGCGACGCGCCAAGGCTGTTGGTGCGCGTCCGGAGCCGCGGCGCCGAGCTCTGGGGGTTGTACTCGAACGGGTGGGGCGTCGTCGACGCTGTAGCATCGCGTCGCCTCGTCGAGCCAGGCGAGATGGGAATCTTACCGTGCTTGGCGTCCCATGGCATCTCGTCAAAGTCGTCGCGGAACACGGGCGATGCAAGCTCTTCGACAACCGAGAACCGCCACTGGCGCGACTGGCGGTTCTGCGTGCTCGAGACCGGCGTCGGCGTGTCGCGCCCGGACCCGACGCGCCGAGGCTCGGCCGCCGTGTTAACGCGCAGGTTGAGGCCTGGTAGCAGCGGCTGCTTCTCGGCCATCCTAGACACCTTCTCGTGAGCGCGATCGACGGGCGCCATCGCGTTGCTACCGTGCAACTTGGGAATTGCTGCACCTTGTGGCCGACAACGCGCACGTGATTGGTCGGGCGGCTAGGATTTCAGCCAATCGAAACGTAGTGTCCACTTCAACAACCTCGGCGGCCAAGACACTTGAAGTAAGTATGCGTCGGCAAAGGGTGGCGAATCTGACATCGGCGCGGACGTCGGCGGGAGCTCCGCGGTCGCCGTGGACGCCTCACATGTCGCGCGCATCCACGTAGCTGTAGCACCTGCGCAAGGAGAACGTCTGTGCTTGACCGTGGCTCTGGCACCATGGCGCGACCGCGGGTGGAAGCTGCGGGCGGAAGACGAGCTGGCTGGGACGAGCCCGGCTGGCATGTCGCGCGTCCGTTCGGCGACACTGGTGCTTGTACCGTAGTCGGCTATAGACGATAGGGAAATTGTCATCGACCGAGGTTGTATTACACTGTATTGACACCACCCTCCTCAGCGTATTTGCACCACCCTCCTCAGCGTACTACGGTATATGTGGATCCTACTAATCGAGTCAAAGAGGCGGCAAAGGTTCGCATGCCAGAGACGAGAAGTCAAACACGAGATAGGTTGATGCAACATGTTACGAGCTCGCGTTTCAAGCGGCGTTGGCAAAGCCAATGCGCGGCTTTCCGGTCGACGACCACTCGAAGACTGTGTAGTGCTTGCGCATGAAGACGTCGCCGAGGATCCAGAGCGGATTGCCGGGAATGTCGAGGCCAATGAACGCAAAGAGGCAGACGGGGCCGCTGCGGATGATGTACTCTTGCTTCGTGAGCGTGTACGCCTTGCCGCCGACCGTAAACGTGATGTCGGGGCCTGGCGAGTCGCATTGAATGAGGTACTCGCCCATGATGAATGCGTGCGCGCCGACCTCCTTGGCGAGCTTCTTGATCTCGGCTTTCGGGCCCGCGAGCAGCGACGTGCCAGAGTCGACGATGCACTGGACGTTGCTTGCAATATCCTGGTCGCCGGCCTTGACGCCGTCCAGCGGAATCTGCCAGTATGTCGAGCTCGAGAGCTCAACATACGAAATCTCACCCGTGTAGTGTTTCGGGTCGAGCTCCCCAAACGTGAGCTCGCCCGGCTGGTTGGTGCCGAGGTAGAAGGCAAAGAGAGGTTTATCCAAGGTCGCGAGCATGCGATGGAATGGCGTCTCGACGTGGCCGACCGAGATCGAGTCGAACGCGAGCCCAAAGATTCCGTCAAATCGGCCAAGATAGTACGCGGGGCCAAGACCCTTGGTGACGTTGACCTCAGCGAAGGTCTGGTCCTGCAGCTGGATGCCCGCGACGTTGAGCGTGTCCTGCGAGAAGTAGCCCGAGACGGGCCCGCTGCCGTACTGGATGTGAAAGTCGGTGCCATTGGCCTTGTAAGTCGACGAAAGGCTGTGGTTGTAGTGCTTGTGCGCACCAAACGCGCGGTTGGGCACCCACAGGTTGCTCGAGCCCGTGTCGAAGATGACGTTGAAGCTCTGGCCTGGCGACCCGAGCTCGATCTTGCCAAAGTACTGCGCGTTCTGGAAGTTCTCGATCACGACGCTGCCGCTGTCGTGCACGACGTCACCGGTGAGGTCGGCCTGGGTCGGGTCCCACACGGCCCCGCGCTGGCTGCGCGGCTGATGCCACATGACGCTCTCGACAAAGGTCGCGTCGTCGACCTTTTCCATCTTCATGCGGAACGAGGCCGCATCTGCGACGCCCATCGCGAGCGCGGTCACCGCGAGCGCTGCCTGGATCTTCATCGTCGGTCGAAAATTCAAATGATTCGCTTCCGCACAAATGGATCCACTTCAATTTTTAATTCACTTCCTTCCCGAATAGCTTGGTGTTTGTATGCAGTGCGTCTTTCTGTAAAAAAACAGTGCGCTTCTCGACCAAGATTGAGCCGTGGCAGCTGCAACCCGACGAGCTGCATGCACCCAGCACCCAGCATCCGCTCGAAAGCTTAACGGGCCGTCTTGCCCATGGCGGGAGACGCATGGAGGCGAAAGCTAGCGGATCATGGAGGCGGCGATAGGGCGTAGAGCGAATGTCTACAACCGTACTACGAACGAGCTGGAGGCCGAGCCATGATCGAGGACGACTCGGCAGCGCGCCTTGCAACTTGTTGGCAAAGTGGCGAACGTACGCGTCGAAATCGCGCTGATCGCATTGCTGTCACCACGGCTGATGCAGCATGCGAGCACCGCGGTGCCGACGTGGGAGCGCTAGCCAGTAGCTCAGAGCCGAAGTTACGACAAAGGACTCGAGAGCGCATCCACACCGCAGCAATCTCAAGCATGCATACAGGATATCAATGCAGCGTCGCGCCATCTTGCATTGCGCGTTGACCATGATGTCACCGCGGGCGGTGCACCGTCGCTCCATCGGCGGGAGGTTGTTTCTCGACCTATACGCATCGGGACGCGCTGCGATTTTCAGGAGTGCTCTGCACCACCACTCTCCATGGATTCACCGATGGCGCATGCGCTTCGGTCGCGGCCATGGCCGGCGGCGGCGTCTCCACCGCGCCTACCGCGGCCCGAACCCTTCCATTTTCTTGCTCCGTTTTATGCGGCAAAGCGCCAGTTTATTTTTAGCCAATCGGCGGTGGATTCGTCGCATTTTGGCCAATCGCGTGCGTCATCACGCGGGTAGGGGACCGCTCAGATCTTGGGTTTTGTATGGGCTTCTTTAGGTTCGGTGGTTGGCGTCGTCGTGGACAATTCTGGTTTCTCGGTCGGCCACCGACGCGTCTTCTGTCCCGCTCGCATGTCCAGCTCCGTTGAAGCCGACGGCGTCTGCCAGGACGCGAACGGCTACATCTGCCCACCGTGCTTAATTTTCTACCCGACCGCCGCTGAATTTGAAAATCCATTGCACTACATTGCGAGGTAGCCACCCGAGGTCGTCAGCTACATACCCAACCGCCCGCCGACTGTAGCATCCGCGACGAGGGCCGCAAGACTGGTATCTGCAAGATCGTGCCGCCCAAAGGCTGGCGCCCGCCTTTCGCCGTGAATGAAAAAAAATTCCGCTTCCGCACGCGGCTCCAACCGCTCTACTGCATCGAGGTATGCCATCATCATCAATATTCAGACGTCTGAGCCTTTTTGCAAGGGCAACGCACGCGAGGAAGGCCAGTTCCTCGAGGCCCTGCGCATGTTTCACGTACGCTCCTGCCATCCTCGTCGGGTCGCTAAATGTGCTTGGTATTGTAACTAGTACCGTCGCGGCGCACCGATGCACGACCTGCCGTCGATCGACGGCAAGCCCGTGCCGTTCCAGCTGCTCTACCGAAGTGTCTCGGAGCTCGGCGGCTTTGTAGCGGTCGAGACGGACCAGCAGTGGCCGGCCGTGATTGCGAATCTCAATGCGCTCTCGACGCTGCGCATTCCGCTGGCCTCGAGCAACCTCGTTCGCGACCTCTACCACGCTTACCTCCTGAGCTACGAAGAGCACGAGAAGTCATCGACGACAGACGACGCCAAGGCCATCTCGGCGCCCGCGACGCCGTTGCACACACCGGCGCAGACTCCGGCGCAGACGCCTGCGCAGACGCCGTCGACGCAAGACGACGACGAAGAGGGCTCGCCGCAGATCGTCATGAAGAAGCGTGGTCGCGGCCGGCCACGCAAGGCGGAGACCGCGCCGTCGACGCCCCAAAAGCCGACGAGTTCGGACGCGAGCAGTCCGCCGGCCATCTTCCCAGGCTTGATCAAGCGCGGTCGCGGCCGGCCTCGAAAGAACCAAACCGGTCCTCGCATTGTCATGCCGGACGAGCAAGAGCCGGTGCCGCCGTCGCAGCTCGAGCCGTCGGGTCTCTTCTCGGACCCGACGCGCACCGAGCGCCTGTCGCCGCCCATTGTCCGATTGCAGCAAAAGTTTTACCGTGCGTTCCAGACCGCCGAGCCGCTGCTGGGCGAAGTCAAGCGCGTCATGGGCGGCAAGAAGCCGTCCGTCGCGATCGAGTATGCGAGTACGCAGCTTTGTTTCGAGTAGTCTGACATTTCTCACGCGGCTTGGCGTAGACGGCGCGAAGGACAGCGTGTCGTACGCGACGATGCAGTTTATCCTAGCCAACGGCAGCGACCCGTACGCCGACTCTACTTCTCCCATCAAGTAATAATTCGGTTTGTGTAGCGCCTCGGCCAAGCTGGCGCTCTCGGAGGAAGTTTGCCAGATCTGCCTCCGCGCCGACTGCCGCGACCGGATGCTGCTTTGCGACGGCTGCAACGGCGGGTACCATGCGTTCTGCATCGCACCGCCGCTCTCGGCCATGCCCCAAGGCGACTGGTTCTGCGAGTCGTGCATGAACGAGAAGGCGGCGACGACGTCGACCAACCAAAAGTTCGGCTTTGAGACCGGCCCCGAGTACACGCTCGCGGCGTTCAAGGCGCAGGCGGACAAGTGGCTACTCGAGCACTTTGACGGGAAAATGCCGACGCCGCAGGAGCTCGAGGCCGAGTACTGGCGGCTCCTGAACTCGCCCAACCACAAGATCGAAGTCGAGTACGGCAGCGATGTTGACACAGGTGTCAACGGGTCGGGGTTCCCGGTTCTCGACAAGCTCAAGAAGCTCCGGTCGCGGCTCCACGAGCGCTGGAAGAATGTGCATTTGCACGCCAAAGAGCTCGACCCGAGCGACGTCGCACTCCAGGCCCTCCTCGTCGAAGGCCTCGCGATGAAGAACGAGTCGGATTTCGACGCGATCAACCAGCTCGAGATGTATGCGAGAAGCCCTTGGAACCTCACCAACCTCCCGAAACTCAACGGGTCACTGCTCCAGTACCTCGACGAGGACATCAAGGGCGTCATGGTGCCCTGGCTCTACGTCGGCATGGCCTTCTCGACGTTTTGCTGGCACGTGGAAGACCACAACTTTTACTCGATCTCGTACCTGCACCGCGGCGCGCCCAAGACGTGGTACGGCGTGCCGGGCCACGCGGCCGGCAAGATGGAGGCTGTCATGCGCAAGCTGACGCCCGACCTCTTTGTGCACCAGCCGGACCTGCACCTGCAGCTCGTGACCATGTTTTCGCCCGAGACGCTGCGCAAGCACGATGTGCCCGTGTATCGCGCGACGCACGAGCCTAACGAGTTTATCGTGACGTTTCCGTCCTCGTACCACGGCGGCTTCAACAACGGCTTCAACCTCGCCGAGGCCGTCAACTTTGCGACGCCCGATTGGCTGCCGTGGGGCCACCAAGCCGTCCAAAACTACAAACGGTGTGTACAAAAGCCATGCTGTATCCGATTGTCTGATGGGCGTGTAGCTTTGGCAAAGTGCCCGTCTTTTCTCACGACGCGCTTCTGTGCACGCTGACGCTGGCGGCGATCGAGCACACCAAGACGATGGAGTACCCGGGCTTTGTGTCGCAACTCCTCCCGAGTCTCAAGCAACGTACGTCAAAGCTATTGCATCCATTCTGATCTCTCGGTCTAGTCTACCAAGAAGCGCTCGCGTTCGACACCGCGGGCAAGCGCCTGCCCAAGGCCGAAGACATGACGGCATACCTCGCGTCGCACGGCCGCGCGTCATCGTCCACGCGCAACTCGGCGCGCATGCGGGACTCCAAGGCCGACGACGACGGTGACGACGTCGACGAGCCGCCGACCAAGATGCAGAAAGGGCGCGCCGGCAGAAAGGGCGCGCCGGCAAGATGATGGCGTCGGGCAAGATGATGGCGTCGGGCAAGATGATGGCGGGCGGCTCGCGCATGTCGCGCATGGTGCTCTGGGCCGGCCGCTCGGGCAAGAACGAAGGTCTCCGCTGCTCGAAGTGCGCGCAGTACTGCTACCTCCAGGCCGTCGTGTGCCTCCGTTGCCGCCACGTTGGGTGCGCCGACCACATGGAAAACATGTGCAAGTGCGACCCGAACCAATTTGGGTGTTTTTTGTACCGGATGCACCCGAGCCAGCTCTTGGAGTACATCCAAGCGATCGAGACGAAAGTGACCAACCTCACGAGCTGGGAAGTCCAGGCCAAGACGTTCTCGACCGTCAAGGGCCTCGAGGAAGTCGTGCGCATTGGCGAGAACCTCGTCGCACAGGGTCTCTGGGTGCCCGAAGACGTCCTCGCGACGCTCCAAGCCACGTACAAGCTCTTTCTCGCGTGGCGCAACCGCGCGAGTCCACTCTTGGACAAGGCGCGGAAGCAGCCGACAACCACGATGAAGGAGCTGCAGGCGCTCATCAGCGAGGCCTCGGCCATGGCTTTTGTCATTCCCGAACTCGAGCGGCTCAAGGCGCTGCAGCAGGACGTCGAGGCCAAGCAGGTGGCCGCGCAAGGCATCATGCAGCAAATCGTGTGCCTCAAAATGCAACAAGGCCGACCGCTCGACGAAGTAGCGAACGACTGGACGACGCTTCTCAAGGACGAGGCCGCGCCGCTCTCGGCGCTGGTCGAGACGATCCAAGCAGCGGTCGACTCGCTCAACTCGCTCGGCGTGCTCGTGCCCGAGCGCAGTCTGCTCATGAGTGACCTCGCGTACGTCAACTGGCTCTTGGCCGCCAACACGCTCTTGATGCGGTCGACGACCAATGTGCACAACGTGCCGCCGCAGGACTGGACCGTCTTTGAGATGTTCCCGTCGATGCTCGACCTCAACGCGCTCTGGAGCTCGCCGGCGCGCAACCTCGTGCACCAGGGCTGGAAGCTTGACAAGCTCTCGGAGCTCCGCGCGCTCTGCGAGAGCGAGCGCCTCAAGCTCTCGCTGGAAGACAAGGTCCGCGCCGTCATCTCGCTCGAGGAACTCGAGGACATGGCGAAGCGGCTCATCCAGCTGCCGGCTGTGCCGATGGAGGCGGTCCAGCTCTTGCAGCGCCTCAAGGACGGCAAGCAGTGGGAAGCCAACGTGGCCACGCGCATGGACGAGAAGATTGCGCTCTCGGACGCGCTGGAGCTCGAAGCGCAGGCCGAAGCCGTCGGCATTCCTGCGTCGTCGCTCTTGCGTCGACAGCTGCACAACCGCATCCAGGACGCGCGGCGCTGGCACGTGCGGGCGTTTGGGCTCTTCAAGCACCCGGTGCCCGCCGACGCCGACGGTATCTTTGTGCTGCAAAACGTCCTCGACGCGGCCGGCGCGCACCAAGATGACTTGACGGCGCTCGTGTGCGTCTGCCAGCAAGTGTGCTCGAGCAAAGTGCCGCTCCTGCGCTGCTCGGGGTGTTCGCGGCAGTTCCACCACACCTGCGTCGGGGCGCCGTCGGACCGCCCGCCGACTGCGCCGTACCTCTGCCAAGAGTGCTGCCAAGCACGGCGCAAGACGTACATGTACCGGGGCGGGCCGCCGGCGCCGCTCTACTGTCTCTGCCGCGAGCCGATCGACAACGTCCCGATGGTCTGCTGCGACTTTTGCGACGAGTGGTACCACGCCAAGTGCATTGGCATCTCGCCCACCGTCATGAGCACGCTCGAGGCGTACCGCTGCAGCGCCTGCGCGCTCCGGCAGGGCGTCGGCGCGTCCAAGCGGCGGTCCGCCCGACGCCCAAGCAAGTCGTGGGCCTCATTGCGCGCGGCGAGTGCCTCTCGGTGGAGCTCCCCGCCCTCGACGACCTCCGCGCGCTCGTGCTCCGGGGCACCGATCTCCACAACGCGATTGTGAGCTTTGAGGCGCACTTTTTCAGCACGTTTTCGATCCGGTCGATTCTGCCGCGCCTGCCCGACGTCATGGCTGCGCTCCAGACGCAGCTGGACGAGCTCCGCCGGTACGAAGCACTCGTGCAGCTCGAGGCCGCGCACAAGAAGTTGCGCGCGATCCAGTGGTGCGTCCGCGCCTGCGAGCTCACGCTCGCCAACAAGTCGGCACCGCGGTACGCCTCGCTTGGCCGATTTGAAAGTGCTCATGTAGTCTCGATGCTAGGTATTCGCAGCTGGTGATCCTTCTGGGCGACGCCAAGCAAGACAAGCTCGAGTTTCCGAACGAAGAGATGCGCCACTTTTACGGCGAGATCGAAGCCAACGTCAACCGTGCGGTCGTCTGGGTCGAGAGCGTCAAGCAGCTGCACTTGAACCCCGCGGCGCAGACGTACGCGCACTTGGCGCAGCTCCGGTCGGCCGCCGAGGAGATCTCGCAGTACCTCGTGCTGCCCGACACGGCGGTCACCAACTTTAACGTCGCGCTCAAGTACGACGGGCGCGAGTAGCGTGTGTAGGGTATAGTAGGTTTTAGCAGTAGTACTATGTGAGAAGACTTGGTTGTCTTGGGAAATGAGAAGATCTGATGGGACCCTAACCCCGCGGGGTTAGGGTACCCCAATCGTTTAGCACAGCGACCGACAGAGCCCCATGTCGACATGGTGACGTCGAGGTAGCACGCATGAGGCCGAGGCTGTAGATATGGTCCAAGTTTGTGTTGATCCTTGTACTCTATTGTAGCTGCAGGGCCCCGACGGAAGATTGCATACTACCTACGGCAATTGACCGTGCTATCCGGATACCCCATCCGGCAACTCCACCTCATAATAACCAGCGGCAGGCAGGATGAGCAAGAACCGCATGGGCACCGCGAAGGAGCGCAGCGTCTTTGGTACGTCCGTGGCCGTGTGTGTCCACGGCCCTATGGCTTGGCGCTGGCTCATGCTCGTCCGTGCGCTCGTATAGTCGGCAACATCCCGTACGATGTGACCGAGGAGATGCTGCGCGAGATTTTCTCCGAGGCCGGGCCCGTCGTCAACTTTCGGTGCGTGCGCGTTGGTATGGCGTCGCTCTCTACATGATGGACTGTCTATAGGCTCGTCACGGACCGCGAGTCGGGCAAGCCCAAGGGCTACGGCTTTTGCGAGTACAACGACGGCGCGACAGCGCTCAGCGCGATGCGCAACTTGAATGGCTACGAGATCAACGGCCGCAACCTGCGCGTGGACTTTGCGGATGGTGGCGAGCGCCAAGGCACGGACCGCGACCGCCAGAGCGGCGTGACGGGCGAAGCCATTATCAAGAGCATCGAGGCCGCGGTCGCCGCGCAGGGCCGCGTGCCCATCTACGACATGCTCGTGGCCTTCCGCGAGTACGCCCGCGCCAAGCCCGAAATGACCAAGACGCTGCTCAACGCCAATCCGGTGCTCGCGCATGCGATCATCGAGTCGTACAAGGCGCTCAACATTCAGCTCATGAAGACGCCCGCGACCCCGTTCTCGGTGCGTCGCATCTCCTCCCTCTCTACGGCTCATGCACAATGCGTAGGGCGGGCCCGCGCCAACTGGAGGGCTCCTCTCGAGCCGCTCGCGGGGACCGCCGTCTGGCGGTATCCTCGGCCTTGCTCCGCCCGTGCAAAGCATGCCGCCGCCCATGGGCATGGCCTCGTCGCGCGACCCGCGGGACCTGCGCGGCGATCCGCGCGGCGATCCGCGCGGCGATCCGCGTCGGCGGGCGGACCCTCGTCTCAAGCGCGACGCGGGCGGCTTTGGCGCGTCCGAGCCCAAGCGCCAGAAAGGCGACGAGTTCCTCAATTTGCCGCCGGGCATGAGCCAGGAGCAGCTCGCGATGCTGCCACCCAACGAACGGCAAATGCTTCTGAGCTATATGGAGCAAGCGGGCCTGCAGTTCCCGCAGCAGTAGGGTCTATAATATATAGCATCGCTGGTGTCTTAGTGCTTGGCCTTTTTTTGACGCGCGACGGCCTTGAGGTAGTAACAGCGATAGTAAACATACAGGAAGAGCGCGAGGAGGCAGCCGCCAACAGCGAGGAGCCACTGCACATAGTCCATCTCGGTCGGGAGGCTGCACGTCGTCACGTGCACGTTGAGCGGGTTCTCGCGGTCGTTCTGGCCCGAGTGGTGCACGAGCGCAATGGCAAAGCTACCATATACTTTTTGTAGTATCAATCTGTCGAGTCCCAGCAGGGCTACCTCGGGTCGGGTCGCTGGCCCCATGTGAACGTCGGCACCGTGTACTCTGGGATCGTCTTGACGGCGCCGGTCGCAGCCATCGCGTGGTAGTGGTGGTAGTAACACACCGAGTGCGTGTGCGCCGAGAAGATGTAGTCGGGCTCGAGCGTCTGCAGAATGCGCTGCGAGAGCCCTTTCGACAGCACGTGGTCCTGCTCCACGTACGGAAAGGCCGGGTCTTCGTACGTGTAGTGCGCCCGCTCTTTCGTGCGCAAGTGGCCTACCACCCACGTCACTCGCCGTTCCCAGACATAGAAGAGGTACCGCATTTGAGATCGTTGGGGCGGTAGAACGGAATGTGCGTGAGCACGACGAGCGGTCGCTTGATGTGCTCGGGCGACTTGCGCTGCGTCTCAATTTGGTTGAGAAGACTATTAAGATGGAGATTGAGATTGAGATGGAGATCGTGGTGAAGCGTGTAGTACGCGTGGGCGCCGTGGTACACTTGGTGGTCCAACACGTTCGTCTCGAGCGCCATCGTGTTGAGCACGATAAAGTCAATGTCGTTGAGCGTCACGAGGCGGTTAGCGGGCCCAAAGCCAAGCTCGTGGCGGCGGACGAGCGCCTGCGTCATGCCTGGGCCATATGCTGCATCGTGGTTCCCGAGCTATTCGTAGATACCAGGCCATGACGACGTGCAGGTAGATCCATGCTATCGACGTACGACGAAGAGCGTCTCGGTCTTGATCGGGCCAAACACCTGGAAGAAGCGTGCTGTATACTCCTACTATGGGTACATACACGGTGGCCGTCGTGCGACCGGAAACGAATGGACGCTACCTTGTAGTCGGTATCGGACGTCGCGGCCGTGCCTTCGTCGAGCTGGTCGCCGAGCACTAGGACAGCGTGTGGCTGCAGCGCAGCATAGGCCGCTTGGAACGAGAGGTACGCCTGCCAGTCGATCCACGCCTGCTCAATCCAGTAGCGCCGGCGGTGGCCCAGCACGTGCACGTCGCCGATGATGAGCAGCTTGAGCGCCGCCTCCGAGGCCTCAGTGGACGGCGCGGTGCAGTGGCGGATGCTCGACGAGAAGTAGAGCGCCGAGCCTTCCCATAGCACCAATGTCACGGACGCCAGCGCGCCGAGCGTGAGGTATACGCCTTCCTTCGTCATCGTCTTCAAGTGCGAGCCCAGCTGGTGTTGCAGCGACAAGGGAAATACCCACCCGCAGAGGGTTAATCGTCAGAACGCATACGACGGTCTGCATTCGTTTTCGCGGGTCTTCCGCACACGTCAAAATCAGTTTAACCCACGTGTCGCAAGATGGACCACCTGCGTTTTAATAAGAGTGGGACCCCGAAGCTTTCTGGGGGCATCACACATTTCACACGTGATGCATGTGTGTTTCGAGAGCTGTTTCGGTGTGATTTCTCAGCGCTCCATGGGTTCTATGTGGAGGGCGGTACTAAACTAGCGAGTGTCTCTTTTTGTCCGTTGCTGATATCTATGAACGAGTGGCAGCGATATGAGCTGCGCACCGATGCAAACCTACGCAGGCGTCGCTCAAAGAATCGTGGCGCGTCAGACGCCTGCTTTCTTCGCGCCTTTTACCGTCGACCTTAGAGCAGAAGGGCTGTCCTTCTGTGAGGTCTGCACTGAAGAGCCACCGACGGCGCGAACTAAGTGATGTAGTCGCACTGGCTTCGCACTGGGATTTGACGGGAGGGGTAATAAACCAGAACTTTACCACATTCGCATGTCGAGGCTTGGATGACGTTTGATGTTCCGGATGCGCGTGGTGCCGTGGTGCCGTGGTACAACTTACATGGGCGCATCTTCCAGCTGTGTGACTCACTTGCAGTGGCTACGGTACTCTCAGCCGGCAATTGGCATCGTTGGCGCGTCTTCACCCGTTTGATTTGCGACGGCATCGAGGCTTTGCGTGCTGGTAGCAGCGCGACGAGCTGAATGTGCTGACCCAGCGCATGGAAATACTAGGCTGCTCTTGCACGGGTGGCAGTGAATTCAGTACAATTGGGTGCTCTGGTCGCACCAGCTTGAGTACCTTCACAGCGAGCGACTGGTGTGAGATGCAACTGAGTCAGATCTGGTCGAGGTCGTGCATTGCCAAGCTTTCTTGCCTCAGCAGCGTAGCTCAGTAGAATTGAGTGACTGGATTCGCTCGACGTCGATTTGATCCAATTGCCCTCGGCTCGCACTTTTGCTGTTGGCTCTGCGTCGTCTCCCGATCCGCGTCGCCGCGGTACGCCGTGTGAAATGTGAGAAACGTTCTGTATTTTTCACGGTGGTACTTCCCATATGGCACTTCGTTTTCATAGGCCCCCCTATGGTTGGAACTGCACATTGGTCAGCTCGGTCAGTTGACAAGAGCAAGGATGGCGACGAGGCAGGCGCCGGGGAGCGCCACCAGCAGCAAGGCGCCGACCGAAGACGACCGCGAGAAGGAGTCGACCGTGTGGTCGAGCGACGGTGAGAAGGAAGACAAAACGCTCAGCGAGGACAAGAAGACGCGCCGCCGTGCGCAGATTGCCAAGTCGGCGCGGAAGCACCGGATCCGCCAAAAGCAAGAGCTGCTCGGTCTCCGAACCCAAGTGCAAGAGCTCACGGAGGCCTTGGCCAAGGCGCGCCGCGGTCCATCGGCCCACCGCGGTGTTGTCCAGAAAACGGGCTCGATCGAGATTGCGCTCGGCGCGGCCGAAATGGAAATGAGCCACTCTCTCCGAGGGCTCTGGCTCAACGCGCCGCTGCAGGTCGACACGGGCCCCGGGCCAAACGTGTACCACCCGTTCCACCACCTCGGTGTGGACCCGATCAAGCGCATGGCGATGATTTCCGAGATCGCGCGTCCAGGCCCCGCCCGCATGTACACCCAGGTGCGCTCGGTGCAACTCGATGACCGCTCAAGAAACGATGACGTAGGTCATGGAGGACACGCGTTCGATCCCGTCCTTCCCACCGTACGTGGATGTGCGCATGACGAGCATGGGTGAAAACGTCAGCATCAAGTTTTGCCGCGTCTGCGAGATCACGAGCTTCGACCACCGCACGGTCTCGGAGGTCTTTTGGGACATCTTTTGGGGCTTTGACTCCCAAGGGGTCGTGGATAACCCAGGCTTGTGTCGCCGCAAGGTACATCTCGAACTACTGGAGTCACCTCATCGAATGTTTCTAGCTCATCACGCAAGTCGATAACAATACGCACTACGAACACATTGCGTACACGGTGCCCAACATGCCCGAGGTGCGGCTGGAGTCGCTGGACGTTGTGACGCGGCTGCATCACCCGCAGTACTCGATTTTTACGTGGGAGTCGGTGGACCGCGACGACCTCGTGCCGTCGCCCTCGGACCCGCACACCATTCGGCGCGAAGAAGTTGGCGGGTACCGTTTTCCTGTTGCAAGTTCTTGCCGTGACGCGTTTGGCTGTAGGGTGCTCTTCCAGACCGAGACGGACGCCGATGGCTGCATTCGGACGGTGCTGCGGACCGTCATCTACTCGCGGCCCTTTGTGCGGACGCTGCCCAAGATCTTTGGCGATATGAACGAACCGTTCGCGCACTTGTACTGCCGCCTCAACGTCATCGCCGAGGAGCAAGTGTCGCGCCACCTTCTCCAAAAGTTTATGACGAGTTGAGATTTATACTACACCAATCATCGTGCCTTTAACTCTACTAGCCTCGTCTCAGGCATACGGCTACAGTCTAGTGTATTCATTGACGAGCCACGTCGACTGTTATACGGCTTCCGTAACATCGCGCATCAACAGCGTACTGCCGTAGCTCGTGTAGCGTCATAATAGTACGTACTTGATGGTGACGAACACAGACATACGAGTTCCACCACGAATATATTGATTGTCATATTGTCCACACTCGACACGTGTTGTCGTTTGCCGAGTTCGAATCGTACCACTAGAGACCGAGCCAGTGGTTGTTGCTGATGCCCCACCCAAACGTCGAGCCGCTCGAGATGCCGAGGAAGAGCGCCATGACCATGAGCGCCGCAGCCGCTTCGCGGTCTTCCTGCGGCACCAAGAGCGGACCCATGCCCATCGTAACCGTCGAGAAGAGACCGCCCGTGACGCCCAAGAGCAAGTAGAGCACAAGCAGGAATCCGTACGCGCCCCACTGCGAGTCTCCAAAGGCGTACAGCGAGTTGGTCGACGCTGCCATGAGCAGCAGCGGCAGCCACACCCACCGGCAGAACGAAAAGATAAAGCAAAAGCGCATCGAGAAAAACTTGATCGCGGCCTTGGTCGACAGGAGGCGCCCGAGAAGGTCACCAATGTTGAAGGGGGCGACAACACCCGGCGCGACGAGCCACGGACCGGCGGACGTTCCAAAGAGCTCTTTGGCGATCGACGCAATGCCAATGCCTGGATACAGGGTCAGTGTGCAGAAGAAGAGCATGAACTGAGCCACCATGGGCATCACAATGACCTTGCTGACGCGGAAGAGCTTGGCCCAGAGCTGCGGCAGCGACACCTCGCCGTGCTTGACGTGGTCAGCCGCGGCACGGTCGAGGAGGTAGCGCACGCACGGGATCTTCTCGAGGCGGTAGTAGACGACGACGGCACCCACCGAAATGAGAAACAAAAGCACCATAAAGATAAAGAACGACAGCTTGACACTGCCGGCCGGGTCCGTGTCGTGGATGCCACCGACAGCCAAGTGGATGAGCGCAGCCAAGACGACGTTGAGGACGCCGGCCGCGACGTTGCCGACCTGGATCGCGTTCGTAAAGTGCGCGTCCGGGAAGAGCGACGCAACGGCATAGAACGTCGGTTCGGTGAGCGACTGAGCCGCACCGACGCAGCCAAAGCAGATCAAGACCATGGTGGCACCTGCCGTCTGGCTCATGTCGAGGTAGCCTTGGACGATGATGAGGATGCAGCAGAGGCCGAAGACAGAGTAGCCGATGATGACGCGCTTCATGTTGCCAAGCGAGCGATCGAGGCCAAACCACATTTGGACGATGTGACCGAGTGTGAGCGGCCACGTCAAGACGGGTGTCGTCAAGAAGGCAAACTTGACGTCCGGGAAGGTGCTGGCGTAGTAGTCCTGCGCCGACAAGCACGAGTAGTAGGCCCACATGGCCGAGCCCTCGAGAAAGAGCAGCGACCAGTAGATAACATTGCGGTACTCTTTGATCTGGTCGAGGACATCGGTGGGAAGGCTGTTGTCCAGGCCCTCGTCCTGGAGGCGCTTCTCCTTGATATCGATGGCTTCGTGGTAGCTAGCGTCCATGGCGGAGCGGTGCGGCAGCAGCCAGCAAATTGAAAACTGAGCGGAAGGCCGGCGTCGCACCCGACTCGCGCGGCATCTCAAACCCGTAGGTCCGTGGCATCATCCCATCCACATATTCTAGCCTTCTTTCTTGGAAAGCCCGCGACAACTGGGTCCTGTAACGGCGCTCCCAAGATTGTGCTGAGATACCGGAGCGTTTTCGGTGGACCGCACGAAGCGAAGCTGAGACAAAGGCTGCTTACCGCACCACGTACGGCTGCGAGGGACGTTCCTAACGAATCAATTGCCGCTTGAGAGGATGCGCACCACGTAGCAAGGTGCTCGACTACGAAACAAATATTCACAAGTCCGATAAGAACATATTTGCTGCTCTCGCAATGCGCTTCAACTACGATGTGTACTGTACGAGTACGACTCCCACCTACGACTCTAAGCTACTGTTCACTGTCAGCTCTTCAACGTGCAACGCGCCGACACGACTGGAGGCTGCAAAGCCATCGTGCGCTGCCTTGGTGCCATGTTGAAGTGTTGAAGCCGCCAGCACTCCGGATACATGGATCTCTCTATCCGGTTGATAATTTAAGCCAATCAGCGACAAACACTTGGGGTGGCCATAAACTTCCGAGCGACAACATCCATGGTGCTCTTCGTGCTCTACGTCAAGGCGGACCTCGAGAACGTCCAGTCGATCGAGGCGCCGGCGCTCCATCGCTGGTGCTTGGACATCAAGGAGCCGACGGGTGATGAGACCCGCGAGGGCATCTGGGTCTCGGACGAGGAAGAGCTCGAGGTCTCGGGCAGCCGCGGCACGGCGCACTTTCTCATGAAGTGGCCGGGCGCCAAGAAAGAGAGCCAGCTCACGGTCGTGCGCGACATCAAGAAGCTCACGCGCGCCATCTCGGCCAACGACTCGGGCGAGTTTGTGCCGCTTGTCGGCTTTGAGTGCCGCGGCATCGAGCCCGTCAGCTGGAGCCCCGAAGGCGGCTACAAGATCACGTGCGCCGACAGCGGCACGGTCTTCGAGGACGTCAACCTCTCGGAGGACTGGGCCGAGTACGACGAAGAGGGCGACCAGTCCGTCGGCGTCTACGCTGTCGAGCACAAGTTTGAGGTGCGTCGGGAAAAGTAATTTTCATTTTAATTCGCGGCCGCCGTGATGCCGCCGTTCCCGTCGAGCTCGTCTTGGTTCTCCTTCTCTTCGAGCTCCTTCTGGACCTCCTGGAAGACGTCGCGGAGGAGCGAGTCGAAATCCCAAGCCTCGTCTTCTTCAATGACCTAGCGCCCATGAATGGAGCGTGCAGAAGATGGCGGAGAAGGTGTACCGCGCGTTGTGGGCAGAGGAAGCTCGTGAGCAGCTGCAGGTCGATACTGCCTGTCTACATGCAGAGCCATTAGCACATAAGCAGATATGGTGTCGTACACTCGGCAGCGCGTACTTGACGTCGCGCTCGAGCTCCTTGAGCGACTGCACAATGCGCGCCGTATTGCGCGGCGCCTCGGCAACTAGGCAGGATCGTCACGCGACATCTGAGGCCGAGGTAGCTACTCTGCGTCGTGATGTCGGGCTCGCGTTCCTCCTCTTCCAAGTCGGGGATCTCGGCGAGCTCTAATCTGGGCTGTGAGCGCCGGAGGAAGCGGCTTGTGTTACCTGTTGTTTCGCCGTCGTCGTCAAAGTGGCGGTTCTTGGGCTTCCTGGACAAGTGGTCAATGAGGATCATCGCTCATCGCACGCACGTACGACGTGTCGCCAGCCTTCTCGTCCTTTCGCCGACGACCGCGCTTCGTCTCGGATGGCTCTTGTTCTCCGCTGGCCGTCGGGGCCGCGGCCTCATCGCCCTCGACTCCCCACCCGCTCATGCGCTTGGTGATGATCGGCTTGTCGTCTGCGCTCACGTCTTGCATGTGCAGATCCATGTCGTTGGCCTCTTTATCGTCGGCTGCGTGCTTGGACATGCGCCGGCTGCGCGTTCCCTTGGCCTCCGCGTCGCCCATCTCTTGTCGCGATCTTGCTGATGTGGCCGAAACGTCAACGTGGATCTTCCGGTTAATCGGCAGAAGGTGCGTCGTCGCTATGGTGCTCGTGACAGGTAGACGAGACAGCGGCAAGGATTGCGATACAAGATTAACCATTCATTCTTGTTAAGACCTGGGGCACTTGAAGGGCGCTCACCGCATGGCTTGGAGCTCTCAGCATAAATAATCGTACAAACACCGGGACGGGCACGTACTTCACGTGACCTGCCGCAGCGGAATGCGGCTTTTGTTCCGCGCCAGCGTCGGTGGCAGCGATGGCGGCGCCGTCTGGAATCGCTTGCGCGGAATCGTGAGATCCGTGGCGCGCGGGCGCTTTGCGGTACTCGATGAGGATGCGAGTTGCGTTGGTCGTAGCAACGACGATGCGGCTGCCAGCTGTGTGGGTCGGACCAGCTTGCTTGCAAGTGGTCGAGGCGCGTTGGTCCGATCGTCTTTTTTCGGGTAACGGGCGACCGCCGGGGACAGGCGTGGAATTCGCGTCTTGGCAGTCTGGAATGGCACCATGAGGTCCCTGTCGTCGTCCTACTCGACATGCATGCTCATGAGCTCGATGATAACCAAGCACGCACGTACATCCATGGCCAGGAGTGTCGAGTCCGTCACATCGGGCGCGCAGTCGGCAAACTGCTCCTGGAAGATCTCGAGCGTGCATCGACGCGCGCGCTTCTTCTCGAGCTACATACGCGCTGAAGCCGTGGCCTCTATGACGTCCATGTACCTCGTTCCGGAGGTGGTATCGTGCCAAGCTGAGGTTCTTCATGCCTGCGATCCATGAGCCGTCGTCGTCGGTGCCATAGCATCTACCTTTGGCGGATGGCGGAGACATGGGGAAGTCCATGGCGGCGAAGGCTTCCTGGGCGTTGTACGGGTTCCCGAAGAGGTCTTCGTTCACGTCTTCCATCTCCCAGTCGAACATCGTCATGGACTCGTCGTCTCCTTCGCGGCCCCAAAACGGCAAATGCCAATTTTGAATATTTAAAATTATATTGCTCGGGAGAGAGCCAGTATCCGGACCATCCGGATGAAGCGCGCCATATTCGATTTCGCGTCAACCAAGCTTGCATCGCAGGACTGTGCCCGATCCACTAGGCACCATATAGTTTCGACTGCTGAGCTGACACAGGCTTCGCGCCCACTGCTCAAGGTGTGGAGACGCGCGCATCATGTACCATTCTTCACGCTCGAGCCGAGCCAGTAGGCAACCATGGCACGCCGGCCAAATGTTTATGCCATCGCACGGGCCCAAGCACGAGCAAGCCTGCTGGACTCTTGACTGCTAGCATTAGACGTAGGAAGAGAGCGCAATCGAGAGTCTGGCTGGTTACGTATTATGCTCAGGAGGCGGTCGGTTCTTTGAAGTGGCAAGTCAACAAATCTCAGTACGCTCGAAGACCGCCTTTCGGCATGAAGCGTCAGGGGCGTATGCGAGAGCAAATGCGTGGGCTGTCTGTCCATTTTGTGTTGCAGGTTTCTTTGCCGCAAGCTGCATTGGTGACGAAGCGACGTCGTAGGTGGCATCAAATTTGGCTCGTGGACCTTTCTTTGAGCAATTTGAATTCTCGTTGCGTGTTCCTCCTTTGCATCTACGAAAGGAATCACGTACTGCGCAACAACGTGTGGGTACATTGTGCGTACTTGGAGGTAGTATTTATCGGTGGATATTTCTTCCTGGACGACTGCAGAGCGAGAAAAGTCGTGTACGTGAGGACCATGAGAAAGATTCGAGAGCTTGTAGGATACTATTGTGCGTGTGCTGCGCGTGGCCAAGAGCTACTGTGATGGAAAGGCGTCGACCGTGGGTTCAAAACGCGATGCCGCCATATCGATGTACATACAACTGAAGAACGTTCTTGTCTTTACGACGACGAGCGCGATGGATCCGTGCGCCACAACTGGACTTTGCCGCAATCGCTCCATGAGTCGACCACGCTGGAACGCATCAACCAAGCCCACGTCGGGCTCCATGCTCTCACAATCCTCGGCAGCGCGCATCTCGTCGTCAACGTCGCGCCAAAATCGCCACGACCTGCGTCTCAAGGACCAACAACTGCTCGAGCTCCACGACAAGCTCGACACGCTCGAAGCGCGGCATGCGGCCCAAGTCGCAGCGCTAGCTACGGAGCACGCGGCGAGCTTGTTCCGCGTGCGCACCGAGGCCGCCGAGGCGCAAAAGACGTTGGAAGCTGCCCACCGCGAGCGACTGGACGCACAGGTGCAGCGCGTGGCCGCCCAGGTCAGCGTGCTCACATTAGAGCTCGCATCCGTGCGCTCAACCCTCGACGACGCCACGCTCGCGTCCGAAGCCCGGGCGTTCGACGCTCTCCACGCGCTTCAAAACCAGCTGGCAGAAGATCGCACTGAAGTCGACGCCAACAAGCGTTTAGCGGAAGGCAAGACGAGCGACGACGTTGCCCGCCTCGAGCGGGAGCTCGCAGAAGCCCGTGCCGCTGTACAGGCCGCGCAAGTCGACGCTGCGGAGAGCGCGAACGCCATGCGTCGAGCACTTGAGCAAATCACGCGTCTTCAATCGGAGCTGGCTGAAGCCGACGCTGCAGTCCAGACTGCTCGAGATGCCGCCGACGCCCAAGCCCTCGTTGCCAAGAGGGCCCTCGACGACTCCCAGCTCAAGGCCGAGGCCTTGGACCGAGCGTTGGCACAGAACGAGCAGCTTCAGCTCGACATCGCCGCCGCGCATGCTGCCACAAAGGTGGCGCAGGAAGACGCCAAAGACAAGGCCACGCTGGCGAGACGTGCTCAGGATGAGATTGCGTTGCTCAAACAAGCCCTCACCCAAGCCGGCGCGGCAGCAAAGGTGGCGCAAGACCAGGCCGTGGCCACGGTCGAGGCAGCGAAGCGCGACGCTGCCGACGAGGTGCGTCGTGCTTACACCCGCATTGCGCTGCTCGAGGGCGACCTGGCTCAGGCCCACACCGCGACCGAGGCAGCCAAGGGCACCCGCACGACCGAGCTCCAGGCCGCAGTCGAAGCTATGGCGTCCGAGAAGGTTGCGTTTATGCAGTCGAAGCTCGCGCTTGCTGAGCGTACGATGGACGACCTGACGGCATCGCAACGCCGCGCGGCCGACCAAGTAGCCTCCAAGCTAAACGCACTCAACCGGCAGCTGGCCCTCGACGTCGCGCAACAGGAAGCCGCATCTGATCAGATTCAAGCGCTCGAGGCAGCACTGGCACACGCGATCGCCAAGGCCGACGCGCTGGAGACGCAGCTCGGCGATGCGACGTCGGATCTCATTGCTTTGCGCTTTGACGTTCATGAGCTGCGGAAAGCACGCGTCGCCGAGGTCTCGACGGCGATCGAGGCCTATGACGACACGGCGCGCACCATCCAAGGCGTTGTGGATGCAGCCATCGACGAGGTCAGTCATCGTGGCTTTTGCCGGCCATCCAAGGTGACCGAGCGCAAGTGGGTGCTCCACCAAGCGCTTCTCGCCGCGTCCAAGGCGCTGTCCGTGACCACGGTCGGTCTGCGCCAGCTCCACTAACAACAGCACACTATTATCCTATTCTATTCTGTATGCACAACCTTTAATCCCATGTAAACTTCAACTCTCTACTAACTTGGCTCTCGTTTGTGTTGTCTAGTGTCTCGGGAAAGAAAAAGTCGGTTGTTGTGCGTCGCATCCGGATTCTATCCGGCGCCGGTTACGGGCTATATCGGGGCAGTGCAACCGCAGGTGCCAATCGTCGACAGCAGAAGAAGCAAGCTACATGGGCCTCTTCAAGCAGCTAGCGTCGGCCTTGGGCATGAAGAAGGCGGTCGTCCGCATCTTGGTCGTCGGTCTCGACAACAGCGGCAAGACGACGCTCGTTAACCACCTCAAGCCGCGCAAGAGCCAAGCGACCGAAGTCGTGCCCACGGTCGGCTTCCAAGTCGAAGAGTTCGCCAAGCACAATCTGAGCTTTACGGTCTTTGACATGTCGGGCCAGGTCCGCCTCGTCGTCTTCTTGTACGAGGTGCTCATGAGCATTGGTAGAGCCGCTACCGATCGCTGTGGGAGAACTACTACCAAGACGTGCAGGTAGAGCGAAGGTTTGCGTCAAAATAGATGATGCAATCCGAGATACAGGCAATCATCTTTGTCATGGACTCGACCGACACGATCCGCATGTGCGTCGTCAAGGACGAGCTCGAGCAGATCCTCGCCCACAAGGACTTGGCGCCCAAGAAAATCCCGATTCTGTTTTTTGCCAACAAGGTCAGTAGCCTGCGAAATGTGATGGTCATCTCATGACGTGGCAGATGGACCTTGCGCACTCGCTGACGCCGGTCGAGTGCATGGGGCAGCTTGAGCTCGAGAAACTCACGAACAAGACGTGGCACATCACGTACGACATTGCATAGAGCGCTCAAAGCAACGATGCTCTCTAGGGCGAGCAACGCCATCACGGGGCGTGGCGTCGACGAAGGGATTCAGTGGCTCGCGGACCAGCTCGGTAGCGCCAAGAGCCGAAAGTAGTCTTGCATGAATAATCCACGACCGTGTGTAATCATCTTGTGCATTATTTACGGTCAAAGCGCGCGAGCCCGTTCGCACTCCAGCGCATGCTCTGCGCCCACGAGTCAAAGTCGAACGCGTCGTGGATCATGCGCACGAGGTCTTCCGCGTGCTCGTGCTCGCTCCGAAGCGAGTCCATCGTGCTGAGCTCGGCGCGGAGGTGGTCGTAAAACTCGGTGGGCGTCCAGCCCTCTTTGGTCAAGAAGCGCTCGAGCTTGGTTTCGACGAGTGCTTGGAACTCGTCGTGAGCCTGCGTGCACTCGAGGCGGTACTCGGTGGCGCTGCCTTCAAAGAAAGGGATTACGCGCTGCTCAAACGCAAACAAATCTACAAAATTGAGTTTCGAGTTGGACGACGCAGACAATGTCATACCACCAAAGCCATCTTCGTCGAGCTCCAAGAGGTACATTAACACCTACACGCGCCAATACATATTGGCAAAGAACGCTCTTCGAACCTTCTCGATGACGTCCGGGGTCCGCGGGCGCCGCGCGACGGGCTTGGTACCTCGCGCCACGTCCTCCCGGGCCGAGTCCAATAGCCGCTGAAAGTTGTTCATCGCAATATCCAAGATATGACGGCCCACACCGGGGGACCCACCGATAAAAACCTACTAGGTGGACCATGTGCTGTTTTTCAGTAGGACCCCGTACGAGGCCGTTTCATGAAACGCTCCACCATGGACGAGGTTGACGAGGATGAGGTCCGGCGGCAGGTCGCGGTCGCGCTCTACCGCCATGAGAAGGGCCGCGCGCTTGCACTCAAGAAGCAGCGCGATATCCGGCGGGCAGCAGCGTTACAGACCGCCAAGCTTCGTCGGCGCGAGGCTGCTTGCTGCTCCGAGATGGCGGCCGAGGACACAGCCTCCCGCGCCGCCCAAGCCTACTACTTTGGCCTCCTCCGCGCCGAGGCCGAGAAGCGCAAGTACGACGAGGAGCAAAAGGTTCTGCAGCTCGTATCGGCAGCGCGGAAAACAGCCAAGTCGGCCGGCGCGGTCTTGAGCACGCCAGGCGCCCGAGGCCTCGAGCGCTTGGAGGTCCTGCGCCAGCGCACGGCGACGATAGAGCGCGACGCGGAGCTCCGACGCACCATGCGCCCTCCAGGACTGCACCTCGAGGCCCTTCGCGTCCGGTACCCAACCCACTGTACTTTCCGCGGAATGACTTTTTCCCGATAGAACGCTCTTGGCCGCGCACGGCACGGACCACGCGATCGAGTGCTTGGAGCGCGCCATCCACGAGCAGCACTGGCCCGAGATGCTGCATTTGCTGGCGACGACGCCGAGGCTCTCGGCCGACTTTGAGACGTCGACGGGCTACACGCCGCTCGTCATGGCGCTGTGCCACTGCAAGCCCAGCATTGCGCGGACGCTCTTGAGCAAGCACGGCGCGTCGCCGCACCGCGAAACATCAGACGGCAAGACGCCGCTGCTCGCGGCCATTTGGGGCAACGACGTCGACGGTCTTCGGCTCCTCGTGCAGGATTTTGGCGCCAACGTCCGCGCCGAGTCGACGCACTACGTGACGCCGCTCCTCTTTGCGATCGAGAAAGGCCGGCTCGCGTGCGTCCAGCAGCTGCTCGCGTTTGGCGCGGACCCGAACGACGCCAACGTCGAGGGAACCACGCCTTTGATCGCAGCGACTCTGGCCCAGCAGATGGACGCCATCGAGGTGCTTGTCGCCGCGGGCGCGCGCTGGGAGATTCGCGGCAAAGACGACCGGACGGCGCTCGAGTGGGCGATCCGGTGTCAATTCCACGCCTTCCACGACCGGCTCGAGCTGCTGCGCTTCCGTCCGCCCACGCAGAGCACCGATCGCGATGCAGCGCGGCGGCTGCGCGAGCGACGCGCCGACACCGCCATTGCGAGCCGAGACGTCGAGAGCCTTTTGGGCATGGTGCGGCGCGGCGAGGTGAGTCCGAACTTTGAGGGACAGGCGCATTGCACGCCAATGCTCGCCGTCTCTCGAATGGGCACGTTAGCGCAGCTGCAGTCGCTCTTGGCCCTCGGCGGGCTTCCGAATCAGCCGAATCAGCTCGGCCAAACACCGTTGCTATCGGCGTGCGAACGCGGGCACGGCGACATGCTCATCTGCCTTGTGAACGTCGGTGCGACCTTTGCCTACTGCGACTTTCGCGGCCACGATGCATTTACACATCTCAAGGAATTTCCCGACTTGGTGAGCCAGTGGACGCCGTACCGCCGGCAGTTTACGACCGCGCTCACACTGGGTACGCCGAGTCGCCTCGCCACCTCGTCGGTACCGCATCCGTTTGGAATGCGCACCGAGCTCCGTCCCGAGTCGGCCGACATTCTTCGAGTGGCGACGCCGCAGCTGCAATCACCGCCCGAGGACCCGGACGTGCTGGATGTGCGATGTGCGATCCATGGTCGACCTACCACTGGCTCAACATCGCGTAGGCAAATACGCAGCACAAGTGGCAGCTGCAGCAAACGGGTCTGCGCCAGCGACCGGGGAAGCGCCGCGTCTTTGAAGAGGAGCGACACAAGGTGCTGAAGGCGCGGCAAGCCCCGCGCCGGAACGCACTTGCCGTGGTCCAGCCCGACCCAGAAACCGTTGCCCGGCCTCTCTGCGGCAACTGCGTCTTGGTCCGCGCCACGGCCTACTGCCAAGAATGTAGGCTCGCCTACTGCGACAAGTGCGTGATGGAGCGCCATATTGACGCCGACGCGCGTCACCACAGCACGGGTCCTATTACGCCCGAGGACATTTGCCGCGTCAAGCCGCCCAAGCCGTCGGATCCGCCCGAAGCGCAGCCCCTCTCCAAGAGCGTCAACCAGTCGCTGGACGCCATCGCTGCGCTGCGGACGCTCTTAAGCGCGTCGTGCGAGCCGTCGAGAGCAATGACGCCGGACATGGACCCGGAGATCAAGCTGCGGCTGCTGCGCGACCGCCGCGAGGACGAGCGGCGGCGACGCGAGGCCCACTTGACGTTGAACGTACCACAGGTCGCGGCTTCCACCGCCGCCGCGCAAGGTGCGATCTGCGATCGGGCGTGCTGCCGACCTCTCGGTAGGCTCGTCGCTCTTTAGCAAGCCGAGCGAGATACGGCTCGCGCGCACGTATACGCAGCAAGGCAAGTTTACGAAAGCCGAGGCCGTCCTCCTGGACGCATACAACATGCAAGTTGCATCGTTTGGCGCGACGCACCCGCTCGTGGGCAAGACGCTGTACGAAATGGGTGTCGTCTCCAGCGTACTCGTGCTTGTAGTATAGTTTACCCCAGTGGAAAGATATCTCTGCGCAGGCAAAAGGCGAGACGCGCGAGAGCAGTGCCAAGCTGCTCGAATCGATTGCGTGCTTTGAACAGCACCTGCCGCTGGACCACAACGATCTCCTCCAGTCGACGAAAGCTCTCTTCGAGTGCTGGGTGCAAAGAACCTTCTCAACTCGGACGAAAAACGGCGATGGTGCTAGAGCAACGGTCGCGAGTGGGGTCTCTGCGCAGCGTTTGCCAAAGGGCTGAGTATCCAGCGACGCGATGCGCTCGGGCCCGAACACCCACTGACGCTGGAGGCGATCGCCCTTCGCGCGAGCTACGATGCGCAGTGGGAGCTGCAACTCATGCTTCGCGAAGATGCTCGGGGCCAGCGGCTTCTCGACATTGCCACCAACGGCGCGTCGTACGTCGATGCGGCGCAAGGACGGTGGGCACCTACACGACGCACAGCCTGCACCTTCTGTTGGATAGGCGCCACTCGCAGTTCTTCAAGCTATTGACGAGCCCCAAGACAGAAGATGTGCAGCGCTTCGTTCGCTACGCCGACACGACGCTGTACGCCGTGTACATCGAATTTTGGCTCGCCGTCCACGGCTTCCACGTCGTACGTCGTGCGTTCATCCACGTACCTGAGGCGGCGTAGGCGTGCGACGCGAAAGCGCCAGGGTTCCAGCCATATATTGCCGCGCGGGACCTCTTCAAAGCCTTCTTGAAGACGCAGCGCATCAAGTGCACGACGGCAACGCTGCGCAACGAGATTCGCCAGTGTCTTCGCGGCGAGACGAAAGAGACCAAGCCGATTCGCGACATCTTCAACTGCGTCTTCGACCTCGTGTTTCAAACGACGTGGAAGAGCGTCTACCTCCCGTACCTTCAGACGCCTGACGGCATGGCGTGCGTCCTGCACTTGCATTTCATCAAGTTGATCACACATGTGTACTAGGTGGCACGAGGCCGAGCACAAGGCAGCCATCGACGAGTACAATGACCTCGTCGCCTCGGGCTTGCTGGAGCCACGCACGAGCCCACTCGGATAGTTGTCCAAGTTGCACTCGAATAATTTAAAGATGTGCATCACAGACCTTTAGTTAGTCGAAACCGCCACATGTAGTCGATTTCCATGGACTTGCGAAGAAGCCGTTTCCGTGTCGTTCGAATCCGTAACGCCCGTCCCTCGTTTTAGTGACCTCTGTCGACCCATGTCTATCCGTATACTCTATAAATGTATGTCTTTGAAAGGTTAAAGTGGAAAGGTCGCTATTGGCATTCCGAGCCGCTAAGATCTTCCTCGGTCATAGTGCAAGTGGCCAGGAACCGCTGAAGCCGCAAGCGATGGCCCTCTTCAGCGCCCGTGGCTTGAGCAACTTTATCAGCGAGATCCGGTCGTGCACCAACGCCGACGACGAGCAGAAGCGCATCGATAAGGAGCTCAACAAGCTGCGCCAGAAGTTCACGCAGTCGGGCCAGCTCAACTCGTACGACAAGAAAAAGTATGCGTGGAAGATCATCTACATCTACATGCTCGGCTACGACATTGACTTTGGCCACATGCAGGTACATCCTCGCCTCGTCCGCAGACGTAGCTCGACGCGAGTCTAGGTCATCAATCTTGTCTCGGGCGCCAAGTACTCGGAAAAGTGTTTGGGGTACCTCGGCGTCTCCATCTTGCTCAAGAGCTCCGACGAACTCATGACGCTGGTCGTCAACTCGATCCTGAACGACCTCACGTCGCCCGACGCCGCGTTCCAGTGTCTCGCGCTCTGCTGCGTCGCCAACCTCGGCGGTATGTACAATCCATCATGGTGCGATGCCAACCCGCGTAGGCATGGAGCTCTGCGAGACGCTGGCGCCGCACATTGTCAAGCTGCTCATGAGCTCCAGCAGCATCTGCCACGTGCGCAAGAAGGCTGCGCTGTGCGTTCGCCGCATCATGCCCGCGATGCCCGACGTCATCATGCCGGACGAGCTCGAGCCGCGTCTCCAAACGTGCGCCAAAAGCGTTGTGGATGCATCTTCATGGACGAGTGGGTAGGCTCATGGAAGACCGCCACTTGGGCGTCGTGACGTCGGCCGCGAGCTTGCTCCAGATGGCGCTGACGCAAACGCCCGGCGGGTACAAGTCGCTGATTGAGATTTGCATCGAGCGCCTCTCGCAGCTCGTCATGAACAAGGTGCGTCGACATTACGTTCGACTCGATGTAGAATGAAACATGCGTAGGCGTGCCCGCGCGACTACATGTACTACTCGACGCCGTGCCCGTGGCTGCAGATCAAGCTCCTGCGCATTCTGCAGACGTACGGCATGCCGGAGGACCCGCGCTTGGCCGAGAAGCTCAACGACACGCTGCGCAAGATCCTCGGTCGACCGAGCCCAGGCAAGGGCGCCAAGAACAATGCAATATACGCCGTGCTCTTCGAGACGGTCAACCTCGTCATCGCCCAGGGCAAGAAGGCCGACCCCAAGCTCCACGAGCAAGGCATCCAGCTCCTCGCGCGCTTCATCTCGGTGAGCGAGCCCAACATCCGGTACATTGGCCTCGACTCGATGAACCGCCTCGTGCGCCTCGACGGCGTCTCGGAAGCCATCAAGGAGCACAAGGCGACCGTTATCTTTTCGCTCAAAGACGCCGACAACAGCGTGCGCCGGCGCGCGCTCGACCTCCTCTTTGCCATGTGCGACCACTCGAACGCGCTCGAGGTGCGTGGATTCGTGTCGACTTCAATCGACTTTTTCGCGTTAGATTGTGGGCGAGCTCGTGACGTATCTTGCGGTGGCCGACGCGAGCATCCGCGAGGAGATTGTGCTCAAGGCCGCGATCCTTGCCGAGCGATATGCCAAGGATCTCCGCTGGTACGTGGACACGGTCCTCCAGCTTATCACGATCGCCGGTACGTTGCCATCCATATATGAATCCAGAACATGGATGGACTCTATTGTGTAGGCGCCGACGTGCCCGACGACGTGTGGCACCGCGTCGTGCAGATCGTGACCAACAACGAAGACTTGCAAAAGTACACGGCCGAGGTCATGTTCCGCGCGCTCGAGCCCAAGCACGTGGACGAGACGACGGCCAAGGTACACACACCACCGAGGATCGACGTCCCGACCTGTTGCCATATTTGTAGTTTGGCGCGTACGTTGTCGGCGAGTTTGGCTACCTCATGGTCGAAGATGTACGTGATGCAATTCATTTCTGTGTTGCTTGAATTAACAGACGTGGGTAGCCCGACATGTCGAGCCAGCGCCAGTTTGACGTGCTCTTCCAGCACTACTCAACGAGCTCGCTCGCGACCAAGTGTCTCATCTTGACCGCGTTCATCAAGATGGACAACTTGTATGAAGACATTCGGCCGCGTGTGCTTGAAGTCTTCAAGAAATGCACGTCGCACGTCGACCTCGAGACGCAGCAGCGCGCGTGCGAGTACTTTACGCTCCACCACGCGGGCGACGACACGATGAAGAGCGTGCTGGAGCCGATGCCGGTCTTTCCCGACACGCGCGAGTCGGCGCTGGTCGTGCGCCTTCGCCAGCAGCAGCAGGGCTCCGAAGACGACGGACCCGGCGCACCGGTGCGCGACGAGCCGCTCGACGGCAGCGAAAAAGAGAGCAGCAATGGCGGCGACCTCCTCACGATTGACAGTCCGATCAAAGGCAACGTCATGGGCGGCGCGGGCGGTCTCCGCGCCCCGACGCCCGTCGACATTTTCGGCGGCGGCCCGCCGAGCGCCGTGGACCCGGCCCAGCTCGCGTCCTGGTTCAACAAGATTGTAGCGACCAACCAAGGCGTGCTGTACGAAAGCGACTTGATCCAGATCGGCGTCAAGCAAGAGTTCCGCGGGTCGCAGGGCCGCTTGAGCCTCTTTTACGGCAACAAGAGCGCGTGCCCGCTCACCAATGTCTCGGCGAGTGTCAAGCCCGTGCCGTTTCTGCGCGTTCAGGCCGAAGAGCTCGCGCGTGAAGTCGGGCCCAAGCAGCAGCTCAAGCAGCAGATCATGCTCGAGTGCATGCAGCCGTTCGTGTCGCCCGCTGAGCTCAGCGTCGCGTTCACGCTCAACGGGTCGTCTGTTGCGTTCGACGTCAAACTGCCGTGTGTCGCGACCTCGTTCCTTGAGCCCGTGAAACTCTCGGGCGATGACTTTCAGAAGCGGTGGGTTGCCCTCGAAGGCCAGGTACCAGCGACAATGGCTACGAGCTCGGCAGCTAACGACGCTTGACTAGGGCCGCGAGCAGCAAGACGTGTTTGTTGCGGCCAACAAGATGGACGTGCAGGCCAACGTCAAGCTCCTGACCGAGGTCATGAAGTTTGGCCTTGTCGAGGTACTCTCTTCTCGAGACTAGGGGGGTGGGACCCATCGTTGCATAGGGCGGCGATCCGTCGGGCGGCCTCGCGCTTGCAGCGACGTTTCGAACGGGCACGACCGCGCCGACCGGCGATAAGATCTCGGTTGGGTGCTTGGCCAAGCTCGAGAGCAACCCGCAGGCCAACTCGTACCGCCTCACGGTCCGCGCCGTGCACCCGGACGTGAGCATCGCGCTCAAAAACAACATCAAGGGTGTCCTCGCCTAGTTTGCGTTCGACTAACTACACGTTTTTATCGCTCGTCAAGCTCTTCGAGTAGCACTACAAAGCACCGGTTGAGTCGGTCGCCAGCTCGGTGCAACAACCACTTGATTCGTCGCTGCCTCAACTTGAAAGCGGTTCACGGCAGCTAACCGACAGGGCCTACGCGGAATCGTATCTTTTGATTTGCAGTTGATGCGATTGATTGGTCCGTGTCAAGCCAATCAACGGTACCAAAAAACGATCCAAGTGCAGAATTCGTCGCCATTTAGTGCTGTTTCTCTACGAAGCCCACTTGGGAGCGGTGAAGAGTTGCAATCATCGCTCAAAACGGACTTTGATACAATTTGTAGACACTACGAAAACATGTAAAAATGATTCACGGGCACTCAGACAGCCGACGCGTCGCATGCCGGGCTCGCAACGACAAAATAAGGATTCTTGACAAGGACCATGAGATTGCGCGCGGCGGCCTCGGTCGATGACGGTGCCAAATGGGAGTCCAGCTGCACCGAGACGCCGGCGCAGGTCGCGAGGGCGTCGAGAAGCGCGTACTTGCCGGCCGTGTCGATATCGTGGTTGTCGCTCAAGTCGAGATAGACTCTGTGCGGGCTGCGTGCGCCACGAAGAGCAGCACAAGTGGTGCCGTGCTCGTCAGACAGCAGCTCATGACGGAGATGTGACGGACGCCACGGTCGATGCAGTTGCGGAGGCTCGATGCGACGACGTCGAATTGGCGATCGCTCCATTCGCACTCGCTCAACGACACTGTCTCGAGGGCGGGCGCGCCTGCCAAGAGCGCCATGAGCGCATCAAGCGCTGCGTCGGAGAACCACTGAGCGTCCCCGATACCGACGCTTCGAAGTGCTGGAGTCCCCTGCCACGTCCCTGGAGCTACGTTGATGGCATCGAAGGCGCAGCTGGCCAAGTTGAGCTCGTACAGTGCGGGGAAGCGCGGAAGCACATCCAACACGACGCCGAAGTCGAAACTGGCCGAGATGGAAAGCGACATCAAGCGCGTGCTGTGCAAGAGCCGCTCGATGAAGCGCTGCTCGGCGCGATAGCTGGTGATGCGTAGCTCCGAGAGGTTCTCCAACCACGGGCCATCGACGTCGTCCAGTGGGGGAGTGGGGTCCAGCACGAGATGAAGGCTGGTCAGTGTGTGCGCTGCAGCGAGAAGAAGACAAACGCTGCCGTTGACTTCTTCGGCTTCGTTGAAGTACGAAAAGTCCAAATGCTCCGCGTGCCCGGACGCCAGCCACGGTTGGAGCGCAGCAGCGCAGTCGGTCTCTGGAAGCGACGAATGGACTCGCACTCGGCGTACGTGGTGAGCTGGTGTCGTAACAGCCGCAAAGATGTCCGGGACAATCAAATTGTCGCTCAAGACAGAGACCTCGTTGAGGCCCTTGCACAACTTCAGCGCACTGCAGAGAACGGGCAAGTCCAAGGTCGGTTCGATAGCGCGCCCGTCATCGTCCACTTCGTCGCCGATTCCGATGAGCGTGAGTTTGTGTCCCCACGTTGCAGCGAGCCACGCAAATGCGTCGAAGCGTCCGTCCGACGGCAGGCGACCGGGCGGCACGAACGTCCACTCGCGCATCCACTTGCCCACGTCGTCTACTTCCATCTTGGGGAACATGGGCATGGCGTCGACAACAACTGCAGCGGCAGCAGGCTGAACGTCGTCCAAGCTCAAGCAAGGCCACAGGTAGGATAAGCAGTAGTCATCGCTGCTCGGGTAAGTGCTAATCGCCCATCGCGGCGCCCGAAGCAACTGCAAGAGCGCCGCGAGAGGCGTGCAGAGACTTGGCGTGTCGAGGCCGTGGAGAAAGGCCAAGACGTCTTGCGGCGACGCCAAGCACTGGACGATGCTCATGAGGATCGGTTCGAGGCCAGCGACGGCCGTCGGCGCTGCAGCCAGGCGCTTCGCACCGCTCATCGAACGTTCTGATATGAAGATGCACTTTTGATGCGCTGTGATAGGCTGAAACGCCCAGCCTCGAATGGATTATTAACCAATGGCATCTGACCCTGCTGCGTGAGCAACTGGGACGCCTTTTGGTTTCGCTCGCAGCGGAAAGGGTGAACCGTCACGCGGACCGCAGGGCCGAGCTCGAGCGGCGGCGCGCGCTCCTCGAGGAGGCCGCCGACCAGCGCACAAGGCGCGGGATGCAGCTCGCGATACAGTACGACCGCATCGTGATGGAGCTCCAGGAACAGGACACAGCAGCCCACATACCGGTAGACAGTCTCTGCCCTCTGTGGTGGTTCGCTATGAGATCACGAACCAGTATCTATCTGCCCGAGGCATACCACTCGTCAAAGATGGACGTGTTGGCTAACTGGAATCTTCTTTCATAAAGGTATATACATGTCTATTCGATGGCGGCGAGGCCTTCCTTGAGGATGCGCGTGCAGTCCTGCATCTCCTCCTTCGTGATGCATAGCGGCGGAGCAAGGCGGATGATGTTGCCGTGCGTGGGCTTGGCCAAGAGGCCCTTGTCGCGCAGAAGCATGCAGAGGTCCCACGCGTTGGGCTTGCCCGCGCGCTCGTTGATAATGATCGCGTTGAGGAGACCGCGGCCGCGCACGCCCTTGCAGACGCTCGACGTCTTGCTACATATGTGCATGAGTACACATAGCGAGGTGCGCGAGTGTAGTTTCGTACGTGTATTCGGTCATGTCGGCGCGGAACTCGTTGCCGAGGACAAAGGCGTTCTCGGCCATCTTCTCTTCCTTGAGCACCTTGAGCGCTTCGATCGCGACCTTGCAGCCGAGCGGGTTGCCGCCGTACGTCGAGCCGTGCTGGCCGGGCTTGATCGTGAGCATAACTTCGTTGGACGTCAAGACGGCCGAGACGGGGTACATGCCACCCGAGAGCGCTATCATATCGAAAGTCGTTAGTTTCGGCAAAGTGGCATTCAACGATATGGACGTACCCTTGCCGAGGATGAGGATGTCGGGCTTGACGTCGTCGTAGTTGACCGCGAGCATCTTGCCCGTGCGCGCAAGACCGGTCTGCACTTCGTCGGCAATGAAGAGCACGTTGTGTTTCTTGCAGAGCTCCGAGACCTGGCGGAGGTAGCCATCCGTGGGCACAACGACGCCGGCTTCGCCCTGGATCGGCTCGACCATGAAGGCGGCGATCGTCGGGTCGCTCTCGAGCTTCAAGCGGAGCGCCTCAATGTCGTTGTACGGGACCTTGTCGAAGCCGGGCATGTAAGGGCCAAAGCCGCCAAACGCATCCGAGTCGTCCGACGACGAGATCGCGCTCATGGTGCGGCCCCAGAAGTTGCCGTTGGCGAAGATGACCTTGGCCTGGTTCTGCGGCACACCCTTGACATCGTACGCCCAGCGGCGCGCGAGCTTGATGGCGGTCTCACCGCCCTCGACACCCGTGTTCATGGGCAACACGCGGTCGTAGCCAAAGTAGTCGGTGACAAACTCCTCGTACTCGCCGAGCACATCGTTGTAGAACGCGCGCGACGTGAGCGTGAGCTTCTGGGCCTGCTCCGTGAGTGCGTTCAAGATGCGCGGGTGGCAGTGGCCCTGGTTGACGGCCGAGTACGCGCTCAAAAAGTCGTAGTACTGCTTGCCATCGACGTCCCACATGTGCACGCCTACGCTATGCCATCAGACTCTCGCTTCAACATGCGGGCCTGCACGTACCCTTGGCCTGCTTGATCACGACCGGGAGCGGGTGGTAGTTGTGGGCACCATACTTGTCTTCACGGGCCATGAACTACATGGTTGTCAGCCTCCATCGCTCTTGGCTCGCACAGCGCGTACCTCGGCGGCCTTGGCACTCGTAGCATGGTCGTTATGGCTGTGGGCAATCGTCTACATGGAGACGTGCATGAGCCATCAGGCTGCGGCGGTAGGCCATGGCGTACCTCGACGGCGGCAAGGCCGTTGGGCGCGCGGACGGCCTTGAGGAGAGCGTGGTTGTGGCGGGCGACGGCGCGGTGCATCTTCGTGTGTGGTGTTCAAGCCAAATGCAAAAGTGGCAACCGCCAAGCAATCTTCGAAAGAAATCCTTCCCGTCGTGTGGGCGCCAGTGTATTTTAATGGACGTCCCATAGAAAACCGTGTCATTTTCGTTGCAAGCATAATAAAAATGCGAGTTCGAACTTCGAAGGCAGCGAGGGGATGCCATTCGCCAGCTGGTTGGTTGACTTCAACTTCGAAGTTGCCGTTTTCCATTGCAAAGTATTTAAATATATAGCTACTTGTATGTACCCAGCCGAAATAGTATCACGGTGTCGTTCGTGTGCGACAATCCCGCTGATCTGAGAGACTTTTTGAGAGACTTTTCGAACGCAACCAGCTGGACCCCGCGGTCCCGCGCGAGTCCGTCGGGCTCGGAGCGTGACCATGCAGATGGGCCCAAGCGCGTACATACGTATCCCTCTCTCGCGAATGGGTACTGCGCCGAGTCGTTGGACGACATAGCTGTGACGGCATGGAAGGTGAATTGCTGCACGCGAGCGGCAGGCGTGGCACCGTGCCCGTCGGCGTCCTTTCGCCGCTGCCGTTGGACAACCGCCACATCGACGGCTACGTAAGTCCGGCTGCAACTGTATGCTGGTTGAACAAGATGCTGGCCACGTGGTGACGCATGGGCATCCGTCTCTTCCGCCCTGCTTGTGCGGCTGCTGCTCTTTGATTGCACCACCAGGATCGGCCGTGAGAGACTTTTCCAGTAATGGGTTACGGCAAAAGTCTCTCAGACCAAAGCTTCAATGTCGTCAGGCAGGCTTCAAGCAGACAACGGCAAGAACGAATGGATGGGCCTGAAGAGGTCGGCCTTGGATGGGAGCAGCTGCTGCACCCGAAGCGTGATGAAGCTCGAGGTGGCCATGGAAAGGCGCGTGCTCGCGTTGTTGTCCTGCTGCGTGTTGCCCCGGCCGATATCCCCATGTCGGCCGTTGCATGGACGAGCGATGCAGCATATCTGATGGTCATACGAGCGGCGACAAAGAGACATGCTAAGATCGACTACATTTGTTTCTTTGCCCAGTCGTCAAACATGACGCGGTAGTCGTCCAGCTGCCGCGTGAGCATCGCGTTCTCGTCGAGGAGCTTCATGTACGCGTCCGAGTGGTTCGCCGCCTGCTTCTTGAGCGCCTCAATCTCCTTGTCACGCTTCACGCTCTCTTCGGCCGCGCGCTGCATCGAGAGCGAGAGGCCACGCGCAAAGTCGTCAGCCGCGCGCTTGTACTGCCGGAGGCCGTAGTCCGCCTTGCCTTTGCGTGAGTATACTTTGGCCCAGAGCGGGTCGAGCTTCTCGGCCTCTTCGGCGTCGGCTAGCGCCTTCTGGAACTGGCCCAGCTCCGAGTATGCGGCCGACCGGTTGCTAAAGAGCGTCGCGGTCGGCTTCACGGCGAGACCGCATGTGTAGTGGTAGATGGCAGTCTCGTAGTCCTTGCGGTTAAAGCACGCATTGCCTTCGTCCTTGTGCACCGAGTCATCTTCGTCACTGGGCACATTGCGCCCCGACTTGTGCAGCTTGGAGAGGTTCACAGGCAGCTGCTCGGCCGCGTCGTCGCCGCCCCCGCCCCAGAGCCAATTCATCGGTCGTCGCAACCCGCCACAACGCCGGATACCGATCCGTAAACCATGTGACCAACGCTCTGCGGTTGCCGACCATTTAATTGCTGACACGCCGTCCCGAGAGGCAAGGGATGCTGCAAAGCAGGCTTCGCCACCGCAGCCGCCACTCTTGCTACGACAAATGTGGCCCCGTCTCTTGTCCTTGAGCTTGTGGGCTAGCATGGCTGGCCGCTATTGCCGTCACCGATGCACCGGACAAGCGGCAAGTAGTGTGAGCTACGAGGAGCAAAGAGCTTCCCAGGACGTCCTTGGTCAAGTGTCGAGGCTCGTTGTAATGTAAATATGACACGCTGTGCTACAGCGGCTATTACTTCGCTTGGTGTAGAGCCTCTGGGCCAAACCTCGGAGTCAGGACCAGAGGCCGTCGCAGTCTGGGCACACCAAACCAGCAAGATGGAAAAAGAGTCAGCGCCAAGATTCATAGAGGCGTCGCTGCAAGCGGTCGATACCTTGGTAACTTGGTACTACAAGGGTATGTACTCTTGCTTGGTAGAGCGGGGCGCTCATCCGCCAGACGACAACGACAGAGGACAGATAATGATGCACAAGAATGCGAGTACACAAATGTTGCATGGATTGATGGGCGTTAAATAAGATCTCCCGCCGTTTTCAGCGTGGCGCGCCACTAAATAGAGAAATGGGCACACGGTCTTAAATGACCACGATGGACGATTGACACTCGGAGGCAAAGATGTCGTAGAGCAACGCAAGGCGATCGGTCTTTTGCACCTTGGCCGGTGCGTCCGCCTCAATGTGGACGACCTCGAGCTTGCGCTTCCCGGCCGCCGCCGGTGCCTCGTTGCTGTGCCACTGCTGCACAATGTCATCTTCGATGGCCGTGATGAGTGCTTCTTCGAGGCGTCGCAGCTCGCGCTCCTTCTCGGCCTTCTTCGAGTTGGCTTTCCGCGACCGGAGGATGCGACGCGTTTGCCGCGTGAACTTTTCAATGTACAAGTCGGTGTAGCCAGCCTCCCGGAGCAGCGCCGCTCGTTCGTCGGCGGTCATGCGTTGCGCCTTTTGAGGCGTCTTGGTCGCACTGCAGCCTACTGCCACAGTGTGCGTCTGGATCGGGATGCCACGCAGGCCAATGGCGGGCCCGCCCGAGCGCGGGATAGCGCTGCCGCCATGGCCCACGGAGAACTCGTACACGGTCGCGTGCGACCAGGCCACGTGCTTGGCGGCTGGCCTCGCTGCGGACTCGTCGGTGCTGCTGGGCATGGACATGGCTGCTTGTTGGTGATTTCCGCTTTTACACCTTTCTTTTCAGCGAGCAAATTCTATTCGGATACGCGGGCCCCATATTAATATACTGAATGCTGTCTCTTCCACGTTTAAAATATACAATCTACACTGCATTTCGGTATGCGTATTTGAAAACACTGGTAAAACAAACCACGACGCTTGAAATAAATTGGCAATGGCGTTTTGGATCTTGAGAAGGTTTCCACAACCCTGGCGTCGGAATCCTCGTCAACGATTGGCCAAAACCCGTGGATTTCCAATGAATCTAAAAATAGATTGCCGCGCCAGATGCTGGCGCGTCCGTCCGGCGACGAGGCCACCGATGCGACCGTCCAGGAGCTCGTCGCCGACCTCGTCCGACCCGCGCATGGCAGCGACCGAGGCGAGCCCATGTACGCAGCGCATGCGCCAGCGACTATGGCTGTGGCGGTGCTGGCCTCGCTCACGCGGCTCGCAGCGACCAACACCCGCCTCCGAACGCTGGTCGCCGACGCGCTCAGCCCGCACTGGATGGCCTTCGCCGCCTGTCTCTACGATGCAACGACGTCGCTGCATGCGCTCGTATGCTTGGCGTCGTGCATAGACAACTCGCGCCGCCACCAGCGCCAAATGACGCGTGCGATTCCTGGTGTCGTCTTCCAGGATGCGTCGGTGATGCTGTACGCCGTGTGTGTGCCCGAGCGCGTCAACGCCGCGTACAAGCAATGGCGGCGGCGGCAGAAGGCACTGCGGGGCCATCGCGCGCCGCATGGTGTTCCGCCCGACGCGTCGGGAGCCCCGGCGCCGTGCTACTGCAACGCGTGCTTGGGCGTGCTCCAGCTCTTCCCAACATGGCGTGCGCACTTCTACGACCTCGACTTGTGGCGCATCGACGACGACAATGACGTAAGAATGACTCAGCTTCAAAAGCCTCCATCGCTCCGCGAGTACCTCGAGGTCGTCATGGCATTTCATGGCCGGCGATTCGAGCGTCATTTGCTGCCGCGGGACCCCGAGAACCCAAGCGCTGGCGGCTCTGCGACCTTGTATGCGCTACGCCTTCCTCTCAACCAAGAGGCCGACATCGAAGAAGAAGAAGAAGAAGAAGAAGAGATTTGTGACTTAGACGCGCGTGATGAAGATGGCTCCCTCGATCCTCGACGGGACATTGTCGCGCTCGTCGTTCACGAGGAGGTCGCCCTCGAACTACTACAGCTACAACACGACAGCGCAGAAGAGACGCCCGACGAGGTAGTACAATCGCCAATGACGACAAGTGACAGCCCGGCGATCGCTGCAGCCCCGGCGCCGGTGGTCGTCGTGCTGCACGAAGCCATGCAACGTGTGTCGATGTGCCGTTATGATGCGCGCCCTTCGGTGGTCGAACCCGTTTCGTCGCTCGTCGAGTACCTTCGATCGCTTCACGCCCTCTTCAAAAGGCTGGACCCGAACGGCGACGGATCGATCACGAAGCATGAGTTCATGGACGCACTCACCGACCACGCGACGCTCCGTGCGCAGCTCGAAGCCTCGTTCGGCGACCCATTGGACGGGTCGGCGCTGGACGACGATCGCCTCGAGATGGTGTTTACGCTCATTGGCGCTGGCCGCGACACTCTCGAGTGGGACGACTTTGTCGCGTACTTTGGCGATCCAATACGCATGGAGCGCGTCCAGCAGCGTGCATTGAGCGCCGAGGTGGAAGCCACGATGGCGTTTCTGCTGCGCTGCCTCGCCGACGACGAGACGTCCGACGATATCGTCGACTGCCACATGTGCTCCATTACCGTCTCGGCCAATGTGGACGCGCAAGAGCTGCGTCTCGAGGCATCGCGCCATGACGACGCTGGTGAGCAGCGGCGGTTCAGTGCCAGCGTGCCCCAAGCCTCGTTGTGCGTCCTCGGCAAATCACCGTTTGCGCTTCTCCAGCTCACGCCCGAGTCGCTGGAGGAGCTAGTGGCGCGGGTCGTCTTGTGCTATCATCCGCCGCATGCGTGCATGGCAGCGCACGGCGCACGACTCGCTCTGCGCGAGGTGCCGCATACCGAGGCCGCTGCGCCATCTCTTGTTCGTGCAATGGCGACGAAAGCATCGCCGACGCCGATCCCAGGTCTCTCGGCGTCCATGGTGGCGGCCATCGACCGGTGCAAGTCTGCACTCGAGACGCAGCTGCAAACCATGGCTTTTCTGCAGCGTGAGAATGCTGCGGAATTCGCGGTGGCGACCACGACGCAGCTGCGGCAGTGGATCGACCAGTGCAACGCGCGCATGACAAGCCTCGCCCAGCCGAGCGCGTTCCCGAAGAGTACGCACGCGCTTCGCGCGGCGGCGCGCGATCGGTGCCAGCAGATCCGACGCGACCTTATCGACTGCGCCCGCCGCATTGCCATGGTGGACGCGCAGCTCTGGAGCGCCGAGGCCACCATCGACCTTGTGCATGTGGTCGTCCGCACGCTACACGACGTGCTTCGCTGCAGCGCCGAGGTCCACTACTGGGAGCGTCGGGACGAGCGTATCCCGAGCCTCGGTCTCTCCAACACAGTGTGGGCCAACGGATACCCGGACGCGCTTTACCCAAAAGCAACCGAAGCGGCGCGAGCGGGGCAGAAGAAGCGCAGCAACAAGCTGCGGCGCGCCGTGCAGGCTGCACGAAGAGTCCACCACCAAGTAGTGAGCAAGTAGAGTCACGCGTACAATGGTAGCGTAGGAGGATATTAGAGCAGTCACGTCTGCAGTACAAGGGCAGTGGCCACGAGCGAATAATGGAGCCGCCCTATCACCGTGAGTAGCTCGACGACGCTTTAAGTCAGAGCCACGGCCGCTCGATGATAGCCTTGCCTCACGCACGCTTGTCGGTCACCAACCATTTCCAGCTACTTCCATATATCTCGGTCACCAACCATTTCCAGCTACTTCCATATATCTCCTACCACCCGCGTACCTTCTGGAGAGTGAAGGGAGTTGCATGCAGTAGCTTGCCGTGCAACGAGATCAGGCAAGTCTCGGACGTTGGACAAACCACGTCGAGGCCGGTGGCGCTTGTGCGAGGCGCCTCCGTCTTGGGCGACACCTTCCTGCTCGGTAGGTCTCACGCCTCATTACCTGCCACGTCGGTATCAACAGCAAAGCCGACCTCGACGGGGCAGATTCCACAATGCAGTCTCTCGATGCTGATTGGCCGATGCGTGATAGCATATCTTTCGGGTCGGTGGCCGCTCGCCAGAGAGCAAGTGGTCATGGCCCCCAATGTCGTCTTGCTCGGGAGCGGCCGAGCCTCGTACGCGGCTGTCGGTGTGCAGGAAAAGGACTATGAGGACGGCCTCGAGACCATTCCGCGGCCAGTTCTGGACGAGATCGTCGCCCACAAGCGGCGCATCTACTGGTCACTCTTCCTCCTCGAGGGCTCCGTCATGTGGGCCTACTACACGTGCCTCTCGGCGCAAGACTACTACCGCGCGAGCTTCCCGCACATTGCGTTCGCCTTTCTGACGACTCCGATTCTGACGTGGCCGCTCACGCTCGGCCATCTCGTGCAAATGTGGTTTGGCCTTGACAAGTCCATCGGCAACCGCCGCATGCGCGTCGTGCTCGGGTACGCTCTCTTCGCCGCCTGTGGCCTCGCGATCCTCGCCCAAGACTATCTGCATTTGTCCGAGACGGACGGCGCGGCCATGGTCTTGGTCTGCTTCGCGATTGTCGGAATCGCCCACTCGCTCGTCGAGCCCGCGTACTATGGTATCGCAGCGCTCTTCCCGGACGAGTCGTTCACGAACGCCGTCCAGCTCGGCAACGTCTCGGCCGGCGTCTTCAATATCACCGCGTCGACGCTTCTGCGCCTGCTCGTGGGCGGCGACAGCAGCACGCAGCTCGCGTTCTACCTCTTCATCTTCCTCCTCCTCGCCGTGTGCGCGGTCGCGCTCGTGGTCTACTGTCGCCTCGAGTCGCTCCACTGCGTCAAGTACCTCCTCGACCGCGCCGACGACGACCACCGCAAGCATGGCGACCCACCGCTGCCCGTGCTCTGGGCCAAGTTTGTACGCGTCGCGAAACTGCTTCCGAGCCCCATGGGCGCGCAGTTCCTCCTCTTCTTTTGCTCGCTCACGCTCTTCCCGGGCGTCGGGTGCTCGTCGGCGCCATCCGACCCGCGCTACGCCGACGCGATGACGTGGTTTTGCTCGCCCGGTATCGTGGGCGCCTTCAACTTTGGCGACTTCTTTGGCCGCCTCGCCTGCACCAAGCGCGTGTACGCGGCCGTCTCGCTGCGAGCGTGCGTCGCGTGGTCCTTCCTGCGCTGGGCGTGGCTGCCGCTGCTCCTCTTCGGCATGGCCTCCAACTCGAGCGTCTATGCCTTTGGCTCGTGCCCGCTGCTCGGCGTGTTCTGGCAAGTCGGCCTGAACTTTGGCCTCGGCTTCACCGGCGGCCTCTTCTCGACGCTCACGATGGGCTTGGCGCCGCGCCTCGTCGCGCAGGAAGACCGCGAGGCCGCGTCCGCGCTCATGGTCATGTGCCTCTTCCTCGGGCTCTCGTGCGGCTCGACGATGGGCTGGGCGCTGGAGAACAGCCACTGGCTCGGTCTGCTCTAGCACGCATTCTTGTGTCGATACGACTATATACGAACGTGTTCCGTGTTCATTACAAAGAGTTCGCATACGTATTATAGCCTGCATGCGAGGGAGTTGGCACGTGGACGTTGGGAGAGAGCTGTGCACGGAGAGATCCATCCCGCACTCGCCGAGGGATAGCTCGCTCGAGGTCGTACGCAGGCTCGTGTACTCGGACCACCGATAGATACGACGACATACAAATACGGCATGGGGCGCACCTCCATGTGATCGCTGGCTCTAGCGTCTTGACCGCGACGCTCGTGTCGCAGCAGCAGCGTCCACGGCGGCGTGTTTGTGCCGTCGGTCAGGCGGCGTCGCCGACAGCCTGCGCAGGCAGTTCATCGCGGCGGTGCAAAATTGGGTAAAATTGAAGTCGAGCTTGAAGTCGGCGACGGCCGGCACATGATAACACCGAGATCCGCGATCCTTCGACGGGATCGACCGTGTTGCATGCGCGTGCAAGGACGATCTTGCATTCGCCGGCGGCGGCGGCAAGGGATTCCGCGGGCGCGTCGAGACGATTGTGACCCACGGAGGAATCACTGGTTGCCGTGCACTCGAAAGAAAGGCCACATCGAATTCGTTGAGGCTCCCACGGCGTCGAGGGGAAAAAGAAGAGAGGTCCCACTTTCGTGCGAGCGCAAAGAACGGCCTCCGTGTAACTGATGACACAACCTTAGCACCAACTGAACGCGACTATACAAAGCTTGCCTTGCTAAACTGCAACCTCCAATGGTAGAGATGTGGGACTTTCTGCGGCCGATATTAGCCCCAGTGTTGCGTTTCAACCTCTTCGGTGTCTACGCGATGGCAGCGTCGAGAACGACAGCGTGTACAAGCGGCGGACAGAGGGGCACGGCGCGACCAAGAAGAGCAGCTTGGGATCGAGGTGGCCCACATCTTTGGGCCGCAACATTGATTAACAAACAAGCGCACGTCTGGGCTCGTCAGGTAGGTGACTTCAACACGGCAACCTGGTCTTCAATCTTCTGGCGGCCTCTGCCACCAGTCTGTTTGCTCCAAAGAGCGCAGAAGCGCGCCGGAGCCACGAGATTTGTTGACTAGATACAAGTGACTAATGTGCGACATGCCAATCATCTGGTTTGGCTACCAACTGGATCTCGCCTTCAGACGTGAGCAGACCGGTCGCTCGTTGTGGCCTCGTCAGACGCCGCAATTCGGCTCACATTTCAATTTGCCTCGACCGCAGTACATTGACCAGCATGACTGCGCCGTACCACGAAGCCGTCGACGTCAAGGAGAAGGACCTCGCGCTCGATGCCCAAGTCGGCGACAACGAGATCCCGCAGCACGTGCTTGACGAGATCAAGCTCCACAGCTCGACGATCTACTGGTCGCTCTTCTTCCTCGAAGGCTCGGTCATGTGGGCGTTCTACTCGTGCTTGTCGGCGCAGGACTACTATGCTAGCACCTTCCCCAACGTCCAGTTTGCCTTCTTGACGACCCCGATTCTGACGTGGCCGCTCTCGCTTGGTCACATCATCCAGATGTGGTTTGGCCTCGACCGCGCGCTCGGCAACTTGAACCGCGTCTACATTGGCTACGGTCTCTTCGCTGCCTGCGGCATCTTCATCCTCATCCAGGGCCAGCTCGGCCTCGAAGAGTTCACGGGCGCGACCCTCATCTTGCTCTGCTTCGGCCTCGTCGGCGCTGCTCACTCGCTCACCGAGCCCGCTTACTACAACGTCGCGTCGCTCTTCCCGGATGAGAAGTTTACCAACGCGATCCAGGTCGGCAACGTCGTCGCTGGCTGCATCAACGTCACGGCGGCGACGCTCATCCACTTGGCGGTCTCGGGCACGGACGTCAAGCTCTCGTTCTACATCTTCATGTCGCTTCTGCTCGTCGTGTGCGTCGGTGCCGTCATTGTCTACTACCGCCTCGAGAAGATCCCGTGCGTGCGCTACCTCCTCGACCGCGCCGCCGCCGACCACAACAAGCACGGCAAGGTGTCGCTCCCCACGCTTTGGGCCAAGTTCTTCCGCGTCAGCAAGGTCATTGTGATGCCGATGGTGGCGCAGTTCATGCTCTTCTTCTGCACGCTCACGCTCTTCCCGGGCTTTGGTATCTCGTCGGTCCTCAAGTTCAAGACGGTCATGTCGTCGTCGGGCGGCCCGTGGGTCATCTCGCCGGGTATCATTGCGCCCTTCAACTTTGGCGATCTCATTGGCCGTCTCCTCTCGACCAAGGCCGCGATCAAGTTCTTCTCGCTGCGCTTCTGCTTCTACTTTTCGTTCTTCCGCTGGGTCTGGCTCCCGCTCTTGCTCCTCGGCACGGCCACCAACTCGCTCTACTCGTTCGGCGACGCCGAATGGAGCGCGTACGCGTTCCAGGTCGTCCTCTACGTCATCCTCGGTATCACGGGCGGCCTCTTCTCGACCATCACGATGGGCATGGGCCCGCTTCTTGTGCCGCAGGAAGACCGCGAAGCCGCTGCGGCGCTCATGGTCATGTTCCTCTTCCTCGGCCTCTCGTGCGGCTCGACGTTCGGCTGGGTCATTGGCCACAACCACTGGTTTGGCTTGTAATTCCGTCCGTCGCGTCCTAGTGTGTTTATGACAACAAACATTAAACCCTTGTCATAATTTATGCTTTTTCATTGGTACCCCTTGTCTTATTCTTGACAAGAAACTATCGATTGGACAAATTGTGCCACGATTGCTGTGCGACTCGTACATCCAGTGTGTGCGAGTCGCACAGCAATCGTAGCGCCCTTCCACTTCGCTAGACCGTATTAACGTTAGTTATTTTCTTGTCCACGAAGAAATAGCCTAGCGTCATCTTGCATGGGTTGCCGTGCCGGCCTGTCTAGCGTTACCAAAGTTATATTACAGCCCGCTCACGTATACATGGGGCTCAGCTGCACCGTGCATTTGGGGCTTATCACTGATATGATAGACAGCGTCTATCAGCGCGAACCAGGGACCATTAATGCAGGATCCCGGCCACAAGTAATACCGACAGAATCACCTTCTTGGAGAACGTAAGGAGCTGTCGGATGACATAGGCGTCGAGGATGAGGTTCCCATCACTCACTGATGACGTCAATAGATTTCGCACGACTCGAGGCCCAGCAGCGCACGCCATGCATCAACGTGCACTCTCTAATACATTTGCAATAGACAATTTTCCGACATCACAGTATAAATTATGACAAGGGTTTAACGTTTGTTGTCATAAACACACTAAGACTACTTGCAGCTTACAAACCAAACCAGTGGTTGTTGCTGATGCCCCACCCGAACGTCGAGCCGCACGAGAGACCAAGGAAGAGCGCCATGACCATGAGCGCCGCGGCGGCCTCACGGTCTTCCTGCGGCACGAGCAGCGGGCCCATACCGATCGTGATCGTCGAGAAGAGACCGCCCGTGATACCAAGGAAAAGGTAGAGCACCAAAATGAAGACGTACGCACCCCAGTGCGAGTCACCGAACGCGTACAGCGAGCTCGTCGACACCGTCATGAGAAGCAGCGGCAACCACACCCAGCGGCAGAACGAAAAGATAAAGCAAAAGCGAAGCGAGAAAAAGTTGACCGCCGCCTGCGTCGACGCGAGACGACCGATGAGATCACCGACGTTGAACGGACCGACGACACCCGGCGAAATGATCCACGGAGCACCCGGCGACGAAGTGACCGAATCCAGCTTGAACGTCGAGGTGATGCCAATACCCGGGAAGATCGCCAGACTGCAGAAGAAGAGCATGAACTGAGCCACCATGGGCACCACAATGACCTTGCCGACGCGGAAAACTTGGACCAGAGCTGCGGCAGCGACACCTCGCCGTGCTTGATGTGGTCGGCCGCGGCGCGGTCGAGGAGGTAGCGCACGCACGGAATCTTCTCGAGGCGGTAGTAGACGACGACGGCACCCACCGAGATGACCAAGAGCATGGCCATGAAGATAAAGAACGACAGCTTGACACTGCCGGCCGGATCCGTGTCGTGGATACCACCGACAGCCAAGTGGATGAGCGCAGCCAAGACGACGTTGAGGACGCCGGCCGCGACGTTGCCGACCTGGATCGCGTTCGTAAAGTGCGCGTCCGGGAAGAGCGACGCGACGTTGTAGTAGGCAGGCTCGGTGAGCGAGTGCGCCGCACCAACAAGACCAAAGCAGATCAAAACCATGGTGGCACCCGCCGTCTGGCTCATGTCAAGGTAGCCTTGGACGATGATGAGGATGCAGCAGACACCAAAGATAAAGTAACCAATGATGACGCGCTTCATGTTGCCGAGCGAGCGATCGAGGCCAAACCACATTTGGATGATGTGACCAAGCGAGAGCGGCCACGTCAAGACGGGTGTCGTCAAGAAGGCAAACTTCACGTCCGGGAAGGTGCTGGCGTAGTAGTCTTGCGCCGTCAAGCACGAGTAGTAGGCCCACATGACGGAGCCGTCGAGGAAGAGCAGCGACCAGTAGATGACGCTGCGGTACTCCTTGATCTGGTCGAGGATGTGCTGCGGGATCTCGTTCTCGCCCTCGTCTTGGAGGTGCTTCTCCTTGACGTCGAGCGCTTCGTGGTAGTTAGCGTCCATGCTGTTGTCGTAAGGACGCAAATTGAATTGTGACGACCTCGGTGGTCGTCAAACGTACAGCCGTAGAATAACACGACTTTGTTGGAGCTTGTCGTAGCATCATCGCACCCAGGACGGCGGCAGTCTCGAAGCGCGTCCCACCGGTGTAATATTCTGGGTCGGGCCACAAAGCAAGGCCGCGCATGTGGCAATATTGAGGCCCGGGTCCGTGTTTACCGTTTCCTCCGCATAGACCGTAATCGGATCATCGCCACGCCAGTTACAGCGAATCACACATGTAGTGCCCGAGACCGTACAGGCACGCATATTTGGGTCCAATATATAAGTCTTGGGAGGTGGTGATTGTGCGATGTAGAGCATCACGCCATGCTCGCACTTGAAGTTGCTCGCTCGAGCCGACCCAGTCTGGGTAAATTGGCGACGAAACAAAACGTCATTTTTGCAGCCAAGCTAACGTGTAATTTGCCGAGCGCAGGTATCTGCTAGCGTCGAAAGTCGTCATCGGTGCTCTTGGCGATTCTGTCAGAGTCGGTGGTGGTGCGTGGAACCGATGGAACGAGGAAACAAACACGCGGTGTGTGCTTGGAAGTGGAAGTGTTGTCTTCATTAAGCTGCTTTGGCTGTTCTTTTTCCCTCAACACCAAGACGGATAACGTTGAAGCCAAATTTGAAGTTGCACGCTTGAGCCGTCGCGACTTCAACCAGCTTTGATGACTGGCGCGCCAAAGCATGAAGCCGACGAGACGAGTAACATCCGATCTACGGTATGCTTTCGTAGCAACCGTAGGTTTCGCTGCGGGCAAACCACGATAGAGTATATCGTGCAGTGGGGTCTGATCATCGCTGCGGTGCCAGGTTGAGGGTGTGCTTGGACGCAGGATATCACTGGGCCGTTGCCAGAGGAATATAGCGTAGCTTAACGAGCGTAGTGATGCGGGAAAATGACCACACATGCCACATGCGCTTTAGTACGACATGCGACAGAGTGCGATTCGACACGCGCTGGGCGAAGAAGCTCGCCGCTTTTATGAGCAAGTGCAACCGACAAACATCGATTCTGACAGTCAAACCAGTATAACGATTATGACAGATATTCAATACCAGAGGTTCTCGCCCACCAAAGATCGCAGCTGATATGGAGTCGACCGCAGCCTCGACGCCGGACGACGAGCAGACGTCCAGCAACGCCTCCGAGCAGGCGAGTCCAAGCGCATCACGCCAAGGCAAGCGCGCTTTGGCGGCGAGCGACGACGAGGAGCCGACAGCCAAGCGCCCGAACACACAGGTCGTCGAAGAAGCCGACGTCGACACGCCCGTGCAAGCCGCGACGCCGGCCGCCAGTGCTGCCCTTAGCACGGCCACGGATGCGCCTCCGCCGAGCACGTCAGTGGGCGACGCGGTATCCTTGATTCTCAGCGAGACGCAGCGCATCTCCGATACAGTCCGCGGCGTCACGGGCGAGGTACAGGAGCTGCAAAGCATGCTCGCGACAGTACGCCATGCGATCGCCGGCATTCGCTCTGCGGGCGACGTCTTGGATGATCGACTATCTGCAGCGAACGGAGCGCTGGACGACGTCATGACCAGCGTGATCTTGCGCGCTGTGGAGGCCACGCAGTCCCGCGTCTTGACGATGGACCAGTCCACGTTCGACCGCATTTGCGACGAGATGGGCACAGTCATGGCGCACGCGAGATCCGCAGCGCAGCTGCATGAGACGCTGGACACAGCGATCAACGGCCTCGAGGCCGTGCTCTGCGCCATCGAAATGCGTCTCGATGGCCTCTGCCGCGCCCTCGACACCAACACGGGCCAGCTCCACGCGCTCTCGGACCGAGCGATTGCGATGGCAGCGCAGTTCCAGTGATGTTATGCAGCATCGTCGACCAAAGATTATACTCGTTTCCTACTTGGGTCTTAGCACTTGGTGATGAGTACGATGGAGAAAAGGCAGATCTCCGTTCATCTCAGTGTGTCTGCTGAGAGACAGAGACGGCTAGTATAAGGGACCGCGCCCATAGCGACATGTCCAAACGCAGGGCGTCAGCCGCCAAGACTTGCCGAAAATGACCTGCGTGAAGCCTCGTACTTTAGCGTTGGCGGCCTCAAGCGACGCAGCCTCACAACTGAGTACGTCGCGCGCCTGCGCAAGACGACATGGGCGTACCTCCAGCGCAACGCTCCGATCGACGCTCCGATCTTCTGGTACGTTCCAGCTTCCAGATCTGATGCCGATCTCATCCACATTCCAACTTGTGGGGTCTGCACCATTGCGTTTGCGTCCGAGCAAAATCGACTCTCGCATGTGTCCTTCTCGACCTCGTAACGTCCAGGAAGCGACATCGCTCGAGGAGAAGACGACCAAGCTCGCCCCACTCGACACGGAGCCGCCCATGACGCCGCGACTCTTGTACCACAGCTCGTACTCAAGTACTAGTAGACGTTGTATTGAGGCCAACGCCAATGCAATATGTCGCAGAACCAACGCGAGGCTCGAGTGCTCGCTGTACGCGCAGGCGCCAGCCGGAAAGCGGACCGTACCAGGGCTACCTTCTGGTCTGCATCAACGAGGACCTGCACAAGGCACGTCCCAAGCCCGTCGAGTGTAGGGATCCTCATCGATATGTAGGCGGTCCCGCCCACTCCTGTGAATGGCGATCTCGTCGACGCGATGATGGTCGACGAGACGACCAAGTGCGCGACCGAAGTGAACGTGCTCCTGCAAAAGAGCGCGGGCGTGGCGATCGAGCGCCAAGCTGCCGCCGCGCACGCCGAGAAGGCCCAATGCGCGCTCACTACCTACCATGGCTGTACTACAAGCAGCCACGCGACCATCCGCGGACGCTGCCCGGGCTGGACGGTCTCGGTCCGATCACGTCGGCGCTCAAGACAATGGTTCTCACACCGCCGCCGTAACTCTGTCGTATGTGACCAACACGAGTCACGCCAAACGAGCCGCGTCTTCTTATAGAGTCTTCAAGTCTCTTTCTCGGGATGGCGAGAAGGCGTCGATCCATGCAGCGCGCCGCGCTCCTCCATCAAGTGCCGGAGAAGGGCCTTGAAGCGGTCAACATCAAACATGTGCACGAGCTTGGTCGCAGGCGCGGCGGATGGCACCCAGTGGCACGCCCCCCGGGTAGGTCCTTCCGAGAGCTCGACGCGACCCGTGGCAAACGAGACGTCCGTCGCGCAGTCAGCGACGAGGAGTGCCGTCGCGTACGCGTCGCAGAGGATGAATTCTTGGTGCTTGCCGCTGCTGGCACTCGGGCGGTACTGCTCGTACGCCGAGAAGATGCGCTGGAGAAAGCGAGCAGTTGGCGTGCGCAACGCAACCAGCTCGTCGTAAACAGCCCACGTCAAGTGCGCGTCACAGACGGTCTCCCAGCTCACGATCGTGAGCTTTTGCGCGAACTGCGTCAAGAGAATGTGCGCGGCCTCGGGGTCGCTCGCCACGTTGAACTCGGCGTGCGGCGTCGTGTTACCTTGGTCACGCGTCGTACAACCCATGTAGATGACCTAGCATGCATAGTATTCGATAGTATGGCGTCGTCGTGCGTAGTAGGTGGATCGGGGCAACCTCCTTGAGGTTCTCGACGAACGTCGGATCGAGCATCGCGGCCAATGCGAGGTTGGTCGCAGGTCCAATGGCGACGATCGTGAGCTCCTTGGGATGCGCCTTGGCGAAGCGAAGCAGCGCAGACACGGCGTGGTTTTCGCTCGGCGGCGTGTATGGGGCGACGCCAATCGAGCCGCCGAGGCCGTCGACGCCGTGGCCCGCCCACTTGCTGCTCATGCTCGAGATGAGCGGCTTGTGCGCGCCTGAAAAGATTGGGATACTCTGGTCCGAGGCGTGGGCGAGGATCCTAGGCACATACGATGTTACCATTCAACGGCCATGGTAGCCTGTACTGCGTCAAGTTGAGGTTGGCTTGGTGCAGGTCGACGTTGCCAAAGGTCGACGTGAGTGCCACGACACTCCCGCGCGGCAAGAGGTTGATGGCGAGAAGCACTGCGATCGCGTCGTCGACGCCGGCGTCAGTGTCAATGATGACCTTGGTATCGCCCATGTGTCGAATCCACAACTGACTGCGTCAACCAGACGACAGCGTCCCGCGCGTGCACGCAACCAACGGTTTCCCGCGCAAATAGGGTGATAGCGCACCAGAAGTCACTTGCGTTGCGTGTCCGCGCAGATACTACTAATACCTCGTGCAGCGTTTCGGTGCTACTATCGCACACCCGTGACACATCAGAAGGACACGACCACTTGATGGGCTTCTCTGGCCTTTCTCTGCTGCATAAGGGACCGTGGAGAGCCGTGCCCTAGCCAATGAGGCACTGCAAGTCTATCATGAAGCGATTGCAGCGTCTAAATTGATCATGTACTACAGCTGCTTACGACGTCGACTCTTCCCGTGCGAGCTGGAGGAAGAGCGTCTTGAAGCGATCCGTGTCGAAGGCGTGGACTAGCTTGGCGCCGCTCTTGTCGGCCGTCGGAGACCAATGGCAAGCGCCGCGCGTCTCGCCCGGCGTGAGCTCGACACGACCGGTGGCGAACGAGACGCTTCTCGTGTAGTCGCCGAAGAGGAGTGCTAGCGCATACGCGTCACAGACCACAAAGTGCTGCTCGCCGCCTTCTTCGTAGAGGACGCCGACGTCGCGCTGCGGCCGGAACTTCTCAAAGGACGCGCAAATGGCCTTGATAAAGGCCGCGGTCGGCGTCTGGACAGCGATGAGCTCGTCGAAGAACGCCCAGGGCAGGTACGCGTCGCAGACGGTCTCCCAGCTCACGATCGTGAGCTTTTGTGCAAACTGCGTCAAGAGAATATGGGCGGCCTCGGGGTCGCACGCGACGTTGAACTCGGCGTGCGGTGTCGTGTTGCCGCGCCCGAGCGTCGTACAACCCATGTAGATGACCTATGGTAGTCATGAGGCATGGCCTCTTCCTGCGTGCAGCAATAGTAATACCTCCTTGAGGTTGTCGACGAACGTCGGATCCAGCGCCGCGGCCAGCGCGAGGTTGGTCGCAGGTCCAATGGCGACGATCGTGAGCTCCTTGGGATGCTCTTTGGCGAGGCGAAGCAGCGCAGACACGGCGTGATTTTCGCCCGGCGGCGTGTATGGGGCGAGGCCAATCGCACCGCCAAGACCGTCGACGCCGTGGCCGTCCCAGCGCTCGCCGACGCTCGAGATGAGCGGCTTGTGCGCGCCTGAGAAGACTGGGATGTGGGGCTGCTTGGAGCGGGCGAGGATGCTATTGCACGCTTCAGAGGACGACGAAGCAAGATCCATTTCTACGTACTGCTTCAAGTTGTGGTTGACCTGATGCAGATCCACGTTGCCAAAGACCGACGTGATCGCAAGCACGCTACCCTCGGGCAGCATGTTGGTGGCCATGAGGATCGAGATGGCATCGTCCAAGCCGGCGTCCGTGTCGATGACAACCTTCATCTTCGCCACTGGTCGTCGATGGCCCGGGAATGGTAATTCCTAGCCGGCTGGATTGCGCATGTGTCACAAACCAAGACTTCAACCCCGTGCAGCTTATCTTATAGCCGAATTGGATCTGCAGGCCGTCATAGCGTATTTATTACCGACACCAAATCTGTCGCTTGTATAAACCATCGCTGCGAAGTAACACTATTGCGCACGGATTCGTATCGCTCGTGTTGATATAGCGTTAACAGCATTGTTGAAGGCTGTTGATTGGGAGGGCTGTGATAGAGCAAGCGGCCACACTTGGCCGCTCCCTTTCCTCTTCGTTCCTTCAACAAGCCACGGAACGACAGCTTCGCATCGTCGGCTACTGCTGAGTGCGAATCCATGGCGATCTTGGAACGTTACGATCGCGACAGCATAAAAGTATCCTGCAGCCAACGAGTAGCTTGATCGCTATTTCGGTGCACGGCCGCCAGGCGCAAGAGAGCTACATCCCTGATAGTAGTAGGAGGGAGCATGTCCGAGGCTTGGCCATAGGATCTTTGACCGTGTGCGTCACTGCGGAGAACGGTCCACCGCTGGTCAGCTGGCGGCTGACAACTTTAAGTTCCGACGCGAATTTTAATACGTTTCTTACAAACCCCGAGCTATTATTAAAAATGGTGCGAGTATCCAGCGGCAGCATAAGATATTTCCGAGGATGCGAGGTCATCGTGCTCGACGGACGCCATTTGGCAATTGCAAGGATCGGAGGCATGAGCGCCGAGACGACGGGGCTCCTCCAGACGACGACGACGCCGGCCAAGACGTCCATCATCCTCAGCGTCTGCTCCTTCATCCTCGTCACCGAGGTACGACTGCCTCGCCCATTCTTATCCTTCTTATGGCGGACTTGTGCGCTTAGTTTTGCGAGCGCTTTGCCTACTATGGCTTCACGGGGTCGCTGCCCATCTTCTTCCGCAAGAACCTCGGGTTTAGCTCGGTGCTTGCGACGGAGCTCAACTCGGTCTTCTCGTGCGTCACGTACATCACACCGCTCCTCGGCGCGTATGTGGCCGACAAGCTCCTCGGCCGCTTCAAGAGCATTCTCTTCTTCTCGATCTGGTACATGCTCGGGCTCATTCTGTGCACGGTCGCGTCGGCGCCGCCGCTCATGTCGTCGTCGTGGTTCATGTTCGGGCTCTTTGGCTGCATCGCGCTCGGCGTCGGCGGCATCAAACCCAACGTCGTCGTGCTCGGCGCCGATCAGTTTGACACGACCGACCCGGCGCAAAAGGCCGAGCGGGTACGCACTCTTTCCAAGAAAATCTGAATCTCAAATCGGGTCTAGGACAAATTCTTCAACTGGTTCTACTGGTCGATCAACATTGGCGCGACCTTTAGCACCGTCTTCTTGACCAACCTCGCGGTCGACGGCTACGCGCCGTACATTCCGGTCGAGTACGGCTTCTTTGCCTCGTTCCTCATCCCTACGATCGCCTTTGGCTTGGCGCTCGTCATCTTTGTCTCGGGCCGGAAGCGCTACGTGCGCAAGCCGCCGCAGGGCAGCGCGCTGAGCCGCTTTGTGCAGATCCTCCTCTTTGCCGGGTCGCGCTCCGGAAAAGGTCGGCTCGTGCTCTCGGGTGGCTTTGCCTTTCTGCCCGCGATCATCCTCACGACCGCCTCGTACTTTGTCGACGAGCCGAAGTGGCACCTCGCCCTTGCGCTCGCTGGCGCCGCGCTCGTTGTCTATGGCACGCTCGTGCTCATCGCGACGGGGCGCAACACGGACTGGGTGCGTGCGGCGGCGATTGAGAACGGCGGCGACTGCAGCCTCGCCGAGACGCGGGAGGTCGGCCAAGTGCTCCGCCTCTCGCCTTACTTTGGCTTTCTCATCGTGTTTTGGGCCGTGTACAGCCAGCAGACGATGAACTTTATCTTGCAAGGCTGCCAAATGGACCTCCGCGTCGGCGAGACCCAAGTGTCGTCGGCGATGCTCTCGATGTTCGACTCGATCGTCATCCTCGTCTTTGTGCCCGTCTTCAACCAGTGCTTGTACCCGGCGATCGAGCGCTGCGGCGTTCGGCTTACCATTCTGCGCAAGATGGGAGCCGGCTTGGTGGTTGCCGCGCTCTGCATGGTGGTTGCTGGCGCCATCGAAGTCGCCCGGAAGGACGCGCCGCTGCTCGAGGGGCTCAGCTCCAACTGCGCCGACGCGTCCGAGCGACTGCCCATGTCGGCGATCAGCGTCTGGTGGCAGACGCCGCAGTACCTTCTCGTCGGCGTCGCCGAGATCCTCGTGAGCATTCCTTGTACGTCCACCTCGTGTTTTGAGCCGCCGATTTGATGTGTTTATGGTGTAGCGTACGATCTCTTTTACTCGGAGGTGCCCGAGTCCATGCGCAGCGTGTGCCAAGCGCTCAACCTCCTCACGACGACGCTCGGGTCGGTCGTTGCCGGTGGCGTCAACAGCATTTTTTCGTTTTGGGTCACGACCAACCTCAACGACGGGTCGCTCGAGCTTGTCTTTTACATCCTCGCCGGCCTCGTTCTCCTCAACCTGCTGGGCTTTATTCTCGTCGCCCGCGGCTTCGAGTACCACGTGCCCGACCACTCGAAGCTCGACCTGGTCTCGGGCTACTCGCCGGCGCTGCCCCGTGCGACGCGTCGGTCGCGCAAGCCGTCCGGTGTCGTCTAATAAGTTGCATGAAAGTAAAATGGAGTATTGGACTTGACTTGAAGACGACCCTTGGACGGGTGGTTGTATTATGAACGGCGACGCAGAAAGACCGCTAGATGGCCCTATCTAAACCACAAAGATCAACCACGCCCTGCCCCAAGAAAACACGAGGTGTGGGGCAGGGTACGCTAAACTTCAATGCACATAATTCTTTTCACCGACGAGTCCAAACTACGACACACGCAGTACACGATCCCACCGCTAGATTGCACGCTACCCCAATGCCAAACCTCGACCAAAGAGCTCCTGCCCCAAGAAAACACGGGGTTAACCCTAGTACCTATTTATTCTAAAAGGATGTATGGGTTGCAGTCTAAACGCACGCCTCGTGGTTGGTGCCCTTGTTGAAGTGGGACCGCACCAGCCACTTGCGACCCAGCGACTGCGTTCGAGAGGCCAGCATACGAGCGTACACAAGGTCATACATTAGAAGAGGAAGATCGAACACAGATAGGGGACAACGCTACTTGATGAGCCAAATTCAGCGCTCCACCTCGCTCGCTCAACTCCCTTGCCATAGTATGTCGGTCAAGAGGGACAGCCTGCCTCGACGCGGTGACCGTGCGCGTTTCCTGCATCTTGAAGCAAAAGGAATTGCATTAACCCGACTTTAGAAGCCCAAAGATGCTCTGCATGAGCGTCTTGGCCTCGCCCGCAATGTCCTTGGCCGTGTTGGTCACAGCGCGCGCATTGTCCATCGTCGTCATGGCCAGCGTCTGCGCCTGCTGCACCGTGCCTTTGACAACCTTGAGGCGCGAGTTGATGTTGAGGAAGCGCCCGACCGACCCGAGCACCGAGACGCGGCCGTCGGCGTCCGGCAGTCGGTGCCACACAAGGCTCCCGTCCGCGTGGCCAGTGACCGCGAGCATGATGGCTTCGGACGGGCCGACGGCGCCACACGTGATGGCGGCCGGCAACTCGGTCGATGTCTTGTACTCGTGCAGAATCGCTAGGCTAATGAGGTCCTCAGTTCTTATCGCAAGTGGCGCGACAAGCACGTACTCGTCGAGACGGTAGACGCGCACGGCAAACTCGAGGTGCGCGAGCACAAGGCCGCCGTCCGGCGAGACGATGATGCTACTGCAGGGCTCGACGTCGTGGACGCGAACGCACGTCCCTGCGATCGTGAAGATGGCCAGCACACTGCCCGTGCCGTGCCGCCGCTATTCATTCTATCTTGATACATTGATACAATACGCAGATCAGACGCACGGTGCTGCGGGTGACGACAAAACCGCGCTGCGACGAAGCAAGCTGCTCGAACGTCGCGTCGTCGACGGCGGGCGCACGAAAGAGGACGTGGCCCGTATGCACGTTGTGCACGAGACACGTGGACGCCGACGCTGACGCGACGATACCGAGGCGCGCGTTGAGGTGGCACGCGCTGAGCGGCGCGTCGTGCCCTCGATACACCTACCCCCTTGCTCTACCACCATCCGAGAAATGCAAGAGAAGTAATATACCATGAGCGGACTCGACGAGATACGTGGCAGTCGGAACGGACTGTTCATGTTGGAAAACTGCCACAAGAGCACCGAGCAGTCCCTATTGCGTCATCCTCAATACGATGTGAAGCGTCTTGTGCATTCGTACTTGGCGCCCGAGAGAAGAAACTCGTCTTGACCGAGCGTGTCCATGTCAAGGCACGTGACAACGTCGGCGTGGCCATCGACACTGGCTTTGGCCAAGATGTGGCCGTTGGCGAGGTCCACAAGTCGGAGGTGGATCGATCCCGTCGACGCGCCGCCCGTCGCAAACACACGCCCGTGCTCCGAGATGGCGACCGGCAGCCGCGCGCCCGATGCAAAGATCGGGAGCCGCGGCACGACGTCGAACGGCGAGAGATCCCGGTCCGTCGAGAGCTTCCACTCGTTGCTACTGACGTCGTCGTCCTTTAGGAGCTCGTCCGACTTGCGGCCCGCCGAGGCCGGCGCTTTGGCATGGAGCTTCCAGTGGTGAAGCTCAATGACGCCGAGATCGTTGACGGCAAGGACACGGTCCGACAAGATCTTGATGGCGCGAATCGCAGTGTCGCCGCCGAGCGACCGCGATAGTACCGACGACTGCGACCTGACTGGCGACTGATACGCCACGGCGAGCGGACGAGGGACGGTGGCGGAGGCACTTGTCGCGGGCCCGCGGGGTGGGTGCCCTTTCGAGAAAAGCTGGCGCGGGCACTGCCCAAAATGCGCAATCTGCTGCTCCATCGCCGTGCGCAGCATTGGGTCCTCGATCGCGTCGAGGTCCACGAGGCCATAGTACGTGAGGTAGTAAAACACATTGTTGGCTGCGAGCGCGTCGTCGCCGCGCTGCTTGAAGCCAAAGATGAGGTCGATCCACTCGTGCAAATGCGCCGAGACAAACTCGCTCTCAAGCGCCGCGCGGTGCAGGCGCACAAAGGCCTCGGGGTCGTCGTTCGCCCACGGCGGCAGCTCGACGTCGCCAATCGGCTTGCCGTCCTGGCGCGCGCCAAGGTCAAAGGCGTTCAAGTTTTTGAGAAACGCCGACGTGCTGAACCACTCGGGCGTCAGTTCCTTCACTTCCGACATGCTCGAGTTGCACATGTCCCAGACGTCCGAGACCGAGTTGAAAAGACGGTCTGGGAGATCAAACACGCCGCCTTGCATCACTTGGTGCAGCGACGCAAACGGCTGGAGGCGCACGAGGAAGTAAAGCACGACGCCGGCCGCCGTCGAGTAGTGCGAACCGTAGAGAAACTTGGGGATGACCTAGACAACAACATATACGACCTGCATCCGATGAAAAACGACACGACGTACGGGGTCGTCAAAGCTGTGGTAGCGCTCCCAGTACTCGTGCAGCCGCTCCTCGTTGAGGGCGCCCATGGGTTTCGAGAGGTCGCGAAAGTTGGTCGGGTCGCTCAAGTCCAAGTGCTCGGCCGTGTAGTTGGAGAGGACCCACGGAAAAACGGGGTATTGCGTCAAGTCGTTGAATGTCCGGCCCGCGAGCGTGTTGAGCGCCTAGGATCCATAGCGCAAGCTCGATTTTTACACAAACCGAAACGAGACAACACACCATGAGGTACTCGTAGTTGCTGAGGCTGCGCGCTTGCCACTCGCGCGTGAGGCGGCCCAGCATGCGCGAGACAGGAAAGCCTGGCCACTGCTTGATCGCGGCGTTGGGCACGAGTGCGAGGAGCGTCCGGATCGTGTCGTTGCGGATGCTTGTCGTCAGTGCCGCGTTCGCGCCGTCCATGTGAAAGTCGATAAAGTGCGTCGAGCCGTCGCGCAAGAAGAGCTCGAGCGCAGATTCGCGCAGACGGTACCGACGCAAGTAGACAGCGACAACGTCCTTGAGCTTCCAGCGGTGGCTTCGATGCAGACCGACGGCCCACTCGGCGTCGGCACCCGGTCGCACGTGCGGCACCTGCGGCGTAAACACCGCCGCGTTGTCACAGACGTAAAAGGTCCCGAGCACAAAGCCCTCGGGCACAACTTTGCGGCACAACGGCTGGAGGTAGATGCGATCGTCCGGCACCAGACCAATGCCACCGGATGGATGCAAGCTCTTGGCCGCTTCGATTGTCGGCAGTTTGATGGCTTCGAGAGGGACGCGGGTGGCGTCGTCTGGTGCCAAGCCGCCGGTTGCCGCTTCTTCCTCTTCCTCGTCGACGACGGTTCTTTCGTCGTCTTCGTCATCGTCTTCTTCATCGTCCGAGTCGGCGCCACGTCCAATGGTGCCTCGACGGCTCCGAATGTTGTTCTGGATCGCCTCTTCGTCGACCACGTCGTCCTCGATGGCAGGTTTTGGCTGCTGCGCAATGACGCGTCCGACCTTTTGCAATAGATCGTCGCGAGAAATGGGCGCCGGCGCCTTGGCTTGCAAGAGCAAATGCGATGTCGGCTTGAGGTACACATCCAGTCGCACCCGGCGGCGCTGTGGTGTCTCGTGGCGCGAGAGCTCGTATTCGGCGCCGCGTACACGGCTTAGCTCCGACCGAAGCTTGGTCTCGACCTGCTTCCAGCAGTCATCCGTCCACTGCGCGCGCAGCTGGACACGGGCGTCTTCGGTGAGCATGCGCTCCTGCTCCTTCTTGGAAATTTCTTTCAGTACCTCCATCATGCGCGCCTCTTCGACTTGGGACGCCGCGAGAACGACCTTGCGCTTCTCCGCGTCGGTGTCCGGCGGCGTCTCTTCGCCGGCGACGAGGCCGGGAAAGAGTGTTTGCCGCGTCAATGCTAAGTCGGCCATCTCGCTCGGGTGCAGCGTATCCTCCCTTCCGTGGGGCACGAGCGTATCCAAAACGAGGCGCGCCGCGGTCGGGGCCGGCAGCGCGCTCAGCATCTCAATCGAGACGCGCCCTTTGGATAGTGCAATCGCAAACTCGCCACTCGTAGCGATCTTGAGTGTGAGATCCCCGAGAAGATTTTGGTCGTCCGTCGACGGTTGTCCGGCCAAGCCGAGCGCGAGGCTGCACAGCACGCGGACTAACATCTCGTGCGTCGGGACGTTTTCATCGATCGGAATGCGCTGCCCGACTTCTTGCTGAAGGGCAGCCTCGAGGCTCTGAACGAGGCGCACAAGGACGGGCGCGCAGGCACGCAGCGGCAACACCGCGCGACAGAGTCGAAGCGCCGGCACCAAACCCGCGCGGTGCTTCTTATTCGTGCTCTCGAGAAGCATGTCGACAACGTCCAGCACACTCGAGAGGAGGAGCGTCACGTGCGTTGCGTCGTCGGGCACTCCGAGAAGCAAGTAGTAGGCCAGAATGACAAGGTGGTGGACGTTTTCGGCGAGCGCACGCGAGAGAATCGTCTTGCTGCGGACAAGCCGCACGAGGACGAGCCCGAGGAGCCGGCGCGACCACACGAAGACGTTGGCCGCGCGAAACGGGTTGGCGCCTCGATCGTTCCCGTCGGCCGGCGGCGGCGCGCGCACGAGCGAGAGAAAATGCGCCATCGCGGTCCAGCCCTGCGGCGCGTACATGGCGGCACACAGAAGCGTGACGATCGTGTCAAACACGAGGTCCTCGCCCGTCTCTTGGGGCTCGGGTCCAATGCAGCACGACGCGAGGAGGTCTGTGAACCACTCGACCCACGGAAGACTGAGCAGCTGCTTCTGCGTTGCCATGTCGGTCTTGACATAGACGCTAATCTCCATGAGGATACGCTCGCGGCACGACGTCGAAATGCTCGGCACGTGTTTAAAGAGACACGCAATGAACGGAAGGGTACCGCGGAGCGGCAGCGTCATGAGCGTCATGAGACCGTCCGCAAAGACGTTGGGCATGTTGGGCGTCGCGTGGGAGACTTCTTGGATCGAGCGCAGCGCCATCGCTCGCAGCGCCACGAGGCGGTCGTCGTATGAGAGCACGAGGCGCGACGACGAGGCCGTCATGCCTTTCGTGGGAGCCTCGGCAAAGGCGTTGGCGTCGCGGCCGGTCATCGACGGATCGTTCATGGCGACGGTGTGGCGAAGACCCATGAAGAAGGATGCGTCAAACAGTAGCTCCTGGAAGAGCGACGCGGTGCTGTCGTCGACCAAGTCGAGTTGCAGATGCCGCTCGAGCGACGAGACGACGCCGCGCCCGTCACTCGACTCGAGCCACTCGTAGAGGAGCACAAAGAGCCGGAGCGCGCTCAGTCGCGTTGCAAGAGCGTGCTTGGGCTGCAAGAGATACAAAATGCAGTCCAGCGCGTTGGCGCCGAGGAGCGCAATGTACATGGGCGGGTCGCACACTGCGCGGCTCGATAGGCTCGTTAGGATCGCGCGGCTCAGGAGCGCGTCGGGACAGACGAGGAGGAAGCGTGTCGCCGTCCGCACGTTGCGGACCAAAGCGATGGGCAAAAGGACGCTCTCAAGCGCAGTGTCGGCGGCGATCGAGCCAGACGGCGACTGCAAGACAGCGTCGCCGACGACAAAGATGCGAAGGGACGCGTCGGGCGCCACGTCGTCGGGCGCGAGCGTCGCTTCCAAGAACGTGACGAGCGACCGCACGCACTCGTCGACCCACGTCGGGTCCTTGGTCTTGCGCTTGGCGAGCGCGGCCTTGAGGTAGTGCCGCCGAAGAATGTCCACGATGAGCTGCGTCGAGACGATCCGGTGCAGGCACGAGACGGTCTTGAGCAGACCCACGAGCTGCTGCAGCAAGATGGACTGCGTCTTGAACGTGGCCGTGCTCCACAAATCAAAGTCCAGCAAAAGCGCTTGGACGCCGACGACGAAGAGCGGGATCGGGTCCGGGTCGCCCGAGTGCAGATCCAAGTAGTTGGCAACGACGAGCTCGACGCACGCCGTCGCGTTGCTCGCGCTCAAGAGTTCTTCGTTGTCGCCGCCATGTGACCGCAGCACATGACTGAGCAAGTGAAAGCCATATTGATGCAGCATCTCTTCTTGATGGGCAATCGAGTTGCGCAGGAGACCTTGGAGCAGACTGAGGCCATACCCGAGCGTGATGGGCATCTCGGCGCTTGGTCGAGACAACATGACGTGCAGCAACAAGAGCACCGAAGGAATGCCACCCGTGCGGAACCAGACGTCGGCCCGGTCGGGATGCGAGAGCGTAAAGACGCCAGGGCTCAAGACGACGTGGGTTTGCTGCGACAACGCGTGGTCGCCCTCGGCCTTGAAGCGCGTCCAGCGGCCCTTTCTGTCGCGGTCGCCTTCGCAGCTCCACTGCGTGCAGAGCACGGGTCCGAGGCTCGGTCGGTCACGTCCTTCGTCGTCCTCGATGACGTCGTGCGCGCTGAACGAAAAGACGATCTTGAGGTGCATGCTCATCTCACTCGTGAGCGTCTTCTCGTGCGTCGATACCTTTGCGAGCGACTTCGTATCAAGGAACGTGTTCTGGAACGGATTGACGCCCAAGAAGAGGCGCCGCAAGCACGTATGGGACGGTCCGTGCCGGTGGAGGGCCGCCATCATATCAGGTCGGAGCTCGTCCTCGTACATGGTCATGCCCGAGAGCTGGAACGGCGCCGTGGCACCGCCGGGGTCGACGCCGCCGATGAGGCACTGGGACATGGGGCCCGTCGGCGTCGGGTACGAGAGGTCTTCGCTCATGACGCGCGTCGTGTTGACATAGCACTCGACGTGGCTGCGCTTGAGGTAGTGCTGCTTGTGCGTCACGACGACGAGGTGCCACTGCTGCGCGTCCCAGACGAACTGCGAGCTCACGTGGCGCCAGCCCTTCTCGTTCGTGGCCGACGCGACGCTGAGCGAGACGCGCGTGCAGTCGTCGTTGAGCGGCGCGAGCGTGCACTCGACGCCCATCTTCTTGCTCGTGCTGTAGAACTTGAAGAGGCGGATGCGCTTCGGGCCGACCTCGACGGGTGGCGGCGGCGGGAGCTGGACCCACACCGCGATCGAGAACCCGCGGAAGGTCCATGGCAGCAGCGGCAGCGTGAGGACGCTGCCCACAGGGACGTACACGTACGAGCGCGGGGTCACCTTGAGCTCGTTGAGGTCCTTGCTGTGCTCGCGGAAGAGGGCCGCTGTCTCCATCCCTCCCTCGCCAATCTCATCAAGGAGCTCTCCAAGATGCAAGCGCATGATGCGCGATCGCGGTCTTCTTTCAAGTAATAAAAAGAACCGCTTCATCACATACAAACATTAGGTTCTTTTTAAAACGCAATGCAATCTTTCGCCGATCCAGGCGCATGCGACCTGGCGAGGCTGAAGGATTGCGCCGCAAGGGAGCATGCAGTAAGGTATTATCTGGTATTATCTATCCCTCATACAGAAATGGCCGTGCGGCGATGGTACCAATGCGTGATATCCTATGGACTTGGATAGTTCTCTTGATTGTACCGGTACTATTCACAGTACCGGATAGACTCGAAGGTATCCAACGTGTCGCCGAAGTGCAAAGTGAGATGATTTCCATCAATAAATTCGATTCAATTGTACAAGGATACAAAGTGCTAACCTATTTAACGGACGAGGCGCTCAAGGACGCGCTTCTTCTCCTCCAACTCGCGGAGCGTGGCATCCTCGTGGTCCTCGAGCCACTCGCGGGCCTCACGGATCGTGTTCTCGGCGGCGGCATCGCCCTTCTCGCGAGTGAGCTCGAGCGCGCGGTAGATGAAGCTCTCGAGCGAGTTGCGGGCCTCGATCTTCTTGAGCACCTCAGCATCGTCCTTCTTGAACTTCTCGGCGTCAGCGACCATGCGGTCAATGTCCTCCTGCGTGAGGCGACCGTTGTTGTTGTTGATGGTCGTCTCGGCCTTGGCGTTCGTCTTCTTGTCGAGCGCCGACACGTTGAGGATACCGTTGGCGTCAATCTCGAAGGTCACCTGGACCTGCGGCTCACCGCGCTTGGCGCGCTCAATGCCCGAGATCGTGAACTCGCCGAGCTTGTTGTTGTGGTCCACGCAGGCACGCTCGCCTTCGTAGATGCACACATCGACCTGCGTCTGGTAGTCTTCCTCGGTCGTGTAGACGCGCGTCTTCTTGACCGGGATGGCCGTGTTGCGCTTGATGAGCACTGACATGACGCGGCCGACCGTCTCAATACCGAGCGAGAGCGGCGTCACATCGACGAGGAGGAGCGAGTTCGTGGCGTCGTTGCGGATGCCCGAGAGGATGGCACCCTGGACGGCGGCACCGTACGCGACGGCCTCATCCGGGTTGATCGACTTCGAGAGCTCCTTGCCGCCGAAGACAGCCGAGAGCATGTTCTGCACCTTGGGGATACGCGTGGAACCGCCGACAAGGACGAGCTCCGTGATTTCCTCCGGCTTCATCTTAGCGTCGGCAAGCACCTTGAGGACAGTCTCCTCCGTGCGCTTGAAGCACTCTTCGTTGAGCGACTCGAACTTGGCACGCGTCATCGTCGACGAGAAGTCAACGCCCTCGAAGAGCGAGTCGACTTCAATAGCAGCCGACGTCGTCGTCGAAAGCATGCGCTTGGCCGACTCGCAGGCCGTGCGGAGACGGCGCATCGAGCGAGCCGACGACGTGGGGTCAAGGCCCTTGTCTTGCGCTTGAACTCCGTGACGAGGAAGTCGACCATGTTCGAGTCGAAATCTTCACCACCGAGATGCGTGTCACCGCCCGTGGCCTTGACTTCGAAGATGCCGTTCTCGATCGAGAGGATCGACACATCGAAGGTACCACCACCGAGATCGAAGATGAGGATGTTGGCCTTGTTGCCGTCCGAGCCGGCGTTCGTGTCCAAGCCGTACGCGAGGGCGGCGGCCGTGGGCTCGTTGATGATACGCTTGACGTCGAGGCCGGCAATGGCACCGGCATCCTTCGTCGACTGACGCTGCTGGTCGTTGAAGTAAGCAGGGACCGTGACGACAGCCTGCTTGATCTCCTGGCCGAGGTAGTTCTCCGCCGTCTCCTTCATGCGGGTAAGGACCATCGACGAGATCTCCTCGGGCGTGAAGCGCTTGTCCTCGCCCTTGAACGAGACCTGGATGAGCGGCTTGTCATCATCACCCTCGACAATCTTGAACGGGAAGTGAGCAGCGTCCTTCTTGACGATCGGGTCCGAGAAAGCGCGACCGATGATACGCTTGGCATCGAAGACCGTGTTGGTGGCGTTCGAGGCAGCCTGGAGCTTGGCGGCGTCACCGATGAGGCGCTCCGACTCGTTGAAGGCGACCCACGACGGCGTCGTGCGGTTACCTTCGCTGTTGGCAATGATCTCGACCTGGCCGTCCTTCCAGACACCGACGCACGAGTACGTCGTACCGAGATCGATACCGATGACCTCCGAGAACCACGCTCGGCGCGCTTGGCACGCTCCTCACGCTCGGCGCGGGCCTTGTTGATCTTGTCCTCGATCTCCATGCGCTTCATCTTGCGCGTGGCGTCGTCCATCTCGACACCCGAGGCCTCTTCCTCGAGCACCTGGTACGCGGCCTGCGCCTGCGTCAAGCCGGCCTGGAGCTGCTTGTTGCCCTTGTCGACCGTCAAGCCCTTCGTGTAGGCCTGGACAGCCTTCTGGTACGACTTGATAAAGTAGTACGCAGCACCGAGACGGGCGTAGCCCTTGCCCCACTTGGCATCGATCTCAATGCACTTGTTGGCATCGGCCATCGCCTGCGCGGCGTTGCCGGCGCTCAAGTACGCAGCCGAGCGGTTCGAGTAGTAGATGTGGTTCTCCGGCTCGTACGCGATGGCGGCCGTGAACTCCTTGATGGCCGTGGCGTGGTCGCCGGCGGCGTACGCCGCGTTACCGCGGTTCTTGGCTTCCGTGCCAGCGGCGACGCGCTCTTCGGCAGAGAGGTTGGCATGGGCGTCCTTCGTGGACTTGCCGGCGCGACGACGTTGAGGGGCCATGGTGTTTCTTGCAAGGCGAATTGCGAAATGAATCGTGGCCAGCGCTCGGCCGTTTTCCGGATTCCGTTTTAAATTGCAGCCGCGCGCGATGTCAAGTTCCCACGTGGTTTTTGAAACCAGGACATTTGGCATATGAGAATAGGACATAGCCGAAAGATAGCTTGGCAGGGTGGGACCGTACTTTTTTTCGCATGCCAATTGGGTGCTTGTATCACTCGTGATTTGTATCGCATTTTGTTGAACCCATTAAATTGCATTGATTGGGGTCGGTTGAAGTGCGTGTTTTAAACATGCAATGTTGGTGCGAGGTGTTTGATACATGTTGTTTTCATGCGCGTCATACCAGGAAAGGGTATCGTTGAAGGTAGCGATTGAACCCTGGTTGAAGCGACGCCAAACCTCAAGCGACTGCAGAAAAGACACTGTACAATCTTAGTGCAACGATTGTCTATGTCACCAGCAAGAACTTTGGTATGTAAAGTTGTCGGGTTCGGACAATTGTGTACATCTGTGGAATGATATGCAACTCAGGATGGGTAATCCTCAATCTATGAGTGGTCTTCTTCAACTGTGGTCTCCATTTCAGTGCACCTTTGCAAGGATGCCACTCAAGTGCATGGTAGTCGTCGGCGATCTTCCATCAACATGTTCACTGTCAAATTCTGAAACATAGTCGTCGCACCATGACACCCGCCACGACAACCAACGAAGCGTTCAAATGACATGCGTGATACTTCCATTGAAATGCATTGAAAGACTATTGCCGTGAATTACTTTATTGCATATCAGTAGGACCAATGTGACGGACCCGACTAAGGTTACAGCACACCTTCTCCTCGCGACTGCAGCGTAATCCCCAGTGCGATCACCATCGTGGTCCAACCGCTGGGTTCTGGTCTGCCCGACTAGGCAGCACGACATATCTGACGTGCATCTCGCAGAAAGATCCACCGATGGCCGAATTTTGCTAGATAACGCGCAGATCCAGGTATCCTAGTCTTTGCATGATTGATCTTGAGGCAATGGGGCTCGTGACCGTTCTGCACCGATACCTCGATTGGCCGAGTCTCTGCATCTTGAAGGCTGATGTACTGGTTTGTTCGATGGCACTCGGCGCTTCAAGAACTGTTTGGCCATTGTGGCGCCATTCGGTAGGTGCACCACGTTGTCGAGAGCTTGCAGAACGGTTTTCGTAGAAGAATTATAACTCTCGAGAAAATGGTGGGCGACGCGTGCATTCTGACGAGGGACTCGACGTTGACATGACATTTGGTGATCTGCCGTCGAGCTTGTATGAGCGCCTCCCTGCTCGACGAGGGGATACGACTCGAAGCTTTGGGCAAGAGTTGTCTTTGGCCAATAGCGGTGACAATGGAGCGGACCGAGCAGCAGTAGCTCGACGTGCTCGATTAGATCAAACCGTCCACTACGTTTCCCATGCACAAGGCTTGCACCCGATAACGCTTTTATCAGTTTCTCAGTTTCAAGCGCACGTGGCATACACTTGCATGGACGTCCAAGTAGTGTTGCAGAACCGTTTGGCTCTCAAAATACCGAGTACGACAGTTATTTGATGTGCTCGCTGGAAATTCGTGCTCGCTACGTACCTGTACGCTGCATCCGTGTTCCTTGTTGACACACATCCCGTCGTACATCCCAAACGACGATGTCTGGTGCATGGCACCGCCTTCGTTTCCACCACCACGCACACACGACAGAGGCAGCCCAACCACCACCAATGCCTCCATCAAGCATGCAGGGGCGTAATGGAGATCCCTTACCTTCCACATTACCCTCTCCATGCAACGTGGTTTTGACAACGTCGGGGATCGTAGCCGCCTCTCCCTGCGTACAAAACGCCACGTGTATTAAACACTTGTGAAACGAGGACTTTTCGAGCCGACCGCGCAAGTCGGCACCGGCCGGAGCCAATCACATGCGCGCTTTGTCACAGATCCGCAACTCAGCCAATCAGAGGCGCCGAACGACGGCCTGTGGCGGGCCAGAAAAAGGATGGTCTGGAACGGGTCTCGCATTCTTGGCCAGCGCCAAATCAGGCCTTCGTGCGGTGGCGTATCCGGATATCGCCCGTTGACACTCATCACCGCGTATTTAAATAACGCGCTCGTTGGACGCGTGTAATTCATTGCGTTTGACGTCGCTTCTCTTGCCTTTTCTATCGCGTATGCATTAAAACACGCAAGCAATGCATTGCCGCGACATCGCGCGCGGCTGCAATTTAAAACGGAATCCGGAAAACGGCCGAGCGCTGGCCACGATTCATTTCGCAATTCGCCTTGCAAG